CTTGAAAGCAGATCTTCCCAGCCTGAAAACCCAAGGTGGAAGAAAGTTTAAAGGGAAACTATGCACCAGCTGCATATTACAGCACCCCACGAAAACATATACAATATTTCCCTAGCTTTTATCACCATTGTGCTTTAAGTTGTGGTTGCTGTGGAGATAACCACTTCACTGACTGACAGTTGTCCTGGGGGAATTCGCAAGAAAATGTGCCCATGGTCGAGGCCTCTTTTCAGTGCCAGAACTCTAACCCAAAACAACAAAGCGCTCCTCTGAACTTGAGCACAAGTGGACCAGACAATCCCTTTTCTCCTCTCTTCCCTAAGAGCTCTCTAGAAGGTCGGCCATTCTCTTTTCAAACGATGCCAGCTGGGTTTTTCCACACACCCACTGTGTGCATACTGACTCACTTGCAGAACAGCCCCTCAACTAGGTGACAGTGTTCATTAGCCTCCAAATTTTTATTCTTAGGTATATTTTCCCAGCACAATTGAGTTTATAGCTATTTATCATTAAAAAACAAAAAAGTGAGTGATAACGATACATAAACAATGTGTACTATCACATTACAAGACACTTGCTTAGCTTCTTAGCTTTTACAGACGTGTCACCCCAGCAGCTCTTTGTAGGTACAGACTGTGGTACCAAGCCCACCCCAGCACTACACAGCATCAGGATTTCCCAGACAAACCACTTAATCAAAACCACGAGTATTCACTGCACAGGGCCTGTATGCAGATGTTTCGATCCCCATTCTTCCATCCTGATATGTTCATCTAACAACAACTGTATTGTGGATTGGTTACTTCAGAAATGTACAATCTCAGGGCGAAAAAATCAAGGAAAACAAATCTGGTTTTGAAAAGACTGGTTGAACAAAGAATTTCTCACCTGGCTCCCTTTCCCTCCCTTCACAGTACAAAAGTACAGGGTAGAAACACAGCCTATAGGATTGCAACATCAGGGAGAAAGAGAACAGAATTCAGAAAACAAGACAAAATTAAATCAAGACCATTCTGGAAAATTTATCTTAATTAGCAAGACTCTTTTTTCAGATTACACTCAGATTTCACTGGCAGGCGCCTTAAATTGCTTAGTTCACTCCTGGGAGAATTCCAAATACAAATATGGGTAAAGAGAGGGTCCCATGTACATCCCCCCTCCCCCCCAAAAATGCGGAATGAAGAACAAGAGAGAAAATAAGTCTTTGCTTTGTTCAGTCATCTCAATTGCCACAACCATTACACCGGTAAAGCTGTGTTGTTGTTGTAGTAGTAGTAGAATCAATGAGAGATTTGAGTTTTCCCTCCCAAGTTGTCTTTCTGAAAAAGCCCAAATTTGTGCTAATCAATGCTGAGTTACCACACCAGAAATACTCCAAGAATAATACAGCTGCCTCCTTGAATTTCCAGTGCCAATCTCAAGCCGACAGAACAGGGGGATACATGCACTCATCGGGGATTACAGTGTTGAAACATACGCTACCCAGCGCTTTAAAATCAAGTTAAGACACAACCCTGCTCATGCCTTTGTAACGCAACACATTCCTCATAAAAAGCGAGTGCGGTAATTGAGCAACAACAATGCAGGCCCCTATCCAGGCACCTGCTTTGGAGGCAGCGGTTCCTCTAAAGCTGCTCAACTACTGGCCAGTCTTCTTTAAGGGAATCTATTCCATTAACTTCCCTCAACTCAAAATGCCACAAGATCATAAGGAGGGGGGAGGGGGGATAGAAAGTGAGAAAGAGGAAGAGTTTAAAAGGCTGGACAAAGGTCTACACTTTTTATCCGGGACCAAGTGGCTCCCTGCTTAATGTGCACCAACAATAACCATGGGAAGGCTGTGTGCAGAGATTTCTTTGGTATGACTGAAAAGCACCTTAGCTCAGTTCCCGGGAACAAAAGGCCAGCACTATGGAAAGTGACCTGGGGTTTTCCCATCAAGTCAAGTGTCAAGGCCACTTCATTTTCCCCTCTGCTCAGATGCAGAAAAGCAAACTTCCTAGCAGCTCTTCTTCTTCAGAGCCAAATATACAGAGAACATTTTTAAAATTAAAACAAAGCAGCCCTCTCAGACGCAGAAGAGAAGCTGCTTTTCCTTCCCGCAGTTCTTCGTTACCGACAAACGCCTACTTCCAGGCAGAGAATAGTCCGAGTGTCAGAGTTGATTTTACTCTCTAAAGAAAGTCAACTGACCAAAAGCAAAGGAGAAAAAATGCATTTTATGTTCAAATAGAGACAAGAAACAGAAGTGGAGGGAGGAGGGGGAGAAACCCTGAAACACTTTCCTTCTTTTCACAGCAGGCGCCCCACTAATGCTGGCCTCCGATTTGCAAGTGAATTGAAGTTGTCATTGGACCTTTAAAAAAAAAAGGGTGGAGAAGGAGAACAGAAGAGAGAATTAAAGATGTGGAGGAGGGAAAAATGTAAAGAAAGAAAGGGAAACTGAAATGAATCATTGCCTGACATGGCGGCCCAAGGACAAGCCACAAAGTTGATGCTGGAATGTTTAGCCAGACCCTGAGACCACAGAGTGATGAAAATGCACCACACGACCCTCAGCCTTTGAACCCAGAACATGCTCTGCAATTGCACTTCCACATGCCTCCGCAGGCTCCAGCTGAAAACTGGAGGAGGCACAACAGTTCAAATAGGAAAGGAAATGACATCAGCAAACTGGAGGACCTGTTTAGAAGAGACCAAAACAAAACAAACTTCTAAATATTTTCCATAAGAGACCTCTCACAAAAAGCCATGAAACATACCAGTAACACAGCACCAACACACAGCAGCAGAATAAAAATAAGGGATTGCAACTCTCATCGTCGGAATGGGGGGGGCACAAGTATGCCAAAGCAGAGGAGGCCGCAAGCTCTCCTCGACTGAGTTTTCCCTTCTGCCGATGTTGCATTCATATTGCTGTTTATAACCAAAACCAAGCCCAGCATTTCACTTCATACAGGACCAGACAGTGAAACCAAGTTGTTAATACTGAATTCTTAATACTGGCAAGTATTCAGTTACATAATAATAAAAGAGGCTGCAGCGGACAGCAATGCAAGGCCACACTTTGTCACTAACATCAAACAAAAAACAGGGCACAGCTGTTTCCAATCAGAGCTGATTTCAATGCAGGTAGTTTATGAAAAGAAAAAAAGAAAAATAAAGTATGGGTAATTCATTTGCCTCCTGAACGATAATCCTCCTGACAAAGGGTCCAAACCTCACTCCTGCGATACCCATGGCTAGTATGGGAACTGTTAGCTACCTAACGCTGAGGAAATACATGTGCACAAAGCACACACCTATCTTTCTCACATACATTGATTTTCACATATAAAAACTTACTATATATAAGAATAGGTAAAACCACTAAAAATGTACAGGAGTATTTTGAATATAGATGAATAGAAAGTACACTTCTCAGATTAATACCAAGCTTTCATTGCTTTTCTATGCAATACCTTAAGACTGTAAATCTATAACCACTGCAATAATTTAGTGATTAAAAACTATGATAACATATTGTGTAACTGAAAACCACATAATGCCTGCCAACACTCCTCCTAGACATGGAACAAAAACACATAAAGTGTGTTGCTTGCAGCAATCTTCCCTCAGTTTTTTAACTGGAAGGGGGGGTGCTCACATCAGAAAACGGCTCACTACGATCTACATAAACATTTCAATTCGTAATAGCTTAAAAAAAAAACCTGTTCCCCCTGTCCCATCTCTTTCTAATAAATGAGGACAGAAACATTCCTTTCTTTCTAAGTTTGCTGTAACTGGAATAGCTGGTCTTGCGTTATGTCCTACGTATTCAAAGTTGCTTTGTAACAAGATATGGAAACCAAACCTTATTTGCTTAAATTTCAAGGCTCGGGAAGGGGGGCTTCCCCCTCTTCCTGCAGCAAGATAAAAATTAAACCAAAATATAGAAATATTCCTCTAGGTAGCCTCTGCCCCTCCTAAGCTGCCAGCCTGCTCAGCTCAACGGCAGGATTCCTGGCCCCTGAGGAAGGCGTCCCCAAAGGCAGGACCCGACGACCACGGCGAGCTGCGGAACGGCTTCCATGGGTAGTTTGGGCCGGCACTTCTCAGAACCCAAAACAAAGGTCTGGGCGAAAGACGCACTTGGCACCATCCACCGCAAACCCCCGGACATTTGGTCTTCACCACCACCACCCTCCCCGCGGAGACGACTCGGTTTGTTCAGAGGAAACAGCAAAAAAGAAAAAAGGAAAAAGGCGCAGTTGCAAATATTTAGATAAGCGCAGAACGACGACTCCTCAGCACTAAGCCAGCAAGGCACAGGGGGCCGGCCCCAGCGTGGAGTGGACTGGGGCGCGGGGGGGGGGGACTCCTGCTTGCAACTCTCCGGGTGCCCCCTACCTAGGCAGGAGAGCGCTGGGCCGAGGGCGCTCGGGGGCTCCGGTGACATGTCGGCAGGCAGCGTGCCTGGGCACCGCCTCCGGAGCAGGGGGTAGGGGCTGCCTCCCCGGGAAGCGCGGCGAGGAGGCCGGCGGAGGGGAGCCGCGGCGGCGGGCGGGCATCGCAGCCATTTCCCGGCCACCCTCTTCGCTGCCCTATCGATTATGCAGATGGGCCGATCAATCTACCCTCTGCCGAGCCGAGCGTCGAGGCACTCCTGCCTGCCAAGGCGAGGCAAAGCGGAGAGGCAGCCCGCCCGCCCGCCGGACTCTCCTCCGCGCCTCGCCGCTGACCGGCGGCCAGCCCAGCCCGGGCAGCTCCTTCTTCTCCTCGGGGGCCGCCTCTCTCTCCTGCCTGCTTGCGATCGGTCGGAAACACCTGCGAGGGCGAGGGACACAAAGTTTGCCGGGGGGGCCCCGATCCAGGCGGGGGGCTGGCCGGGCCAGCCCCATGCAAAGCAGCCCAGGCGGGGCGGCGGAAAAGTTGCCACTTACGCGGCTGGCGGCGGCGTCCTCCCTCCTTCCTCCTCTTCTTCTTCGTCTCCCCCTCCTGCTGCTGCTCCGGCGAGGCGGTTAATCCCGGGAGAAGGCGGCGGCGGCGGGGCTACAGATCCCATGAAGGCTGCAGGATCGGCGCGCTCCGAGGAGGAGCCCGGGGTGGCGGTGACGGGACGAGGCGGCGACCGGAGCAGGAGCGACGGGGGCCACAGCCAGGCGGGAGCCGCTTCCACTTGCGTCGCCGGCGCTGCTGCTGCTGCTGCTGCCGCCGCCGCCGCTGCCCAGCAGCAGCAGCAGCATCGTTCTCGGGAGCGGGCGGGCGCCCCCCGGAGCGAGCGAGCGAGCAGAGGAAGGAAGAAGCGGGGCGGGCGAGCGAGCGAGCGGGGGGCCCGGACAGGCGAGCGGACGAGAGCCGGGCTGGCGGGGCGGCCGGAGCAGGAAGCGCCCGCGCTCAGATCTGCTGATTGGGGAGAAAAAAAACTCTTTGGATCTTTATTCTGCTAATTAGTTTCCTGCAAAAAATGGCTGATTAGTGCAGTGCGCATGTGCCTCATTACCCAGGCACGACGGGAAGGGCTAATTAGCCACCTTCTGGATCAATAAGATTCAGCCCAGGCGGCGGCGGGGGAGGGAGCGCGCGAGCGAAGCAGGGAAAGGGGGGGGTGGCGGCGGCGGCGGCGGCGAGGAAGAGAGAGGGGGAGGAGGCGCGGGAGGGAGCGAGCAAGTGAGGAGGGAGATAGGAGGGGGGCCGGCGGGGCAGCCAGGAGGGCCAGAGGGAGGAGAAAAGGAGGAAGCTCTCCCAAACCGGGAGGGGGGAAGGCGGAGAGAGGGAACGGGGACCAGTCCGGGCCGCTACCCCCCCCCCCCGCATTCCATCGGGCTCCTCGGCCGCAGGGCCGCCTCCTCGTCCCCTCCCCCGCGGTGGGACGGGGCTGCGGCGGCGGCGGGAAGTTGCCGAGAAAGTTGCTGCTCGGCGGGAGGAGCCCAACTTGGCCGCGGCCCCGATCCTCTGCCCCCGAGTTGGTCGGCTTTGCTCGTCTCGGGCTTCGGGTGTGCCGTCGCCGCAGGAGGAAGCAGCTGCATTCCTGCGTTCCCCACCAAAGGTCGCTTCTTCGCGGCCCCCGTAACGGGCTGCGCCGTTTCCTCGTGCCCCGCTGAGTCGCTTCGGCCAGCCGCCGGGTTTGGAGCCTTTGGAGGAAGCTTCCTCCCCGCCTCACCACCCAAGTTCTTTCCCCCCGGAATGGCCGAAGAAGTCCGGCAAAGGCGGCTGGCGTGGAAGTACGGGAGCCGCTGGAGCGGAGATCTTCTGCCCTCCGCCGCGTTTTGATTCCCTTTTCGGAAGGGCGCCGTTCTGCCTCCCCTTCCAGCTTCCTGCATTTCTGCTGGGGTGGCGAGGCCGGCTCTGGACATGTTTGTTTGCTCAAAGACAACCGGTAAACAGGGACTGCTTAATTGGGACAGGCACGCATCCTTCAGCGGCTTTTTCCTTTGGGGTTGGGTGGCTTTTTAGAACGTGTCGCAGCGAATGCACCGAACGAGCGGAGCTTTCTCGGTATTTTAGATGCTAGCTAACAGATTAAAACTGTACGTATTTAATTCGAGACATTCTGCAACCACTATTCGTGTGTATGTAATAACAAGCATGCATAATGGTGAATGTATCCGTAGGAGGCGTGCGGAGGTGCCGTGTCTGCCTTGCAGATATTTATGTGACCGCTTTCGGGTACTTGGTACTTTTGTTTTCTCTTTGTTTTAGTTTGATGGCAAAATGGTTTTTTTAAAAATAATTAATTTTTCTAGAAATGAGAGTGCTGGACGCTCCTGGGTGCATTTTTTCAGTTTGTCAACTACAGTTTGTGCCCCTCATCCCTGGGGAAGGAAATCCCAATTGATGATCAATCTGTGTAGCAGGAATGCCTCCTACTACTCTTGGCATTTGAGCTCTGCAGAAAAGCGACAGGGATGGGGGCCAAACCAAAGTGCTTGGGTTTCTACTAAGGCAGCAAGAGAACATCTGGGGAGGTGTAGGGTGTTTAATCTTGCTGCAAATAGTGTCTTATCCAGAGATCATGGGCAGCTCTTCCATCCCCAGTTTGTCTGTATGTGCCTCAGCCCAGCTAGCTGGCTTGTGTACTGCAGTCCTTCCATCTCCTTTCACATGTGGATTCTATCAGTGTAAACATGCCAAAGCACATCTGTCTGTACAATTAATACGATGATCCAAGCATCATTCTTTAATTGGCTTTCTCAGCTGTTCGCCCCCCCCCCTTGCAGTCTTGTTCTGCTCTGATTTCCAGATCTAAGTTGCCCTAAATAGAAGGCTGCTTTTACCACTAAGGCAGAAGAAGGGTTAATATGCAGTAGCAGAAGAGTGGTGTGCTCTGGGGCATTTTTAGCTGCCTCTGGAAAAGGTGTAGGGGAGATAATCAAAACCTGGCTAACTATGGGCTTAAGCTTTGGCAGGTGCCAGAAGTAGAGGTGGATGAACAGCTCTGACTTCGAGGCAGGATGGAAGAAATTGGAAGCTTTCTTCTTCCTAACGCAGAAGAGAACAAAATTGCCCAAAATGATGTGGGCTCACTAGTATCTCAGAGATCAAATAGAGGTGCTTGATACACCTTGTGAACTGCTGTATTTTTTTGAAGTTTTTGCCAGATGGGTATTAAATTAAAAAATACTCTTATTAATAGAGAAATGTTCGTGGGTGAGCAGACAGCTTACTATAACTGCTGTGAACAACTGAACACATACATTCAGAGAAAATGTGGCGTTAACACTGGAAAAAGGCACATTGTAAGACCCCCCCAAAATTAAATATTTGCCTAAAGAAAAATAAAAGAAATGACAAACTTTTCTTTTGTGAAATGGCTACATAGGTAGGAGCACCTTGTGAAAACCAGCAAGTTTATTTAGCTTTTTTTGTCTCTTAAGACAAAAGTGCTGGAAATAGAATAGGTGAGGTGGGGATTCTTGCTGTAAGGCATTTGGTCTGCCAAGCACTGATTTGGCTGAATATAGTCCCCCTCTGTAAACTGAAGTAGGAGATCCATAAAAGTCCCAAACATGGATGAGACTGACTCTTCACTCTAAACTGAGTTATACAAAGAGATCAAACGGTAAAAATTGAAGTAAGTTGTGGAATAAAAGCTATTGGAAATGCTGCACTGTTGTGGTATTTTCAGAAGTAGGACTGCTCCCCCCCCCCCGGCATCTGAATTAAACTGGGGAGAAGTACACTTAAGCCAGAGGTTACAGGATTGAAAGTTCCATTGGCTCAACTTGCCTATTGCCTTGAGCCATGGTAAAGTTATACTGCCTTGGGGTCAATGGACTTGAGCTTCTTTTCTAAGATGTAACCTTCCTTGCTGGAAGACACCTCAGGGTATGTACAGTAATTTTGTTGTTGTTGCTTGAAAATGTAGCAAAGGAGCGAGAATGCAGCTTGCAAAAGTAAACACATCTAATGCTGTGAAAATGTGGGTCAACTTAGATGTATAGCCACTAAGCTAGCAATATAAAGTTCCTAACAGTTGCTGCTAAACAAGTGTTAGGCATGGTACTAGTAAACTATTTGAAGGTACCGTATTTATCAGAATTCCCATTCTCTCTGCTCCTTTGCAATGGATATGTGCAATCAACACCTAATACCAGGAGTATGCAGCCTTCTCAGCATTTCTTTTCCTAATTTAGCTGCACAGTCTATAAATGCTTTGACTGTATTTTGATTTGGAAATTTTCTTGTTTGAACAAAATCAACTCCACAGCACAGGGGAGGAAAAGGAAATGGCTGCTGTTAAATAAGTAGAGCTGATGTATTAATGTGAGGGCTTCACAGATCAGAAACTCTTGAGGGCTGCTTCCCTCTACATGGCAAGTCAAAGCAGCCTCTGGGGCTGAGATGCAGAAATGCCACTGGGATCTTAAGAAGGGAGCCAGAGAGATGGACTGTTGCAAAGCTCCTCAAACCAGAAGGCTGATTTATATCAGCAAGTGTGTTATTGCTTAAAGGGTTGTGACTCGGGATCTGCCTTTTTGTACAGAAAGACAGCAGAAGACCTGTTTACATTTCTTCTCGAGAGAAGTTTTCTCTAGCCTCTTCAAACAGACTTTTTTCTTCATGAACACCCTATCCTTCCCCCCCCCCCCCCGCACATAGTATCGTAGTCAATAAGAATGGGTGGCTACCAGTGAATTAAGTTACGCCTCACCTTTCTATATCATACTGTACAGAGGCAGCAATTGGGTATTGTTTCTAGTCTAATATTCCTGTTATACTAACATTTGTTACTAACAGACCTTGTATGACAGCCGACAATACAATGGAACTATTTTATATTTAATGTGACATTTTTAATTGTTGGAGAAAAAACTTTAATCAGTATAAATATTTGCTAAATTCTTTCTTATTCAAAGTCTTTGCTTATACACAGCTTCAGTTGGTACTGTCTGATTATTATATTGATGTCAACTTAAAATTTATCCCAATAAGCACAGTTACTAAGAGTTTGCACTGTTTAAGGAAAATTAAGTAAATATGAATTTAAATTAAAACCTAGGATTGAATTATAGGCTGAAGGTGCAGTCACCCTTCCCCAGTACCATTCATATAACTTGATTTGATAAACCTATCAAATGATATTTTAAAAGAGTCCATCTCGTGCCTAAAGCTACCTTCAAAACCATAGCCTCACACACAAGACATCCTATAAATCTTTAAAGGAGTTAGATCCCTGGGTATATTTGCCTGCCTGCCTGTCCTTGTATGTAACTGGGAAATACCTGGCTTATTGCTTTTCTGCTTGAAAACCTGAACCATTAAAAAAAATTACACATATGTATTGCTATGGGGAAGCTCTTAATAGCCACTCATTTCATTACCTGACATGCAGATACCTAGCTGCACAAAATCATGCATCCTAGCTTTTCATAGATGCAATACTGCAGGTACCTTGCTCATGATCATATATGTTCATCTCTCTCTGGAGCCTTATTTCTAAAGCTCAAATCAAATGAGGCCAAGAATTGCTTTAATATAGTCTTGCTAAATAGACAACCCACTGGACAAACATTAAACTTGGAGAATATTTATTTATTGTAGTATGAGGAAGTGTATGTGCAAGTCTTCTTGTCTGCAAACAGAACCCCTTATTTTTCAGGGGGATGAGTAATGTTTACAAAAGTGGCTTACAGAGACCCAGATTCTCCAACAATTCCTCCGATCAACTGAAACCTGGATTGCAGTGGCATCTTCTCAGCTTTTTGGGTGCCAAAGCCAAGAATTCTGCAGGTGCCAAGCTTTGAGATGCCCCCCTACCCACACCAGTTTTATGAAAGTCTGTGTCAGTACTGGACAGCTTCCCGTCTGTCTTTGAATGATTTTGCGCGCATGTGTGTGTGTGTGTTGTTACTTTTTCACCAGGTGCCTTAACTGAAAGGCAAGCCTAACTGGTCTGTACTCCGGTGCTATGGTCTGGACAGTGCTGAACCTAGCTTTCCTTTTGTCTTGGCTGTTAAAGAAGTAGTACTACCTATTTCCTTCTCTCCCAACCAAAGCTGTTCTGCAGTTTTCTAGTGGAACAGCTAGAGATTTTGGAATGGTGAACTAATGATCACTAGTCTGAATATTTTTCCCCATATCTCTATGAAGTCTCAATCCTGCAAACGCCATACACACACTAGCCCTTATAGAGCTAAAAGGTGTGAGTCCAGAGATACCCCTGTTACCTGGCATAGTATGCTCTTGCTGCCAGGCTGAGATAATGGTGAAGGAAGAAGGTAAGAGGTCCTCTCGAAAAAGCAAAAAGTCTGAGGTCTTTAACCGTTCCTCCTCTCCTAAAAGAGAGCCAATGCTGCAGGAAAACATTTGCTCATCGTGCTGCTTAAGCCAGCACACTTGAATGATATTCTTCCTGGAAGTGCTTACTGCTAGCTGGAGCTGTGCTGTGTGTTCACTGTATCCTATCAGTATCCACCAATCCATTGCGAGTGCCTTCAGAGCTGTCTGTTAAGATAGTTCAAAAGCCTGCTTTTCCCAATAGGGGTTGGAGAGTGTGTGTACAAGTGCTTTCTGGGATAGCCTGGCATTGCTGTTCTAGTTTCTTCAAAGACAGTAAGAAATAAAATATTTTGTTGTTGTTTCTTGCTGCCCATTTGTTCAAGAGGCAAATACTGCTCTTCCAAGTTTCTGGCTAAAAAAAATCCTATGCTAGTGTGTCTCCCTACAGAAGGCAGAACCAGGAGCACCACCCCATCTTTCCTTTACCGCCAAATTGTAGATCTGTATTAATTTGTCTTGACATAGATTTGAGACATCAGAATCCTGAGTGCATTTCTTAATTAAAATATGAATAATGGCAATTGAAGGTGCCACAATGTGAAAGAGTCAACTAAGCTTCAGTCCACTGAGGGTAAATTAGAGGTACACATGACAGCTCTAAGGCAGATAGGGGGCTGGAATGGAATGCACCTCTGTAAACTATTACTGGGCTAAGTTCAAGGTGTTGGTTTTGGTATATAAAGTCCTTTATAGCATGGGACCAGGATACGTGAAATATTATACCCTGTATATACCCAATCACTGTGCTCTGTGGGTGAGGACCTCCTGCAGACCCCAGCTTATGGGATGCCCTCCCCAGAGAGGTTTGCCTGGCACCAACACTCCATGATTTTTTAGTTGTAGGTGAAGAAGCCCTTCCTGTTGTCACAGGACTTTTAATGACAATCTATCAGGTGCTCTAATTTTTCTACCAAGCTCTCTTTTGCTGTGTTTGATGCCATGTTTAAATTGTTTTGGCTACTGTGTTTTGTTGGTTTTAGTTTTTTTGTTGTTGTTTTTTTGTTTAGCTTCCTGCTTTGTAAATTTTCTTTATTAAATATTAAAAGTGTTATTTTATTGTAAATTCTATTTTGGTATTTTATTGTCTATGTAAACTACATATGAAATGAAAAGCACATATAATGGGTGTTCCATAAATAAATAAATATTTTTTTTAAAAAAATTATTTAAATCTCCTTACCATACAATTAGTAATAGCCTCCAATTTTCTATGGACATTGCACTAACCTCCTTTGCATCACTAGACATCTGCATATTTATTATTTTAAAATTTTATTTAGGACATATACTGAATTTCTCATTCAAAAGCCAATGTGGGCATTTGTAGGTCCTATTCTCTTCAACAGACTGTTATGTTCAAATTAGACCGCAATCCTAATGTGGGAGTTATCAAGGTAGCTTAACGCCCTTATCTGAGCTTGAGCCATCAGCATAAGTGAGACTGGAGGAACAAATGATGTTTCCATCTGTTTCCTGGTTGTTTTTAATTGTGTCCAATGGAAGGGGAAATGGTGGGTTGGTGGGAGTTTAGACATACTCTGAAGCATGTTTAAATCTCCCAATTTGAGGGTATGGTAGGGGAGTGGGAGGGTTTAGAATTCTCTAGATCTCAGCCACTTCCCAGAAATCCTCCCCTTTAAAAACTCTTATGACATCAAGTGGGCTAGAGCTTCAGAGGAGCCATCAGCACTGGAGAGGAAGGCTCTGACATCAAAGGGCCTCCCAAGAATCAGAACTGCACACTTTTCGTTATTAGGTGAATTTTATGCAGGTTTATGCAGTGGGGTCCTGCAATTCTGCAACCTGACTGTCCCTCAGTTGTTATATTCCTCCTATACATTACAGGCATGTTACATGAAGAATGAGATCTTCACACTTTTCACTGCCTGATCCTATGACAAGCACCTACTCTGAGCAGCTGCATGTGTTGCTGGTCCTCTAGGCTTGGGTCTTCTGCCCGTGGTTGACAGGAAAGGCTGGATGACTCGGCAGCCAGCATCAGGGTAGTGGTGAGACAACAATGACATCTTGTCTAACTGGACTTGCAGGGTAAGAGGGCCATCAGGTTTTCACACTAAGCATCAAGAGAGGAGCACTCACAGAAGCGAGCTACTAAGCTTCAGCCACACTTGTTTTCATTCTGCAAAGTAGAATCTGTCTGCTTGGAGTGTTCATAATGGGATAGCAACACACAGGCATCAGGATCTGCTGCATGGGATGTTTATTCCTCTTGTTTGAATGGTGATAAGAAAAAGTGCCCAGAGGGGGCAGGGAAAGCAAATGCTTTTGGCTCCCAGTCACACTGGAAAAAGGGGGATGGAATGGTAAAGGGAACCCTGGTGTTGTCCTTAAGTCGCTCAGTGGAGAGAGAGGAACAATCTACTTGAAACTCTGATTGAATCTTTCTTAACAGCGAGGTCTCCCAGCTGAGTCTGCATGAGTAAGCGTCTGCCAGAATCACAGGATTGGCTGAGCTTTATGTGAAGGCTTTGCTGAAAGGCTTGTTAAGGAAGCACTGCTGACCAGGCCATCCAATTGCATCACGCTTCAGAAACGAAATGTGCTGCAGCTGGGGAGTCACACGTTGGTGGCTTCCGGCAACAGAGGGATAAAATAACCAACTCTTTCCCACCCTTGGGGCCTGTGCCTCAGAGAATCTCCTGCACTTCCACCCAGCAGCTAGAGCCAATCTAGCAAGGAAAATGAAAGCACTTTCTGCTGCAGGCTGTGTGAAGTGGGTTGGAGGGACAGGTCAGTTACATCAACTTTCCCCAAAATAAAAAATGCAATTATTTATTAATTTATGAATGGCCTTTGGCAAGTGTCAAGGTAATTTGCAAACAAAAACAGCTAAATATAATTGCAATTTAAAAACAGCATAAAATGAACATCTAGGGCAGAGGTTTTTTTTATCCAGTGGATGTTAGCCTCATATTGCTTTTGTTATGTATCCTGTGGTGTGGAGTTTGAGCCTGGTAGTGTCTAAGATCCTGCAAGATTCTTCACATGCAAAGGTTCTGTGCTTTCCACTGAAATCCAAGGAAGCACAGGAAACACATTTGGTTTACTAGCACACTCTCTCCCATTAACCCGGTCCTCTACTAGTTCACAATACTGGACTACCTGGTACAGCAAGCCACCTCTCCATGATGTACCCAATAGCACTGGTGACTTAAGCTGCAGTCCTTTACTCACTTGAATACTGTAAATGCTGTTGAATTCAACAGGGCTTACTTCTAAGTAGAATTACACTATAAACCAGTGGGTTTTGAAAATACTGAGGTGACAGTAAAATGACAAAATGAAGAAGTGGGTGCTTGCTGGGGCCTCTAGCGTAAGGTGCATTAACAATTGTGGCTCTGGGGACCTGGAATCGTCCTGTTCTGAAGTTGTATTGAACAAGCACCTTTATCTCAAAATGCTCTGAGTTTCAGGAAAAGTGCTTTTAGCAGCCCTCCAAGCTCTTGAGTTCCCTGGCTTGAAAGTATCTCCTCTTTTCCCTCAGCCTCCTCCTTGGGGAAAACTGCTAAGAGTGTTTAGTTACAAGTATGGACCTACCCAGCAACACACTTACTCCCTCCCTTCATCTTTCCTAGCAAAGAATTAAAATGCAAATCAGAATTGACGGGCCACATTTAAAAGAGAGGAGTCTTCATATCTGATTTTTTGTTTACTTGGGCTTTTAATTTTGCATGTGAATTGGGACCCCTACAAACTGGAGTTTTCTTGCTGGTGTATTCTGCAACATGTCATCCAAGCAATAATAGTGTATTAGTGATGGATATATACTAGACCATCTGCACATAATTCTACTTTATTTGTAGAATGCTTCCCCAATGTTACTGTGTTATTGCCATCTGGAGGGGAACTCTTGCAACATAGTTCACACTATGTCCTTTCCAAATATATAGGAGGGGAGTTATTGGGTTTTTTGTTCTTGTTTTTATTATGTATTTTGTGTTCTCATTTTGTATTTTTATGTTGTGAACCACCTTGTGATCTTCAAATGCAGGGTGATATACAAATTTGATTAATAATAATAATAATAATAATAATAATATAATATAGCACAACAAAAGCAGGTCATAAAACCCCTGGAACATTTGTGGTATGAAAAGGTACTGGATTTCAGTAGGAAGCCATAGGACATGCACCTATTCCAAACAAAGCAGTATGATCACCCTGAACCATTTGAAGGTGCAAACAGTATTGAAAGCCAGGTTGCATGTAACAGCCCCAATATTATTATGAATGCACAATTTAAAACATATGTATATCACCTCCTCCTTGCAGATTGCTCTTCTTGCTCCCCACATCTGCACATACAAATTCCTGCTGACCAAGATCATTGTCCATAAGGCTTTCCTGCACTAAGTTATTAGTGTGGCTGCCCCTCAGTATTGACTATCTGCATGTGCAAAAGGATAAATCACGTCAGGTCTCAAAGGCTTCCTTTATCACACAAGCCATTCACTGCGCAATAAAGAAAATCCTATACCTCATCTCTTGCACACAGTGATGCACATCTTCTTTCAGCATGATACATCTGTTGTGGGCTTGTTGGATTTCTACAGTATTCAGATGGTAATACTTTGTACCTGAGGTGAAATGGGGCCCTTCTCCAGAACAAGAGCATTTTCACTGTTGATGTGACTGTTCCCTGCAGGCAGTCCAGGGGGACTTCTAGACCCCAGAGGAAGTGAGGGAAATCCTAGCAGGTCCAGAATATGGAAGGAACCACCCATGCAGGTACCTTAGTTTTTCAAAGGGTCATTTATCCTGGGAACCATGTGGCAAGGTTTAGAGCTAGCACTGGAAGCTTTCCCTGGGCACTTGGGCCCACAGCCAAAACATGCAGCTTAAAGGAAATGTAAAAGACACAAGAACCTAAAACTGTTTATTTTAACTCTCAGAAAGGCAGGGAGATGCTGGTGCCTCTGGATACTGCTGGCAGCCTAAGAAGTCAGATTCTTGGGGGCAAGGTTATAGCAGCTCATTAGAGTGCCTAATAAAACTGTCTACAGATGTTCACTGCCCATCCTGATACTCTTTGAAAGAATAGGACCTGAGTAGGTCCCAGATAAACCTGAATAGCATTTCATCACTCATGCAGCATTCCTTAGAACTGCACTAACAGAATCACCATGATTACAGGGCCCAGCAAGCATCCTGCTATGTGCTGACTGAATGCCACCTGCAAATATTGGTAGAAAGATGGTGGAATGTTGGTGGTCATTAGTCATTACATCCAATATTAGTGGGGCTTGTGAAACCCATCTTGCACACACACTGCCAACATGAAGAGGTACATCTTGTCTTCGTGCTCCATACATCTACCCCAAAAGCAATATAGCTAGGACTACAACTTCCTATCACTGCTGAGATACCCACAAGGAAACATATAATGCAATCAATGTTAATCCTGAAGGCAATACATTGGTTGGTATGGAAGGAAGAGGCAGACAACACTAGAAAGGGTAGGAGGTTTCAAGAGGGGCAAACAAGGTTACATGGTGAGAGATAATTCAACTGTTTTACACCCATTTAACTCCATCATTAAACTACAACCTAAGCTTATATGGGTGGGCTCTATATGAAACAGAGCTGAGCCAGCTGAAAGCAAAAGGTGGCAGATCCCTAGAGGAAAACTAGCAGGAACTAGGGTGTATACAGTTTAAGACAAATCTGCCCTAAAAGGATAATGAGGGTGAAATTGTTTATGATTGCTCAAATGTGGAGAGGCACCCTATAGGTGTTTATAGGCTAATATAATAAGTTTCTGAGCCAAGGTGAGTGAGCTGGAGTGCTTGGTCTTAGAGGAGAGCAGAAATATAGTGAGCATAATGGAAGTCTGGTGGAAGGGAGAAAACCAGTGGGACATGGTTATCTTCAAATACAAATTCTATAGGAAGGACAGAAAGGGTGTGCTGAAGGTAGTGTTGCTCTCTATGTCAAAGAGGTCATATGAATTCAGCACACTAGAAATCCCAAAAGGGATGGACTCCTCCACAAAATCACTGTGGATGGTAATACCAGGCTTCAAAAGTAGTTTAGTACTGAGGATGTACTACTGTGCCCCCAATAAAAATGCCTAGGATTAACTTGAGGTGGAGCATGACACCAATGAGAAAGCCAAAAGAGGAAGTGCTGTAGTAATGGGTGGCTTCTATTATCTTCACATAGATTACCGGTAGATGCATGACTGTTCGAGTAACTACAAAGAAGGAAAATTTCTAGATACCCCAAAATACTGTGTCCTAGAATAGTTGGTCATGGAACCAGCCAGCCAGCCAGTGACTCTGGTCTTAATCCTAAGTGGCACCCAGGACTTGATGTAAGATGCAAGTGGTATTGAATTGGTTTGGAACACTGATTATAATACTATCAAATTCAACAAACAGTGGTACCTCTGGTTACAAACTTAATTCGTTCCGGAGGTCCGTTCTTAACCTGAAACCGTTCTTAACCTGAGGTACAACTTTAGCTAATGGGCCTCCCGCTGCCGCTGTGCCACCGGCGCACAATTTCTGGTCTCATCCTGAGGTAAAGTTCTTAACCTGAGGTACTGCTTCCAGGTTAGCGGAGTCTGTAATCCAAAGTGTTTATAACCCAAGGTGTTTGTAACCCGAGGTACCATTGTATGTTTAAATGGAAAACTGCTGAGAAAATCCAATACCATCACATTTGACTTCAAAAGAGGTGCATCTGAAAAATGAGGTGACTGGTAGAAAGGAATTTGAAAGAGAAAGTCAAATGGATTAAATATCTCCAAAATATCTGGAGGTTATTCTCAATAATAGAAGCTCGGCTAGAATGTATAATACATTCAGGAAAGGTAACACTAAGGCCAAGAGGATGCCAGCTTGGTTAATGAGCCAAATCAAGAAAGCTCTTAGAGATAAGATTGCTTCCTTCAGAAAATGGAAACCTTGTCCAAATGGGGAAACATACACACCCCTTTTCATCCAACTAGTTCTCACCAATCCCTGCCTAGTTGTTATGCTCTTCCAAAATCAAATCAGAGACAGTAGGTATTTTCCCACTCACCAATCTGGCAATCATTAGTAGTAACACTACCTAAGTTATTGGGGATGGAAGACAGGGCAGAAGGGGAGACAAAGTGCAAGTATGGCCCCATCTCATCACCTGATGTCTCTGTCCACTACCATAGCACCCTCTGCTGATAACACCAAGTCATACAAGGTGATTAAAACATATCCCCAAGCTGGGTGAATGGGCATTAAATGGCAAGTGTGTTTCAATGTAAGCAAGTGTAAAATGATAGAAATTGGGGTAAGAAAAATCCTACTTTCATATATACTATTCTGGTCTTAACTGACACTGACAACAAATCGTAATGTCGTGATGAATAGCTGAATGACAATGTATGCAGCAGCCATGAAACAGACAAATTAAGAAAGGAATCAAAATAAAACTGTCAATATCTACGGTGCAGCAACTCTTGAAATACTGTGTACAGTTCTGGACACTGTGCCTCAATGATGTTGCAGAGCTGCAAACAGCAAGAAAATGATCAGTGGCTTGGAGCAATTCTTATTTGAGGAAAGGTTACAATATCTAAGGCTTTTTACTTTAGAAGAAAGGTAAGTAATAGGGGGCATAATCGATGTGTAAAATTAGGAATGGATTTCTTATAAGATTAGAACGCAGGGCCACCCAATGAAGCTGAAGATTCAAGATGCACAAAAGAAAGGGCATCTTCACACACTGAGTATTGTGGGCCCAATTTTATGGAACTTCCAACAGAGGGTGGATGGGTCCCTTTCCTGTTGAGTATGTGACACCTAATGAAGACTTTTTGTTCCATTGGGTATTTTAACTGAATTCTGATTTTATCGCTTTAATTGATTTTTATTTTCACTGCATTGATTTATTTGTGTAAGCCTGGAGACTTATCATAATTAAGCTGTATATCAATTGTGAAAAATAAAATTATGGAATTTGTAATGACAAGATGTGGTGATATTCACCAACACAGATGGCTTAAAAGCAGGGTTAGACAAATGCATGGAGAATTAAGCTATCAGTGGCTGTAAGTCATGATGGCTTTTTTACCTCCAGTATCAGAGCCAGTATGCCTCTAAACACCAGTTGCTGGGGACCACAAGTGGGGGTGGGGGTGGGAATGCTATTGTGTTCATGTCCTACTTGTGGATTTCCCATAGGGATTTGTCCTCATGGCTATATTGTTGCCTATGGGAAGTTCACAAGCAGGACATAAGCGCAATAGCATTCTCTCACTTGTGATCCCCAGCAACTGATGTTCAGAGGCACACTTTGATATAGATAGCATATAGCCATCATGATTAGTAAAAAGATCTAGCACTATGGTCCCATCTTCATTTTAATGACTTGTTATCGACAAAGAGACAGAGTGGCAATCCTCCCTAACTGTGAAAATGACAGAGTTCATGTTTCAGTCTGTTCTACCCTAACACCTCTTCTGAAGATTTTTTATGAATTTAATTGTGGGAGGGGTGGATAAATGTGAAATGGTGGCTCACGGTATTATGAGAGTTACTGCTTTAGAAAATTTGATGATTTATTTACTTATGTATTAGTAATTGTATTTTACTGATTTGTTGGGTGTTGTTAAGGATTATGTTATTTTGTGGATTTCTCTCTCTCTCTACCTGTTGTAAACCATCTTTTGACTCATGGAAAGGGTGGTATAAATAACTAACAATATGTATGAAAATGTTATACCGTCCTTCTATTAAAATGACAATGGTGGTGGATGGGATACAATACATTAAAAACTCAGCAGGAAAAAATGAAAATTGCACCATGTGCTTCCTACCTGTTGGTGTCTCTTGCACTTCCTTTCTAGGCTCTTCTTTTCATGCGTCTTTGAGATCCAGATGGTAGTAAGGAGGCCCAGAGTCACCAAGTGGGCATGAACAGTTTGATTCTGCAGATTAATTGACTCTTTGGTGAATTTCTGTATGAATTTTTTCAGACCAATCCCTTTACTGTTTCATAGCATCTTTTGGTTCTGGTAAAGTCTAATAAATCAAAGATGAAGAAATAATGTCTGCATCTGATTGTCCAGCTGATGGATGAAGCACAGAGTCTGCGATTGAACTCCTCTCCAGGTAGGTCCTTGGTAAGGACTCTTCCATCCTAAAATAAGAGAAGACTACATTGGCTCCTTGAGATGGGAACTAAACACAGCTCATAAGTTTTTTACAATCCAGCTCCCTACCTACAGTATATGTTTCAACCCACTGAGAATATAATATACTGCCATTCCATGACCCCTACTACCATATAACTTTATTTCTAATGTGTCTTAGATTATCCAGGGATGGATATATGTATAATACTTGAGACCAGTGCATTCCCTGTGAAAAAATATTTCTCTGAAAGGACATACAATGGGAGCCAGCTAGTGCAGCACCCAGGAAGAAGATATTGATGGGGTTTAACAGCATGCAGAATATGGAAAGGAGAGTCTAAAAGTCAATAGAGCATGTTTTGTGCTCCAGCACTGTAGGAAGGAAGCAGTTGTAGGCAAGAACCTCAGTAATCTGAAAGCATTGCACAATTTGCAAAATCTGAATTAAGGGACCAATGATTCAGAATTTTATTCCATTTTATGAAATACTGAATAAAAGGTAAGTTTTGGTGCCATAAGTGGTAAGTGTCTGATTCTTCCAGTTAGGATGCATGCAAAAAAATCCCTGCTAATGTTATTAGCAGAGCCACTCATCTCCTTACCAGGTTGTGGCCCAGATAAGCCACCCTTTTGCGCCTCCTGGAGCCCCTCAGCCTAGTTTATAGCCCTTCTGCTACTTCTTACTTGAGACATCCAATAACTGTCTCCTCTTATTTGCAGTTTTATCAATAAGGACTCAGCTATGGACAGGCTCCAACTTGAAAAATACAGCCCAACTGTCCCTGGAAGAGCATCTGAGGACTGCTCAGCTTTTAAGGTCTCATTGCATAAAAGCTGAAGTGAGTTCTTACCCTTCTAATCTTTGTCCCCTATTCCAGCACTGCAGGGATGGTCCACACTGGCTTGTGGGCATAGTTCAGGCTGGGTTAATTAAGCATATTGAGCCAATAACCTTCCATGTTAGGATAGTGATATTCATAATTTAATGTATTGCTGCTGAAACATTAGCCTGTCAACAAATGGCACCATGCCACAGAAGTCTTAGTGCTGACCACCTTTCAGTAAAATGAGTGTATTGTTAAAGCAGGCATAAATCATTTATGGTTATGGCTCTATTGTCAAACTGTACATGCAAATAAGCAGTAACTTGGGTAATTTATTTTGCCTTTTGGAGATTATTTTCATGATTTTATTATCCCATTTTATGATTCATAGGCACTGGCCAAATGCCATTTTGTGCCTTTTCAGTGCTTTGCTGCTATTCTGTTAGTCGTCTTCAAAACAAGAGGGAATCTGGCATCAGCACTGTCACAGTCCCACCAGCTTCCAGCACGGTTGGTGGAAATCCAAGCATCTTATTGTGGATACACCATTCCATTCAAAATACAGGAAAACAATTGACAAGGCTTTATTGGAAAGGATGGTGAATGGAAGAAGTTTTAGATTGGAAACCTCTTTGGCTAGAGACCTGTCAAACCTGTTCTTTGTACAGCCCTATGTTTATGATATTTAAACACAAATAGCAACATAGATGGGGTGTTCTACAAGCTTTCAGCCCACCAGCTGATGAATGGATTCATGTATAGACCAGGAATGAAACCTCAATTGGCTTTTGGAGCACTCTGGCAATTAGCTGCAAGATTGCTGATGTTTTTTCTTCTTCTTCTTCTTCTTTTTATTAATCCTGCTCTTCAGCCAAAAAAGGATCTGGAGCAGCTAATGGAACACATGAGGGAATGCACAGGATTCAGAATATGAAAATAAGCAACAGCAGCACTAAGCAGGCATCACAGCATCCAGGAAGGGGAACCTGCAGCTGATCATTTTCAGCAGAGGTTGAAGATTGTGGTAAATCTGTACATAGGGTAGAAGACTTGAAATGTTCTGTGTCCTGATGCTTACATAGCATCTGAAGTCGCCCTTGTAAAATATTGTGGTACTTCGCTTGTCATTTATTTATTTTGTTTATTTAAACAATTTATATACCACTTAATCCCAGTAATCTCAAGTGGTATACAGGAAACCAAATACAATAAGACTAAAATGAGTTAAAACAATAAAATCAGAATTTAATTTAAAATAGTCTTATTAAAATTTAATTTAAAAAGTATTCAGTAAACACTGGGAGCTCAACAGGAAGGGGGCCTGTGTGACCTCAACTGAAAGGAAGTTTCATAAAATTAGGCCCACTATACTGAATGGGCAGCTCCTTGTGGATACAATCTGTGCATCTGAGCCATGGGGGACCACCAACAGTGACTACCCCAAATACTTCAGTAATCAAACAGGAATATGAAGAATCAGGCAATCCCTGAGGTATCCTGGATCCAAGCTGTTATGGGCCTTGTAAATAAGAGCAATGAACCTGGCTGGGTAGCATACAGGCACCAGAGTTATGTGTTGGCAATAGTCTGTCCCAATCAACAGTCTAACTGCAGCATTTTGCATAAGCTAGAGCCTCCAGACCAGGTCCAAGGGTAGCCCCACATAGAGCACATAGCAATAACAGAGTCCTGAGTGAATCATAGCAGTCAGACTATTCCTGTCCAAGAATGGTTATAGTTGGCATACCAGCCATAGCTAGTAAAAGGCGCTCCTAGTCACTGAGGCTACCTTGATCCTCCAGCAACAAGGATGGATTCAGGATAATTCCCCAACTCTGAACATGTTCTTTCAGAGGGAGTGCAAACCTATATAGAACAGGCAACTGGCCTATCTCCTAGACATGGGGACCACCAATCCTCCATCCTTCTGTCTTCCCAGGGTTCAAGCTCAGCTTACTGGATCTCAACTCCACAACTGTGCTCAGACAATGGTCCAGATTTTGCACAGTATTTCTTGACTCAGATGTTATGGAGAAGTAGAGCTGTGTGTCATCTTTGTACTGATGACACTTTGCCTCCCAACTCCAAAAGAGTGCACCCTGTGGCTTCATACAGATGTTGAACCAAAATTTGAAATAGATGATAGACAGATGATAGAAAGAAAGAACCGCATTGAGAACAAGATTGCACACAGTGGTACACTGTAGTGCAAAGACCATTAAACCAAAAAAGCTATCTTCTAATGCTACTCATTGGAAACACCTTGTAGGTAGCAGTAGAACAACAGTAGAAAAATGCCCCTGATACCCAACCCACAGAGCCAGTCCATAAGGATACCATGGGTAGTGGTATCAAAGCAGACTAGAGATTAGGCAGAAGCAGAGAGGCACTTCTCCTGTCCCACTCTCGATTCAGGTCATTTAACAGGGCAACCAAGACTGAGTCAGTCCCAAAACTGCACCTGAATCCAGACTGAAACAGATCTAGATAATTCATATCCTCCAGGAACTCCTGCAACTGCACAGCCAGCATTCTTGTCACCACCTTCCCCAAAAAAGGGTATTTGCAACCAGGAAGTAGTAGTTATATACCATGGAATCTGGGGTGAGCTTCTTCAGGAGTGGACACACTACCACCAGTTTAAAGGCAGTAGGCATCACACTGTGTTGTAAAGAATGTGTTCACCATACCCTGGAAACATCCAGCCAACCTCACTCCCCACGGCTAGCTTTCACCAGCCAAGATGGGCAGGGGTCAAGAGAGCAAGAAGCCAGTTGCAGCATTATAAGAGTCATGTCCACATCATCATAAACTGAAATTGATCCCTCAGAGCATAGGAAGGGACTGCATTGGACACCTCAGCTGGAACACCAATGACAGTGGCATTGAAGGCACTATGGAGCTAAGTTACTTTATCCTCAAAGTGTAGTGCAAATTGATCACAGCATGCTGCTGAGTGCTCCAGAGGCCCATCCACTACTTCTGGTACAACTAGCCTATAGAACACCTGAAACAACTCTGCTGGATGGTTCTCTGAGGATACAATGGAGGTAGAAAAGTAATTCTTCTTTACCACCTTTACTGCTGCTTGGTAGGCAGAGTTATGTGACCTAACAAGCATTCGGTCATCTTTGGACTGAGTTTTCCACCACCTGTGTACTTGGGAAAGGGTGGTGAAATTGGGTGCATAACGTCATTGGAAATAAAAAGTTTGTCCTTGTCTGCCACCATGAGCTTCTTTGTAGCATTCTCAGGGTATCTACTCACTTGGAAACCTCTCAGCTTAGGAGGTACTAGACTGATGAAGTCGTAATGAACTTCCATCTACTCACTAACTCTGATTAACTTATATGAACTATTAGATGCATGATCCTAACGTATTTTCCATAAGCTGCTGATTCCATCAATATCAGTATAATAAATATCATTCACTTTAAACAGTTATTTTATTCTTGTGTTGGATAACTCATATATTGTATTAATCTCTTCTGTTATGCTGATTTTTAAAAAACGCTACTTTGCAAACCTCTTGCAATAATTCCATGGCCCCTCAAGGCGTCCACAGCTCACTGGCTGGAAACCACTGAACTAAAGAATACAGATATTAGTGGTGTTGCCAGAAGATTCCCCAAACCACTGGATAAAGTTCATATCCACTGCTGAGGAGGTTCAGGGTGACTATCCAATTTGAGGATCAGTGAGATCTAAGCACACAGCCATTCAGGATATGGTTCAGCATTATAATTACCTCATCACCTCTTCCCAAGCTATTGAATTAAGCCTAATCTTTCTGGGCAGGGCAGGACTGTTTCATTTTACCAATAAGAAGGGACAGTTATTCACTGCAAGTCGAAGAGAGAATGAAAGGAACAAGAAAAGCAAATTATATAAGCTCACTGTGAGTACAATAAATTTTAGAAATTAGGACTGTTTCACACAGGCAAACATTGGTTTGTCACTTAGGCTACAAACATAACAGGGAGCTGCAGCCAATCCTGATTAATGTACCTGTTATGGTACACATGCTTGTCACAGTAACTTTTTGTATCATTATGTGGTACACTTAAAGCATCTTAGATGCACACTTAAGAAATGTCACCTGTGTTGTAGCTCTTGCACAAGTTGTCACATTGATCATCATGCGCTATAAAGATCAACATTCCCAAAATAATTTTTTGACCTATTGCTCAATAATACAGCTTATGCAATTCAAAATGTTTCTGGTGATGATCCACTGAACCTTGACTGAACATAGAAAAGGCTTAGAGCCAAAGCCAGGGTTGTTCACTTTAAAACTGCTCTTGTGGTCTGGAGAGTGTCTCAGGCAGCAGGTGCCAGGAGACTCTATGCCAAAGACTCTGGAGAGCCACTGCCACCCACAGGAGACAGTCCTGGGCTAGACAGATAACATCATATACTGCATTGGATTTCAAGGCAGAAGAAAGGTGGGGTAAAAATGAAAGAAAGGACTGTCTGGGAGGGACTACAGATCTCCTTTGCCAACTATGACTACATTTTGTGCTGCACAGCCAAAAGCAGGAGCAACCATTACTCTCTTAGCTACAGCTACAAGAGAGTTAAAGCTGAGGTTTCTAAATTGCTCTCTTGAGGTCTTATTACTTGTTGATTAGCTCCTTTTGGGGACTGCATCAAACCTTCTACAATAATAAACACTCCCTTCATTGGGAATTCTGTAACAACCTCAACTGCCCTGCAGCCCTCTGTCCTCGCCTGGAAAAGGCAGCGACATATGTGAGAATTGCTTCCCCTTTTGGGTTGTGAGTTCTGGAAGTGGGTGGACATATTGATCTGTGGAATATTTAACAAGCTTATTGAGAGCAGATATACAAGTGTCAGGTTTGTATACTTTCATATTTAACTTCTCAATCCTAAAAGTCTAAGCAGAAACAAAAGTGGTCTGTGTACCTGTGGGAAAGCATTTAAGGTAGCTTGGTCCTTGGCTGCTGTCAAAAACAAGCTGCTCTTTGACAAACTAAGTTCCGCACTTGTGTGATGCTGGTCTTGAGCAGCATCACCCCTCTGCTCTAGTTAGTTAGTGTTAAAGTGCCAATTACAAGGACAAGAAGCAACTCTGGAGAATACTGTGGATGTGGGTCAGAAAAGATGAGCAGAACTGGTAGGAGGTCCTACCCTGAAGATTTCTAAATAAAATTTGGCCTTCAGCTTGGCAAAAGCCAAAGCCATGCCATTGAAAACTAATTGTTTTGCCGAGATGATTTATGCCATTATTTGGATTACACTTACAATTCTAAAAGAAAGGGGAAGGAAATACAGAATCTCAAGCACAGGGGACATTGTTCTCCGTTTCTGATATCTGTGTTTCTCTCCAAAACAGGGCATGGGGCCTCCCTAAAATCCTCTGTAATGAATTAGCCTGAAGTTATCTCAAGTCATTGCCTCAAAAGAGCCAGCTACCTGTTGGAAGAGAGGTCTGATCGATGCGAACTAAAGCAGCCGTGCGTGAGCTGTTACACAGTGGTTAGTATTGATCAGAGCTAAAGGCTGCCGATAGGAATGTAGAGGGAACTGACAGGCGGAGAAGAGGAAAGGAGGAAACTGCCTTCGCTGGTGGCAGTCATACAGAGGAAAGCCGATAAAAAGTCAATTCCACTTAAGTTAATAGCTGCTAACTAAATATTTTGGGGGGCAGAGCCTTCCCTCTGTTCCGGAAGTGAGACATCAAGCAAGAGCTGGGCATCGACAGATGAGATCACAGAAAGAGTTGTGATGGCCAGTTGAGCAGAATGAGAAAGACGTAGGCTCCACACAATCTGCTAAGCAAAACCTTGCTGTTGCGTATATCAGAGGGAAGAAGCTGAAAGGTAGCAAACAGCATGGGACCAGGGGCATCTGCAGGATTTTTTCTGGGATGGAAGGCACAAAGTAAAGATTCCAGAGTAATAAATATGTGCACAGACACACACACACACACACACACACACACACACACACACACAGCGAGAGAGCTGATCTACCTTTTCTTAAAGTTCTGGCGATTGAGCAATGGTGAGACCCAAACAGACCTGACCTCTGAGAAACAAGCATTCAAGCATTCAAGGTGTGGTTCAAGTGAGGAGGAAGCTCACTAAGCAGAGATGAAACTTGCATATCCCAGGGGCAATGGAAGAAGCAAATGAGGCACTGTGGAAGGAGTATAATTTGGCCACAAAGAGTAGCACAGATATTGCTGCACAGTTCTAACATTTAACTTGCAAGCCTGTAAAAGTAAAATTTTGCTACAGAACATCAGGGATAAAACCAGGAATCAAACTGTGTTTTGTATAGAATGTATATAATTTACACATTATATACACATTTAAGCATTCATCATCACATTTTCTCTCCCTTCTTCCCCATTGGGAACCGATCTTCTTACATGCACTGGAAAATGAAAATGGACATATTCAGTTTTCTTCCCAATTAGTTAATTGCTGGGTTCTTCTGTAATCTGCACTTGCTGAAGTCTCTCTTCTGACTTGAGTAAAGTTAACTTTTCTTTCTTTCTCTCTCTCTCTTTTTCTCACACACAAACAAGATTTCTATTAAGTGGACAGTTTTACAGAATTAGGTGCTAAAACTGAACATAGGCATTGATCATGCAGACTTGGGAAACTTGGGTCCTGATTCCAAAGACTAGGAATAGTGTGGGGATCTTTTACAGCCATATGCTTTCTCAGACTCTGGGTGGAAGATTCATGACTGTATCAGGCTCCTGGTTTTAAATCGTCTCAGTCACTCTTGGGTCTGCTACTACTGCTTCCTTAATGGGTCTTGCTGAACTCAATTGTATGCTTAACCAGTGTGACTGACAGAAATCCAATGCTGACCACTTCATTATGTGGTGACCTTGCCCCGCTTTCCTTCTGTCTTTCTAATTCCCCATCCTGGGCAGTGCCCCCTTCCTAATGAGAACTCATTCAAGGTCAAGACCTTCAAGCCTTCACTTTTGGGTGCAAAGTTCTACTGTATCCCAAGAGAAATTCTGCTACTGGAAATCAGCACTTTGAAGTGCAATCTTCCCCAGATCAGTTTGGTACAGTTTGGGTGGGATTCTATTTCACCAATTAATCTCTCATGATCCATCTGCACCCCAATAGGCATGTCTGCTACTGTTCCTCTGTAGAAAGAAAACCTTCTTAGACAAATCTTTTTTTAAAAAGTAATACTGAAATAGATGACATCCCTCTGTGGTAGATCAAAAGTGGTTCAACCAGTCTCACAGGAGGTGTCTACACTGATTATCAATATAAATAACATAATAAATAAAAATAGTAAAAGAAACACTAAATAAAAATTGTAAATCACTTGCAGCCCTCTCAAATATTCCCAGGTCTTTCTGTACCTGTTCCTTAGAACACTTAAAAAAAACAAACGCTGGGAGGGAGCATAACTTACTAGCAGAGCAGTTGTTTTACATGTAGAAGATGGTCCAGGACGTCACCAGTTAAAAAGATAGCAGGTGATGGGAAAGGTCTCTCTCTGCCTGAAATGACAACCCTGGAGAGCTGCTGCCAATCAGAATAGAAAATACTGGGATAGATGGACAAAGAGTCTCAGTGTGGCCGTAGAAGACACACTGCCTTTTTCTGCATTTCCTCCAAGCAGTCTTAACAAAAGGCAGTTGCATACCACATAGTCAACAGTGCTCACTAATCACAAGAGAACATCTAGGGCAGGGTTCCCCAAACTTGGGACTCCAGCTTTCTTGGGACTATAATTCCCACCATCCCTAGCTAGCAGGACCAATGGTCAGGGATGATGGGAATTATAGTCCAAAAACAGCTGCAGACCCAAGTTTGGGAAATCCTGATTTAGGAGATGGGAGTAAGGGAAATTATTCCAGATCTCCACAAACGCAATAACAATTTTAACCCTAACCCAAAGCAATGGCATGAGTGCAAAGATGAAAAATGAGGGAACATTTGGTCAGATTTGTATTTCCAATTTATCTGGTCAAAAGCACCTTGATGTGTCTCCTTCATGTCCTTCTTCCTTATTTTGATTTTTCCTTTTTAGGGTGGTGGTGGTGGCTGTTTTGAAGTTACTATTTGTTTCCAACATTTCCTCCAAGGAGCTCAAGCATACATGGTTTCCCCCCTTCACAACCACCCTGTGAGATAAGTTAAACTGAGAGACAATGACTGGACCAAGGTCACCTGCTGAGTTTCATGGTTTAATGTGGATTTGAACCCTGGTGTCCAAGATCTTAGTCCAAAACTAACAACTATTTTTTAAAAAATGTAATTAAAATATTAAATAAATAAATACTGTAATACCTAAACAAATAATCATAGCCATAGCTATTGGGGGGTAGCCAGGTTTTTGCCCCGGGTGAAGCTTCCAGAAGGGTGCCATTGAGGCTCCTAGCCTGTGTGTATACACAAATACATACATGGGGTGTGTGTGTACAAAACTGGGTCTTTGACCCAGGTGAAATAATCATTTGCCCCTGAAAATAATCAACAGGTTACTCCTGAGGCTAAGGGTCCAAATAGTCTCTTCAAAGAAATATGATGTCCACACTCCCTGTCCGTTTAACCACAGAAGTTGCACAACCCTCCTTTTCTCAAGTAGCAGAAGTGCTGACTATCTGAAACTATCCACAAAGAGAGAAAGGAAGAGAGACACACACACATACCTATGTGCTCACGCACACAAAAAGCAAACATGATCTGTGATCAATATCTTTACAAGTCTGAAGGAATCCTAGCTCCCAAAGGGTTAATCCAAAGAAGCAAAGCTATCAGACTGTTTAGTGAGCTAATGCTTTTATTGATGGGAAATGCCTTTCTGGCTCCAGGAGAGAAAGCTCCATACAGGTTGCAAGGATACAGCCTGGTAAAGTGGGAAATCACAGAGACCTGGCACCAAAGGATCTGCGTGCAAGGCTTTTTCACCACCACTTTCAAGTGCAGGCACTCAAAGTAACCAAGCCACCCAAGAGCTACTCCAGTCATGAGATCATCCACATTAAACAGCTTCAGGGTAAGGCACCCTAGTCATTGCCTCAAATGCCAAGCAAATCTTAGCCTGAAAATCCCATATAAAGAAGGTCCTGCTCAGATGGCTTAATCTCCTGTTCGTGTTTTTTTTTACAAAATGTACAGAGCATTCCTTTTTAAAACTATCCAGTGCCTGCTGGTTGTGATATCTGGCCTTAAAAATGTTACCAGTTTGCTTCAAATTATCGGCATCTATCTAGTAGGCTATCTGTGGTCACTGCCAGGGTCAGGGATCAAGGTGTAGTAGTCTGCTAATAAAGTGTAAGCTAATGTTGTTGTCAAATTGCTGGAGTAAACAGACAGTGCCCACTTCCCACTGATGAACTTCCTCTGGGGTTGGGGATATTGGCTTTATTGGAAAACTGCCAGTTGCAGAAGTGATGGAAGTGGCTTGTAGCAGAAAAAGACATCTTGATTTTGTAAAAGGATGAGTTCTGTAGTTGATAACCATCTGAAAAGCAGTTCATTGACTGACTGTACAATGACATTTATTAACGATCTCAGGGCATGACCAGGTGTGGGTTTGGTCAGTGCCTGGAAGACAGCCTGTCTAAGAACCCCTTATACGATACTTTTAGTTCCCTTCTATTAGGGAGCTGGAATATAAATCCAACAAATAAACATAAATGAATAAATGGTTGGTTACTCCTTATATAAAGAATCTCAAAATCTGCATCACCACTATTCCACTTGGCTGAATAGCAAGCTATTTTATTACTTTACTGCATTTTTATTCTATCTTTCTTCCAAGGTGCTTCCCTCTGTCCAAGGTATCCTGAACCCAATAAATAGTCATATTGTTGACAAAATCCTCACAGTTACTTCCAACTCTACAATTCTATAAAAAAACTGAGGTGTATGGCCATATGCATTGATGGCTTTACCTGTTGCTGTCCAGAGAACTTTTGAACTTATGTATGGTCTGACAGTATGCATTCTATTGGGTGGAGGGTGGATTGTTTAAGACAATCTGCTACCCACTGGTAGCTACCGAACTACTGATGAATTCTGCAATCTTATTAATGTCAGAAGGATCCTGTCGGTAAAGGTAAAGATAAGATCCTGTCTACAATCCATAATGCAGGGCATTTACATAGCTTTTAAGGGCAGAATTTCTGAAGGACACCTGGAAGACATGGCTTGGCTGGATATAACTTTAATTAATGTTCCAAAGTTGGGGAGCTTTCCGGATGAGATTTTTCCACAGAGCACATACTTAAATTATGGAATTTATTTCCAGAAGAAGTAATGATGGCCAGTAACCTGGATGACTTTAAAAGTGGATTAGACAAATTCACTGAGGATAAGGCTATCAACAGCTACTAGCCACGATAACTATGTTCTACCTCCACTGTCAGAGGCAGTATGCATCTGCATGCCAGCTGCTGAAAACCAGAGGAGGGGAGAGTGCTGCTGTGCCCAGGTCCTGCTTTTTTGCTTCCCACTGACACCTGGTTGGCCACTGTGAGAACAGAATGCTGGACTAGACGAATCGTTGCCATGATCCAGGAGGCTCTTCTTATGTATATCTTTAACATCCCAGAGTGACCAAGTGGATGAATAGCCCCTGCCTGTATTTAATCTTACCCCATGTTGTGGGATGAGTTTCAGCTGACACAATCTGATGACATGTACAAGGTGCAGTAATACACCCAGCATCATGTCCTGTGAATCCCTGCCCCACACTGCTGAAGAAATCAAGCCAGCAGGGTATGGTCAGTTGGATCCAGAATGTGATTAATGTGTGTTTGTGCAAGAGGGTGGTCCCTGCTGCCTTTCAAAAAGCAGCAGTATGGCCAGCCTAAAGCCCATCCTGGACCCATTGGTTTGTGATAGCTACTGCCCAGTCCCAAATACTCTGTTTTTGATTAACGCAATTGAGAGGAGGGTGGTGGGGCAACTACAAACACCCTTGGATGATACTGATTGCGTACATCCATTCCATTCTAGTTCAGACCTAGTTTTGGGACTGAATCAGCCTTGGTTACCCTGAGGGATTGCCTTCATTGAAAGAGAGTCAATGAGAATATTACTTTGCTTTTCCTCTTCTCTCTGGCTTTTGTTACTACTGACCGTGGTATCATTTTGGGCCAGCTATTAGGGAAACTGTTTTACAGTGGTTCTTTTTCTATCTCCAGGGTTGGCTCCATATTATATAATTGGAGAAGTGTTTGTCAGTCCCAACAGTTATGCTACGCGGTTTTGCAGGGCACGATTTTATCCCCAATGCTTTTTAACACTTATACAAAGCTGTTGGGAGCAGTAATGAAGGTATTTGGAGCATTGTGTCATTAGTGTGCTGATGACACACATCTCTTCAACTCTCTTTCTCCATATTGAAGCTAGTGTAGCTGTGCAGAAACTGTACTGGTGTCTAGAAGCAGGCCAATAAAAGGAGCTTGAATCTACAGAAACTCTGTGGGTAAGCAGTTCCTGGGCCCAGGAAATGTGTCAGTTGCTTGTTCTGGATGGGGTTGCACTCTCTCTAAAGGGGCAGGTACATAGCAGGGGGATGCTCTTTGATCTACCTCTATCACTGGAGGCCTGAGGAGTTTCAGCAGCTACAAGCACCTTCTTTCTGCTTTGGTTGCTGTGACAGCTACATCTGTTCCTGGATAAGGATAGCTGACCAACGATATTCCAGGCATTGGTAACCTCCAGATTGAATTACTGCAATGTGCTCTATGTGGGGCTTATCTTAAGGTGGTCCAGAAGCTACAACTAGCGTAGTTATACGGAGATGCCCTACTGACAAAAAGGTACACTGGCTGTACAAAGCCCTAAACAACTTAGGACCAGATTACCTCTGAGGATTTGCTACCTTCTATAGCCCAGTCCAGTCACTTTGATCCTCAGCAGAGACACTCCTAGAAGTACAGTATGCTCCTGAATGTCCTCTTATGTCCACTGAGATCAAAGCTTTTACAGTGGAAGCACCTTCCTTTTGGCATGCACTCCCAATGAATATCAAGCAGGCATTTAGGCTCCTGCTTAAAACTCTTCTTTTTACCCAGACATTCCCCGAGGGGTATCTGCATTAGTACATTAAGTTATGTTGATGTACTAATCTGATCTATGAAGTATTCTATGTTAGTTTTGTTGATATAGTTTTATTATTGTTTATTATTGTTGATTTTATGTTATTCATTGCCATCCTTTTTAAAAAATATAGTTGGTAGGGAATTTTTATACAAATAAATAATTTAAATAAACCACATGACAAATATGCCTGGTGTGGACAGTAAGGGCCCATGTCAATATAAAATGGTGATCTCTGTGCCAGTGTCTGCCAGAGAACTAAAAACCCAAAGGGTCTCCATGGAACCCAACAGTGTTGTAAAGGCAGAAAAGAATCTCAGCAACAGATGAACATCATATGACACAAATGATCTATTTGAAGAGGAGCAGCTCCAGGAGCAGAATCAGATGCCTCCCTGTTCACCATCTAGAACAGGCTTCAGTTGGTATTTAGTTGCTTTTCAGAATTGTTCTAATACTCACTTAGTGCCAGCAGTTAACTGACAAAGATGTAGAAATGAAGCACCATCTTAAGTCTTGCTCACATTTTTCTTCTTGTGATTTGCATATTCAAGGTCTAGATGCCTGGCTGTCAGAGATGGTGACAGTTGTGGGGGCTTTCTAGCTTTATCAAGGGGGATTATTTCAACCCAAATTATTCTGCATTGTAAATGTTTAAATCTACATTAAACCCTGATTAATTCATGAAACAGCCTGATAGCGTATTTACTAGAAGGAAAAAAAATCAAATTATTATGGCCAATTCCCAACCAAAGTAGCCTTTAAAATGCTGTATTCTGAGCTTTGGCTAACAAAAATGTTTTTAAAATTATACTTCATTTTGGAAAAGCTCTCTTTAATTTTATAGGCAATCTGAATCCTTCAGCACTTTTGCACAACACAACAGGAATTAATAAAGTAGATAAATCCTAAATAAATCTGGATTTGGGTTAACTGTGACTTGAGATTTAGAACACTGTAGGAAAATGAAAAGGGGCGGAGGCAGGTCTACCCCTAAAGCTGCCTGTGCATGAAGAAGGGATGTGCTGAGGAGGAGGGTGGGGGTTGGGGATCCAGTCGAGCTGGGTAATCAAAGAGCTTATCATGGTAGTTCTGAGGAGATGTTCAAAGATCTTGTCTGGCCACAGGCTTGGTAAGGTCACATCAAATGCAGTTCTCAAAGAAGATTATAGGGGAGCTTGGTTTGTGAGATTTGTTGCAGCAAGCTAGTTGGACTACACTAACTCAGAGTCCTGTCACAGGCAAATCTGGCTTCTTTCAAACCATTTTGGAAATGAAGGTCTGGCGCCAAACAATAAGCAAAAAGCAGCTTTGCAAAAAGGCACCTCAGGTCTTTCTAGATCCCTGCAAGCAATCCACTCCTCAGAAAAAAAACATTTGGGGAACGCCCTTGGATTTGCTATATTGGATTCAGAGAAGATTGTTTAAGCAGAGTTCTGTGGTATGATGCTTTCCTGACTCCTCTTCCACCCCCACGCTCCAGCATCTCCTACACTCCCTCTGAATGCAATAGGGTGCAGGAGCTGCAGCAGGCTTGGGAAATTGGACAAAGACAGTAAGACTGTTTTTCTATTCATGCAGGATACCTCTGGATCCAACCTTTTGATACTCTATGCCAGCCTTTCACCTTTCCTTTTTACATGAAGAGGAAGAAAATGGAAGTGACTAAAGAGGTGAAGAGTATTCTCGTTGTAGAGTGTACCACACACAACCATCTGTCCTGGAGAGTTAGGCATCTATCTTCACATATTCATTCATTAAGAGGAAAATATTATAAGAGCATATAAAACATTTCAAGACTTTTTTCCAGAAAAGAACTCACCAGAACTCAGTTCTGGCACCTTTCAGGTGGGCGCCATTGCCATTCTAAGAGAATGAGGGAGATATTCATGGTGAGTTCCATCACCTCTTTTTCTAGAAAAATAGCACTGTTCAAGACTTTTTATGACACTTGGAAAATTAACCCTGCAAATAACTAGATCTATTTGTCTGGATTTTAGACTGCTGTAAATGTTTTTGAAACTTACTCATCCCTCTCAGCTTCCTCTTGAAGAAATGGAGCAGATGTGCACTGCTTGAGTGCTGAGTCTTACAAATGACCAATAGAACTATTCTCCCTGAGACTGGAATGACCAGAATGACACAATGACCAGAGCAAGGACTAAGAAGTAAGAAGAAAGGACAAAAATGTACTCATCAATTCATGTTTTTTGGCACCAATGTCTAAAGTTTACAGTGATATCATTCCCTCAACAGCAAGCCACACATAAGAAAGTTGCCACCAACATAAATCAAAATTCAGCTGTGTTGGAACATTCAGTTTTCAACATACAAGACAAACTCTGACCTGTGTCCAAGTTCAAGAAATAAGAACATTCCACAAGCCAGCTATTAAAACTATCACATCAGGATAAAATGCACAGACAAGAAATTACAAGGTAACAATTTTTGATCATTGTTTTATGTGTCCCTATCCAAAAATGCATAAATGGTTCTTCCTCACACAAAGAAAAAACCTTTACCTACAGTACATGTTACTTAGGCCAATTAGTGCAAAGCTCTGTAACCAGCCAAAACACAGCAGCAATGTTTATTTTCCTAAAAATGCATGGCAACCCCCCAAATTTTGAGAAAGCTTATTAGTCAATCTGTGCTATGGGGCATTCCTGGCCCCTCCAGCCTTGTGAGCAGCATGAAGGACTGAATTTAAGAGTAAGAGAAACCAGGTGCATAAACCTAAGAGAATGTTACTAACATCAAAATAAATGAGTTTGTTCACTTTCAGTTTTAAGTGTGTGGTTTGCTTCTTTTTACTAACACCCCTGTTGTTGTAGTACTATTATTGTTATAATTTTAAAAGAGTAACTTGATATCTGATGAGGCTGGGAGAGAAACAGGTTTTCCAAATACGAATGAAGAAAATGTGTTTGGTATTTCAGACTCAACACAGGGATTTGATGATGCAGCATCTCATTTTCCTTGCCCATTTTATTAGGCACAGCAGCAACACTGACTGTGTAGTACTTGCATTCACAAGAGCTCTGCCTATCCAGTAGAGCTCCCATATAGCTTAGGACAGACGAAGGAATGTTCAGGGCAGTGGCAGAAGGCTATTCATAGTGGCACAGAGGATGGCCATAAACTTTCCCAAGCTAACTCCTAGATCTCCCCATGGAATAGACTTCTCCATTCACCCAGTGACTTAGACAATCTTTCTTCCAGAATGGCCTGTTGAATGTTAATCTTTTCTGTCCATGTCTTCCATGTGATTAAACCATTTCCTAAACAAATCATTACTATTTATTTTTTGTATCTTCTGTTCACCAATAAATATAGTTCAAAACCCAGTAGAATTTGGGAAATCATATTTTGTCTGTTTATGACAGATAGGACTGCAATGTTGATATCTAAAGTTTCTCATTGCTGCCAAGTTGGTGTGAACATTAACAAAACACACCAATCGGGGATTATGCTGGCAACAATGTCTAGGAATTCAATTCAATTCAACGTCTAGGAATTCAAAATGACTCCTGCTGGCATGCCCAGCAGAAAACCAAGCTGTAGCAGGGCAAAGGGGTTTCCAGAGCTCAAACCCACACCATAAAGACCACAGCAGCTCCTTAGCCCCTCAGTCACAGCATGGACACTGGCCCAAGCAAGCGGAGATTAATAGTTTCCACAGCAAGGTGATAAGGCAAAAGCCAGCACCTTGAAAGAAAATCAAGGTGTGGGTTCAGAACCACAGGCCATGTTTCCACAGCTAAGTTGTCACAGCAAGGCCCTGCAACAACTGGCTAAGTTTTATAGCAGAGCTAGGTATTCATTTTCTGGAGGCCCTAGCATTGAATACAGGCTACAAACTGATGCTAGGCAAGATGGGGGCCCCTCTACACCAAGGAGAAAGATGGGAACCAACCAGTCATTTTGGACACACGAGAATATAACAATAGCCTTGCTGGATCAGGCCAGTGGCTCATCTAGCCCAGCATCCTATTCTCACAGTGGCCAAACAATAGTACTCTCCCCTCCTGCAGTTTTTAGCAACTGGAAATTGGGTCATACAGCTTCTGACTATGGAGGCAGAGCACAGTTATCATGGCTAGTAGTCATTGATCGTCTTATCCTCCATGAATTTGTCTAATCCAGTCTTAAAGACATTCAAGTTTATGGCCATCACTACCTCTGGTGGAAGCTCATTCCATAATTTAACTATGCGCTATATGTCCTGGATCCTCCAACATTCAGCTTCAATTGGTGCCCATGAATTTTAGTGTTATGGGTGAGGGAGAAATACTTTTCTCTATCACTTACTATATCCTGCATAATTTTATAAATTTCTATCATGTCACCCCTTATTCACCTTTTCTCCAAACAAAAAAGTCCCAAACCTGTAACCTTGCTTCATAGGGAAGTTGCCCCATCCCCTTGATCATTTTGGCTGCCTTTTTCTGGATCTTTTCCTACTCTACAATATCCTTTTTTACCATCCCTTGCTCTGGCAACTCATGTGACCTCCCCCCACCCCTTTTTTTTGCAAGATGGGCCAGCCCTGTCCCCCATCCCCAGTGTGCAGCCTATGCTTACAGCTCAGCTTCTGCCTCTCCTCTCCATGGAGGGAGGGGGGAGAGACTGCAGTGACTGAGTATACTCATCCCTTTGTGTGTGCATCCACTTGTTGACTACAGGCATCCAGAAGGTGCTTCTGTAAGGCAAAGGTGTTCATGAGTTTACCCAATCATGGCAATGTTTAAGCACAAAGCTTGGCCTTTCCAGGAGTCAGAAACTTCAGAAACAGGTGCAGCAGCCTTACTCTGAAGCAAGTGTTTCCCCTTTCTTGCTTACTAGTAAGAGGTGCTCTATCCTGGCACCAGGCCCATACAGGGGAGTGAGCAGCCAAGTATACTTGCCCTTTGCCTTAATGAGCTAAGCTGGCTGGGGGGGGGGGCACCAGACACTGGCTGCTTTTTTGTTTGAGTTTATAACTTTATTCCAACAAGAGTCCTGCCCTGGGCCTCAGACAAGCTCTGTATGTGCCTGCCTGGCACTCCAGTTGTTGGAGAGATTGAGGGTTGTTATTGTATGTTTGTGTCCGGAGTCCCAAGATGATGTATCTGCTACAGTTCTAGGAAGGGGAAAGTTAGCAATGTGCTCAGGTTCCTATGAGTGTTATGAAGACAGGCTGCATTGTGCTAAGTGTTTCACTGTATGCAAAGGGCCATTTCTCCCAGATTCCCATTATCAAAGTTCCCCATTGAGAGAACTAAGTATGCATTAGGGCTGAGCAATATCTGGTTTTCAGCATCATGATGTATCAGCAGCTAAAGATCGCAATATTCCACTATATCACAACGTCTGAAATTAGAGATCAGGCATGAGGATGAGGGAAGGAGCAGTCACGGAGATCGTGCAGATGGGGTGTGTGCAGATCAGGCGTGGGAATATGGGAAGGAGCAGTCATGGAGATCAAGTGAGTGTCCACTGTGGCTGCTGCTGCTTTCCTGCTGACTGAGAAAAGCTGCTCTGCCTCAGTGCCAGGGGAAGGTAGTGCCACAGTGCCTTCAAGTGAGGAAAGGCAACTCAGATCAGCAGTGATGGCCGTGCCTCTCCATCAGCGTGAGGGAAGGCAGCTCAGATAAACATGGTTATTGGCTGAGATCACTGTGCAATATCGGTGGTGCCTTGAAATTGGCTGCCCTGCCCTCCCTCGTGTGAGTAGCAAGTAGTGATATATTGCTGCATATTGCCGGATCAAAATCATTATTGCAGTGTGATTTCAAAACTGATTTTGGCCAATATATTGAAAAATTGCATAGCGCTAGAGTGCATGATAGGAGACCCGAGTTTTGACCTCAGTCCTATGCAACTGTTGTCTAAACTGTGGTCTCTGACTGTGGAGTTTGTGGGTTGTATCCAATACAACCCACAATAACTCAAAGGAGACCTATTGAAATTGATGGATGTGACAAAGGGCTCACCCACACTTAACTTCTGTCCTGTGCTTTCTAGGCACATGTCTGTGCTTTCCTGGTCTGTGTCGAAGTGCTCTCCCCACCCACCACCACCTCTTTCACCAGGAAAACCCACTCTTTCATGCTGAAGTGGAACAAATGGCAATTCAATGGGCTAGTGCTAGCGTTAAAAAAGGCACTTGAAAATGGAACTTTAAAGTGTGGGCCTGTGCCTAGAAACATGGCACAAAAGCAAGTCTGGATGATCCCTAACTTAAGTGCATTAATTTCAATGGGTTTATTCAAAGTTGAAATTAGTGTTTGTCCCACTGCTTCCCACCCCAGGGAAAACCACTCTTTAGCATTCAACTTGAGCAAGCAGCAATTCAGGTTTTCTCCAGATGGACGTTTGCTCCAATTTAGGACTAAAAGGTTGGTTTTCTCTGGGGAAGGGAGCAGGGCAAGGAGAAAACTGCTTGGACCCATGCCTAGAAAGTGCAGGTCAAACCACTTGGAGCCACACTTTCTAGGCACAGGACAAGTGGAAGTATGGATGAGCCCTTAGTTGGATGAGCCCTTTAAACCGCCCAGAGTGGCTGGAGAAACCTATTATTATTATTATTATTATTATTATTATTATTATTATTATACTGGCAGAAATGGTATGCTGTTGCTGTGAGGAATTGAAGTTACACCGTATCTGCTCTGTTTCAGACATTTTGCCAGTATTTAGTTATGAAAAAAGGGGAACCAATAATTAATAAGGATAGGATATCTGGAAATACGCAGAAGGAGATTGAGGACAGGTAGACAAGAGCAAATGTAAAAATAGCGAACACTGCCAGGGCTCCTTCCCTGCCTGTAGTGGTGGTTATAAAAGCAGCTCAAGGTCTATAGGTTAATAGAGAATGTATTAAGTCACAAAACTCTAGGGCTGAAGAGATGTGATGTTTCTCCTAATCCAACTTGCTTCTCTGAATCAAGATTTAATTTATTGACATACAGCAACAAAGTTCATTTCGAAGTACTGAGATATCTTTGCAAATTGGCACATGGCATAGTAAGTGGTGAGAGACAGATCCCTACAATTAAGAAATGCACAAAAAAAGGCTCTTTTACCTGGACCCTCCTCTACTGGCGATATTACCATTGGTGATGTTACCTGGGGTTACAGCACAAAGCTGACCTCAGCTGTTTGGAACCTATTAAATTCCTACTCCTGCAGGCCCTTATCAGGCAGCCATCCAGAGGCACACACAACTCCTGCTATTAACTCTGATCTCCATGTTAGTTCCTTTTGCCCATATTCTGCCGCATTCCCTACCCATTGTGGAGTCTCAGCATCTCTTAAAAGCATCTCTCTGCAGTGATGCCTGCCTTCTGGCCACTAAACATTTCCTTGTCTTCCCATCACCAAACATAAAGGAACATCTGTCTTTGGCCAGGGTAGTTGACTTGATAGGTGCAATGTAATGGAGGACTACCCCCTATTGCAGAGACTGATAACATGGCTGGCCCTGGAATAAAAATGGCATCTCAGTAGCCAAATAAAAGGGCAGGGTATGTTCACTTATTCCTGTGCCCTGAATGACTCTATGTAAAATGGAGTGCTCTATATGGTGAAGTTATTCAGTTTTACTAAATACCTGCACAAAGCAATGTGTACCTAGTCAAAATTCTCCCTGCCACTGCTATGACAGAGATCGCCTACCTTAAGTACTACTACTAAAATGAGGCTGCATTTTAAGCTGTATTTTAAGCTGTATTTTAATTGTTTGTTTGTTTGTTGTTTCTTCTATCACGTTTTATTATAATTCATATTTGGTGTTAGCTGCCCTGAGCCCGGCCCTGGCCGGGGAGGGTGGGGTATAAATAAAAATTTATTATTATTATTAAGTAGCAGAAGCTTGCAATATATAAATCATCTATCAAGGTGCTCCTGAGTAAAATGGAAAAGCCTATCTTATTTCTCCTCATTTTTAATCACCTCAAATCACCTCAAAATAATTGGTCCTCGAGCTGCTGCAACCCCTGCAATAACATGAGCCTTTTAAATTATTATCTAAAAAAATAACAAGAAAGAGATATTTGGAAATCTATCCATTATCTGGTTGCATTCTCCATATGGCCATAACAACAGAGAGAGAAAGAAAAAAATCTGCCATTTGTCCCCCAAACCACATATTTAATCCATGTGCTTATGTCAAACTTAATTACAGCACATTTGGCATAAAATAACAATCCACATCCTTGGAGAGGAGAATTTAAGTAGTTAATACGTGTGATTGAGTGAAATTGCTTTGCTGAATGTTTATGGGAAATTTAAGATGGATGAAATGTGATGATATTTTAACCATGTAGATGCCAGTTCTGGGTTTTAAATCTGCATTTTTCCTGCCATAACTCCAGTTTTGGTTCCCAACTTTTAAACTACCCAGCAATTGTGTCCTTAACAGCAGAATAACATGTAGAAATGAAAAAGATGACATATACTCCATCTCTACATGTTAGGATGCAGTTTAAAACTTTGCAACCTCCAGAACAGGCATCATATTTTTAGCACTTTAAGAACTTGTGCTTGAGCCTGCTTTTCCCTTCTCCCTCTCATCACTTTTCCCTTTTGTGTCATATCTGTATAGCATGTGAGCCTTAGGGCAGGGACCATCTTAGCACAGATTTAGGTCAGGCTTGTAAGTCTCTGAGAACCCTTTTGGATAAAAGATGGGGATAAATGCCTAAATAAATATATCCATGGTTACTGTTGCACCCAGAACACTCAGTATGAAGGTCGCCTTAAAAACATCTTCAGAGGGTTCATTCTTTCTTAATACTGACAACCTGCTGAGTGAACTATCAAAGACCAGGCTGGGTGGAGGAGCTACACATAGCCTTGATGTGGATAATAATGGTTTTGTTTGTTTGTTTGTTTGTTTGTTTGTATGTATCTATGCATGTATGCATGAAGCGCTTTTTTTCTTTGGGGACGTAGGGTACGAATACCCCTAAACATTTTGTGAATCTAAGTTTGGCCCCATTGAGGGATAGTATTTCAATATGAGTAGGAAAATTAGAGAAGCCCTAAACATTTTTTTAGAAGAAAAAGCAATGTATGTATGTATGTATGTATGTATGTATGTATTTCCCACTATTTTCCCCTGATGGGCTCAAGGTGACTTACAGATAAAAACAAGAACTGCTAAAAACATAGAAACATCAATAATTAAAACACAATTAAACATTGATAGAAACTACAGGCATACATAAAATCTGTTTAAAACATACCAATAATTACAATAAAAACAGCACAAGCCCTCTCATTAAAAGCAGTGAAAGAACAGCAAGGAGGGAGCCAGTCTAGCTTTTTTAGAGAGGGAGTTTCAAAGTCTGGGAGTAACCACTGAGAAGGGAGATGGGCTTCCCCTGAATACTGTATCTCAAAACCCAGGTAGGTTCACATGAGGGAATATTCCTGAACGTATTTTATCAAGCATTTTTATCAATAATCCCCTCATTTATTCTCTAATACATGAACAGGACCTAATGGCTATAAAGCAGGGGGTACAGATCTTGGAAAGCTATAATGTGGCCCATGAAATGAAGATCCCCGTCCATGTACAAGCACACATGAGCATCCAAGAGAAGCTTCTTAACCACCTAAAATGTGAGTGGGAACATTTTGCACCCACACTAACATTTTGTACTGCACATGAAAGGGAATTGTGCTATGCCTTGCATTGCTTGATATCAGCCCAGGACCATCAGTCAATAATGGCTCACACCATAATAGTGCATGACAAATTACAGGGGCAGTCATATGAGAAATCTGTTTGGTTTGATAGAAAGATCTACTAATAATGAGGGACTAAAGCTTAATTATTTGCTTCTTGCCTTGTTACCTAAAAGTTGAAAGTTAAACACCTAATCCCTGTCAGCCTTTCATTGATTATGGAGACAGAAATCATATCTGTTATCATATTGGATTCCTATTTCAGTCAGGAAGTTTGATGCCCTCTCCCATCTTACTCTGAGTAGTTAGTCCCTCTTCCCATGTCCACTGGAAATAACTGTCTCCTCTGCTAGATCTGAGATTCCAGACAGAACTTTCCCATGCCACCATCCCTCAAAATAGCCTGTGTTCCTCAGTATTTATAGCAGCAAGACTCTGCTGGGCTGATTTGTTTGGATTTCCACTGTTTTTGTGTTTAACTCACCCCTCACCCATGGGCAATTTCTTCAGGCTGTTACTGATGGGATATGTTTGGGTGGCAGAGACAGCATTCAAGATGGTAGCTGTGCAGAATAGGCATGGGCTGCAGAGAGAGAGGGTGGGGCAGAGGTTTTGTAAGTAGCTGGGACAATGAGAACAAGGCAGGCAGTATGCCAAGCATGGGATGGCTGCCAAAACACAGATCATTAGCTTGGGCCAGCTATAAGCAAGGAAATGAGAAACATATGTGGGAGAGCAAGGTTAGGAGTGAGGGCCTGTGGGTCAGTGACAGTCGTACGAAAACGTTTCCCTTGTTCTTCAGCTGCAGCCTGACAGTGTCAAATGCCATTCTGGTAGCCTTGATTTCTCATGGTGCTCAAGCTTGTTTTGGCCTGATATGGTTTTTTGTTTCTCTTTCACTGATGGGAGCTTTTGGGAGGAGGAAGGGAACAGACAAGGAAGCTTTTGGGAGGAGGAAGGGAACAGACAAGGAAGCCTTTCCCCTCCCCCACCCCGGCTATGGGAAAAAGCAGTTTAAATCCCAACTGCCCTGGGAAGAAAGGGCGGAGTTCTTAAGTAGGTCTTGGTGTTCTTTCTTAAATGTAACTAGCTGCACCTCATTACCCGATACTGAAGGCCTTTTGTGCTTTTGCAGAGCTGTGCTACCTGAAAGCTGTGACATGCTGCAGCTTGTAGTATCTACTTTTATTTTATGATGCTAACTGTTTGGTTTTGACATCTTTTAACTATTCTCTATGTAGACTTCAAGTTACGTTGTTTGCAAATAATTTTGATTTTCTCCCAAGTTTGCTGATCCATCAGTCAGCGAAACTTAGTGAACTGTCTACAGCTCCAGCATCTCTCATTTTTCACTCATGAAGAGTTTATAGACAACAACTTATAGAATTTTTTCCACCTTTTCCCAAGCATAGCACAGATGGAGGTGAAACAGTATCTGGATATGGGAAGAGCTCTGGTTGACATGCAAGTTCCATTTTTTAATATTCTGGGATGTGTGGTGAGGTATTGTTTGTTGTATTTATTTATGTTCCTTTGGGTGTTATGGTTTTATGTCTCATTTTTTATTTAAATTGCTTTTGTACTTATTCATTGTAAGTTGCCTAGTTAACCTTATGTTATCTATGTTGCATGTATATTGGCATCCATCTGTCCAAGACATAACAGATGAGTGTGCCATTGGGAGTAAAGTCAAACCGTCTGAGAGTTACAGTGCCTGCTGTGGCTGTAGAGACCAATACAGGAAAGACATATTTTATTGCAGCTGGGGCATATGAAGGCATCCAGTTTTGCTGTTACAGATGTACCATGGCCTTTATTTTCTCTGAGCTCCTCCCTGCGGTCATTTTTCCTCTGGTCACGGCTGTGGGTACACAACCTGTCTGTCTCCAGGCACTGCTGTCAATTGCAAGGGATTCCCACACGGCGGGTTTAATGCTGCCAACCTACATGTCACATTTGCAGACATCTTTATAACGCAGAGTTGGTCTGCCAACAGGCCTGGTGCTTGCCACATGCTTGAGGTGGTAGGTGGTTTTGTCTATCTGGGCTCCACCATAACCAGCAACCTTTTCATTGATTCTGAGCTGTACAATCGTATTGGTAAGGCAGCTATAGCAATGGCTTGCCTCTCCAAAAGGGTATGGGAGAATGTGATGCTAACAACCAATACCAAGATGAAGGTCTACCAGGTTTGCGTGTTGAGCATGCTGCTTTATGGAAGTGAGTCATGGGCAACTTACACCTGCCAGTAGCAATGCCTCAATGCCTTCCATACGTGCTGTGTCAGGAATATTTTGGGTACCACATAGCAGGAAACTAATGTCATAAGTAAATAACAATTAATTAATTAATTAATTAATTATTCTTATTCACATTCACACCTGGGACTGCATGATAAGTTTTAGGGTGGAGTAAGAAAGGGACAGCAGTCACGAAATTAAAAGACGCCTGCTTCTTGGGAGAAAAGCAATGACAAACCTAAACAGCATCTTAAAAAGCAGAGACATCACCTGGCTAACAAAGGTCTGTATAGTTAAAGCTATGGTTTTCCCAGTAGTGATGTATGGAAGTGAGAGCTGGCTGATCGCCAAAGAATTGATGCTTTTGAATTATGGTGCTGGAGGAGACTCTTGAGAGTCCCATGGACTGCAAGAAGATCAAACCTATCCATTCTTAAGGAAATCAGCCCTGAGTGCTCACTGGAAGGACAGATCCTGAAGCTGAGGCTCCAATACTTTGGCCACCTCATGAGAAGAGAAGACTCCCTGGAAAAGACCCTGATGTTGGGAAAGATTGAGGGCACAAGGAGAAGGGGACGACAGAAGACGAGATGGTTGGACAGTGTTCTCGAAGCTACCAGCATGAGTTTGACCAAACTGCGGGAGGCAGTGGAAAACAGGAGTGCCTGGCGTGCTCTGGTCCATGGGGTCACGAAGAGTCGGACACGACTAAGTGACTAAACAACAAAGAAAGGGAATCTATTCCAAATATTATTTTCTAATGAAAGTTTAAAATACTTTAAAAAGGTAAAAGGACCGCTGACCATCAGGTCCAGTCGTGACCGACTCTGGGGTTGCGGCGCTCATCTCGCTTTATTGGCAGAGGGAGCCGGCGTACAGTTTCCAGGTCATGTGGCCAGCATGACTAAGCCGCTTCTGGCGAATCAGAGCAGCACACGGAAACGCCGTTTACCTTCCCGCCAGAGCGGTACCTATTTATCTACTTGCACTTTAACGTGCTTTCAAACAAAAGCTGGCTGCAATTCTGACTTGACACTGTAACAAGAATCTGAGGAAGTATTATAGAGAAAGCAGGTGCCATACAGAACATGAAAATATTCAGTTACACTGGCCATTGCATAACAGAAAAATACATTTCCTGTTGGTCCTAAAGCTGCCTACCTTCCTCTCTGTGTGCAGGGAACCAGCATGGGCTAAGGTAGAGCTGCTTGAGCTGAATGACTATACAACCCCATGTTATGCAGAAGCACCCATCCTGTCCCAAGACAAGCAACAATGCAGTTTAGGCATGTGTGGTGGTGGACTATCACATTACTGAGACGGTAGCAATCTTTTGGAGGTTCTAATAACAACACCTATTTGAATCCTCACCCAACTCAAATTTGTCTCAGGAGTAGGTCAACTAATTGTTTCTTAATCTGCTTCCAAGGTAGAAATTTTCTGGATTTCAACTCTCCTTAGGATTCCAGGGTATGGGCACTTGTGCTCCCTGGAAACTCTGGCCATAGTCACAACTCTTGTCCAGTTTTCCTTTGGCCACTGTTGGTCTCTTCAGGAAATGGTAGCAAACACTCCCTTGCCTGGATGTCAACTCTCTTTATATTCCCTAAGGCTCTCTGGTCTTTAGGTAGCCCTTGGGAAGATGAGGGGAAAGCCTGCTCCAGAATTCTCACTGGCCACTAAGAGTCTCTGCAGAAGTCAATAAGCTGAACTCCCAGGCCTGAACTCTTTCCAGCAACATGAAAGATGTAGTGGCAAATACATCTAATGCCTAAAGTGTCAATTGAAATATATATCTGTCTGTTTCCTGCGTACTGTGAAAGGCTGTCAGCCTTGAGAAAAAAGTTATGTGCAGTTTAGATATTCATCCATGCATCACTGTAAAAAAAATAAAAATCTGAAGAGTCAATGCTATAATACAGTAAACTCTGTAAATAAATCTCAAGGTTCCACCCACATCTGCAGAAGTCTGTAAGTTTATCTGATAGCCATTCCCATCAGTTTTTCTTTTTTTAAAAGGTCACTTGATAGCACTTCCTTTCATATAAAGACACTGCCTTATAACAGGTCTGTCTGTCTACTCTGACTTGCAGTGGCTATAGAGGATGGTCTCCTTGGGCAGAAAGAGGTAATTTCCACAGCCTGCTACCTAATCCCTTTTTAGACTAGAGATGACATTGAGGATGTTGAACCTGGGGACCTCTGCATGCAAAGGAGCTGCTTTAGCACTCAGCTATATGTGCTTCCTCCCCAAAGACGTAAATGGAAAATATTTTTTGCAGAACCATCTATGTATCAGGAACAACTCTCCTTGCTGCACTACTAAATGTTTCCCAGGAACCTTCAAAATCTTTTCTTTTTAAAAACTTTTTTTTTAGAAATTTATAACCACAATGTAAATAATAAATAATTCCTAGATTGACAAGGAAAGAGGAAAAGAACAGGAATAACCTGTCAGCAACCCATAATCAATTAATACATTTTTTTACAGGTGGTCATCCACCCACATCACAAAGGCTTCAGTTTCTCATCACATATATTCACCTTACATTGACTATACAACCATTGAGATAAGCCAGAAGGACATGACATGAAAATGTCTAGAATTCAGTGGCATGCAGTGTACTCACAGTCAGATATATTGTGTTTCTACATTCTAAATTAAACCAAGCAGCTATCTGTGATTTCAATATATTCTACATGCAATCATCATTTTAATCAAATTGAGCCCCAGACTGCCTAACCAAAGGTAGTTATAGGACATGTACCAATGTAACATTACTCATTTTCCAGAGATCCTGCCTTTTTCATTTCTTTTTTGGAAGAAAGTGAGATCTGTTTTTTAAAAACAAAACAATAAAATACATTTAAATTGACACCCACAAGCAAGAAAACTATGAGCTACCCAGGAAAAGGATGAACGCCTCCCCTCAAAGGTTCAAGTACAGCCACAGACAAGGATTTTTCCATGGAATACTGTTTTGATGGCTCATAGATGAGCTGCTCTGCTCCAGCTCTTGGTAAACAGACCTTCTCCCATGCTTGATCTCTGCCACAAGAGGTAGTATGGTGCAAACAAAGAATAAACCATAACTGGGTTTTTTTGGCTGGCGATGGTGGTGTGATCATGGTTGCTCTTTGTTAATTTCTTGTGAGTTTGGTCACACCCACACCATACATACATACCACTAACAGACATGGCTTCCTCTAAAGAATCCTGGGGACTGAAAAGTGCTAAGAATTGTTAGGAGATCCCCACAGAGCTACAATCCCCAATGGATGGATAGATACCATGCAGATCCAGTAATTTTTAAAATTTTAATTTGACAGTAAGGCTTAGAATTTCATCTATTGTCACCACTATTTGCCTCAGTTTTTCAGATTCTGTTCCTGAAGAACTCAGGCACAAGTATCATCCTTCTTAAGCACATATTTAATTCACTTGTCATCCAACAGTCCAACTAACTCCTTAGATGGTTTCCTGCTTCTAATGTAAGTTAAAAAATATTATTGTTAGTCTTATGTTTTCAGAGATGTGCTCCGCATTTATTAATATTTTGTACCCCTTATTATCTGCTTGCATTTATTTTGCCAAAATTTGAGTTGGTTTTGGAAATGTATTTTGTTTTGTTTTTGGTTTTTTGCTGTTCATCTGAGTTATGTTCTTGTATTTTTATTGTCAGACCTTCTTATGAATTATCAGTGGATTCTTTAATTTTATTGTTTCATTATTAATATGAGATGCTTTCATTAGTTCATTTTTATATAACTATTTAATTTTTTATGTTTTGTAACTCTTAGTGAATTATGTAAACCATTTTGATGTGAGCTGCCATGAGCATAATTTACTATGGAAAGGTAGCATACAAATAAATGATGATTTATAAACTTTTCCCCCAGGTGGCTTTGAGTGACAGATTGCTAAGCCCAGCCAATGGTAAATGGCCATGTACTTCAGGAAGCAACACTAAGACCGTTTGGACAAATGGGAGGAGGGCTGCCACAGTGCTAACTACTACAATGCAAGCTTTGCTGGATTTGCACCCCTCTCAGGCAAGATAGTATCAGAGAGTGTGTATCAGAGAGGAAACCTGGCTTTTTCACCTGGATATGCAGGAAGACTAGAGACACCAGGCAATACAAAAGTGACAGACTGGGCTTTGGCACTGCTGGGAGGTTTTATGAAATACCAAGTGGTAGACAAATGATTTTAAATAAATAAATTTAAAAGGGCAGAGTTGTGCCACAGCCTTTACTAGCTTTCTTGAGTCAGTATCCACTTTTTCCACACTATACATAATTTTACACATAATTTATCATATCCCCACTTGCTCGTCTTTTCTCTAAACACAAATATTGTAACCTTTCCTCATAGGGGATTCAGTCATGTTGGTTGCCCCTTTCCCAGTGTTATGATATCCATTTTGAAGTGCAGTGACTGGAAGTGAACACAGAAGCCCATGTGGTCACACTAATAGGTATGTATAATGGCATTATGATATTGGCAGTTTTATTTTCACATCACTTTTCTCAAATAAACTTTCCAAACTACATGGACTTTTCAGTCCATTTTACAGTTCATTGGTTTTAAAAAGGAATTTATCTGAATGCCTTACATGCAACTCCACAGATGCTAAGCTACACCTTTGTGTTCTAATAATGTTCCAGAAAGCTTTGTCTTCTGAGCTCCTTTAATACTTACATTTAATATTTCTAGTGCTGGGATTAAGGGATGGTTGTCAGGTGACATTAGTAAACCTCCCAAACAGTCAGATAGCCCATAAGGTTTGGGGCCAGAATTAGCCTGTGGTGCATCTATCAGGATTATTTCTGGGCAAACCCTTGCAGAAGGGGGCCTGCCACTGTGAAAAATTATCCTCCCTTCTCCAAATCCATCATAGATAGGGACATCCACTAGTCCTTGATCTAGGGTTGCCAACTGCCCGCCTCCAAGCAACAACAGTCCAGCCAACTCCTATACCTTTATTAGAAAGGTACAGTCAGAAAGTTCTTCCTGATGTTTAATCAGAATCTCCTTTCTTGTAACTTGAATCTATTGGTTGGAGTCATACCCTTTGGAGCAGCAAAAATCAAGCTTGCTCCATCTTCCATGTGACAGCCCTTCTCTCATTCTCTTCTTCTCCAGACTAAACATACCCAACTCCCTCAGCCATTCCTCATAAGACTTGGTTTCCAGACCCTTGTTCATCTTGGTCACCCTCCTCTGCACACATTCCAGCTTGTCAATATCCTTCTTAAACTGTGGTGCCTAGAACTGGACACAATATTCCAGGTGTGGTCTGACCAAGGCAGAATAGAAAGGTTCTATGACTTCCCTTGATCTGGACACTAGACTTCTATTGATGCAGCCTAGAATAGCATTAGCTTTCTGTGCAGCTGCATCACACTGTTGATTCATGTTACGTTTGTGGTCTACTAAGACTCCTAGATCCTTTTCACATATACAAGACAGGTGTCCCCCATCCTATATTTGTGCAGCTGGTTCTTTCTGCCTAAGTGTAGAACCTTACATTTGTCCCTATTGAAATTCATTTTATTAGTTTGGGCCCAGTTCTCCAACCTGTTAAGGTCTTTTTGAATCCCGATTCTGTCTTCTGTGGCATTATCTACCCCTCCCAGTTTGGTGCCATCTGCAAATTGGATGAGCATCCAAGTTGTTTATAAAGACATTCAGCAACAACAGGCCAAGGACAGAACCCTGTAGTACCCCACTTATCACTTTTTTCAGGATGACAGGGAACCATTAGTGAGCACTATTTGGGTTTGGTCAGTCAACCAGTCAACCAGCTACAAATCCACCTAACAGTAACCTCATCCAGCTTCTCCACAGGAATATCATGGGGCACCTTGTAAAAAGCATATGTCCACAACATTCCCCTGATCCACCAAACTTGTAACTATCAAAAAAGGAAATGAGATTTGTCAGGCAGGACTTGTTTTGGAGAAACAATGGAGATTCGCTTATGTATTTATTTATTTATGTATTTATTTAACAAGATCTGTATACCACTTAACTGTAAATAAAACATATAAGTGGTTTACAAAGACTATAATATATACATTAAAATTGAAAGCAAGCTTATAAAAAAGCAACATGTATAAAATCAAGAATAAAAAAGGTCCTTCAGATTGCCATTCCCTCGCCCCAAACAGAAAAAAATACTAGATTATCTATTCATAAATTAATCTATTAAACTACAAATAAGCTCCATTGGACACAATTTATACTTTAAAGTCAATGTCACTGAAGTCCATATAATTTACTGTTAGTCCCAGAAAAAGTGTTTAGGAGTGTAGTCTTGGGACACATTCACACTGTACATTTAAAGTGCTATAATACCTATTTAAACATTCATGGCTTCCCCAAAGAATTTTGGGAGCTGTAGTTTAAGAGAGTTGTGCTGAGAGTTGTTCAGAGGCCCCTATTCCCCTCCCAGAGCTAGAATTCCCAGAGTTCCATGTGAAAAGAGTTTGATTGTTAAACCTGTCTGGAAATTGTAACTCTGAATTGGGGAGTCTATTCTGCATGCCCACATTAGAGTCCTAAATCTGGCATGTGGAGCAGGCTCCCCACTCAGCATGGTGGCACCAGCAGGGGATGAAATAGTGATGGCAGGACTAGGGAGCACAGACCTACTATGCCCCTCATGCAACAGCTATCACCTAAGCTACTAACTGAATAGGACTTTTGTAATTCAAGAAAAATAAAGAGATGTTCTGAAAACTCTTTCATACACTTATATTTCTGTAGGAGGGAGAAGGGATGTGATTGCAACTTCTGGTACAAATTATGACATTAAAAGATTATGGAAAGCTAGTAGACACAAGGCCAAGTAAAATTAACTCAGAATTCTATGCAGAATCTGGATGCTTCAGAAGCCCAACTGGCTTCAGTTTGAAGTTAGGCATGTAATGCTGCTGACCCCATACTGTGGAATACTCTTCTAGCAAAGGTTTAGCAGGGATTCTCACTGCTGTTTTTCAGGCATCTCTTGAAGACCTTTTTATGGTGACAGTCCTGTTCTGTTGTTTACATTTTTTCTGAGATGAGTCAGTCATTTTAATGATTTTTTAATATTGTTTTTATGGTATTTTATTTTTTATTGTACTTACATATTTTGTTGTACACTGCCTTGATATTTATATGAGGGGTGCTCTCTAGAAATATTTTTTAAAGAAGGAAAGGGTTGTATTCAATGCTAGTCCTACTCAGAGTAGATCCACTGAAGTTAAAGGACATGATTAATTTCATTAATATCAATGGGTCTACTCTGAGTAGTTAGTTACAAACCAAAGAAACTAAGGAAGGGACTGCCAAGCTGCTTGTGAAAAAGATGAGAATAAATAAGGGGTGTTAAGTTTTTAAAAGCAGCAAAATATTTCTCTTTCACACAAAAACTCACACACTTTCACATTTTTATCAGAATTCTGTCAGTTCTAAAACTGACATTTTCCTTTTCTGATCACTTCTGAGATAGTGGCATGGGAATCTTATTTATTTATTTATTACACTGAGGAAAACAGCAGATCATCCCACAGAGAAACAGCAAGGACAGTTGAAGTCCTAATCCCTGACCTGCCTTGCCCTTTCCTAACTAGCTATTGACATTGAACTTAAAAAGCTGCAGTGCTGCAATGAGATAATGACTTCTGTTTCTTCTCAGTGGAAAAATGGGAAGTAGGCCAGGCTGGGCTGGGAGACCTCAGAAATGGTGCTCTCAAGGAACTGGTATAATTTAAGTCTCCTGATGCCTGAAAATTGTTTAGCAAAGGAAGGTATGGAAAAAAGCAAAGCAAAACTGAACATACACAACAATGATTCTTAGAATGCTTCTTGAAGGGCAGAATAATCCTGTTTAAGTCATACATATAAATGTCCCTGAATCTCAGTTTACTCCGGTAGTGAACTGGAGCCAGGAACAATTGCCCAAGAGATCTCATGGCCTCTAAATTCAGCAGAGACAGAAGCAGTTGAAGAAGACCCCAATCATATCTCCTGAAGAAGGAGGCAGAGTCACCTAACTCTGAATCTGGGAGTGGCTGCCCAAACCTTTCAGAAGAGGGATCTGAATGTGATATTTGCTCTTATTGACCCCCACCCCCACCCTGGAGAAGGCAAAAGCCACTTGAGGAGGTGGGGAAGGGGCTCTGGCTGACATCAGATTTTACTTGAGGAAATAAGGGTTCAGTGGAGCCCATACCTTGGTGGTTTTCAACCACTGTGCCGTGGCACCCTGGGGTGCCTTTAATGGTGGTCAGGGGTGCTGTGGGCAACAGTGGCCTCTGTCCCTCTTTCCTTCCCTCCCTCCTCTGATGCTCTCTTGCATCTCTGCCTCCCAAAGGCTTGCACAGCTGTTTGTTGCAGCAGCCTTGACTATAAGCTCCAAAAGTGGGTACCGGCCTTTATTGTACTTGCTGTGTGCAAGGCCTGCCTGGGAGCTAAGTGCCCGGTGCTGAAGGGGAGACTTTCCGCCATGAAGGTCCAGCAGCACCCACTGCTGCCATTGCTTGCCTCACATTCACCTTTGGCCAATCTCTGTTGGGCCACCAAGGCTGGGGACATCCTCTTCCCAGGTTCCTGTGGGGTAGCATGAGGTGGCAACTCTCTTGAGGTTGAGGGGTGGCTCAGAGACCAGGGGCGGTGGTGGTGGCTGCCCAGAGGACTCCCAAGGAGAGGGCAGAGGAGAGGAGTCTAAGGGAACACTCCACAAGGGAGGGTGTTCCAAAAACAGTGAGAGGCTGCCAGCTCTGCAGGCAAGGGGTGACACAACTGTGCTCCTGAGCCCCACAGGGGTGCCGTAGAAAGAATGCAGTTGGTCAAGAAAGCCATGGACTAAAAAAGGTTGAAAACCTCCGCCATAGCTGGTTCAGCTTCTGCTATCCCTAGGAACTGTCCCAGGTCCTGCAGGACTTCAGTCTGCCCAGCTGCCTGCCCCTGATTCTGCTTCCTATTACCACACACTGATGCCTGCCTGTCTGTCAAGAAGAGTTTCTGCCTATGCAGCAAGCAGCAAACTCAGTAAATGGGTAGAACTACATGAAGACCAGACGCACCAGCAAAGAAGCCTCCAAGGATCACTTGTCAACAGTCAAGTCCCATTGTGTTTAGCTCTACACCTACACACAGGCTTTGCATGAGAGTTCCAGTAAGGAAGACAACAGTGCCAGGAAGTATTTGAGTTTCCTATCCAAATGAACAATCATTTGGATTGACAGATATTTGTAACCCTCATCCTCACACTGTCAGTCCATTCCCTAGAAAAAGAAAGCCAGCCACTGAAAAACTGTTCCATTACCAGAACCTTCCATTCATCCTTCTGATTAGCATAATTCATGAAAAAGAGTAAAGGGAAAGAATCTTCTTTAGTGGATATTTAATCAGTGTTCTATGAGCTTCATAAGCAACCTCTTTAAGACACCAGAAAATGAAACAAGACATATTTCTGGGGCTGTCAGCAGGTAGATCCACTGATTTTGCAGTAAGTAATCTCTATGGGAGGAAGCTCTTGGCTCTGATGTCTGTGTTGAACATTCTGTGGCTCCCCCCAGCCGCACCCAGGCAGGTCTCTTCAGTGGGAGAGGAGGCGGTGATGATATTGCTTCTAACAACCAGACTGAAGTGTAGCCTGAGGCGATCTTCCAAAGCCCCCTCCAAACAGCCTCTAATTAATTTTTATCCTGCTACTCCAATGAGTCCCAGGAGGGCAACAACCAAAACAAAAAAATCCTCTCATTTGCTCATTCAGAAAAGCTTTGACGGCAGTTCTTCAAGATTGTAGAGCTCTAAAGAGAAAAATGGCACTGAAGTTTTGCAGCTGGATTTTCCTCCAGTTCCTGTTTTTTGTTCAAAGAAATAGTTCTGTTGTTTCTGGTGAACAGGTCAGAGTGTATTTCTCTTCAGATACTTAGAAACACTTTATGAATCCTTCTATACATGTAAGGAATTGAGTCACAAACTTGGATTCTGCAGTGCCACCCATCCACCCCAAAAAACTTTAGGAGCACTTGGGCAGAAGCACAAACAAGGGTACAGTCTGGCTGAGGCCCACTTCACAGATAGAACAGAAATGGTGACACTGTTCATAGACTTTACATATCAGACTGTAGGTGTGAGGGACCACAGAATGGATTGATCAGTGTTCAAAATATATATAATTCAGAGACTATTTAGTTCTCTGACATTTAAGGTTGCTCCAATTCTTCTTACTTTTAAGACGTTCTTCCTGATATGTAAATCAGCACTGCAAAGGAGATCAGTTTTTCTCTTCCTGGACCCCCCCTTTTGTATTTGAAAGCAGTGGTCTTATCTAACCTTAAATGTTTTTCTGCAAGTGGAACATACTCTCTTTGTCCAACTTCTCTCCACTTTTCCAGGAATCTAATTCCTTCATATTTATTCTTATTTTCTTCTGAGACTTGCTTGAATAATCTGAAGACTGAAGTGCAGCTGTCCTTTGAACTGACTGTCCGTGTTGATCTTTGGAAGGGTTAAAGTGAGTGGACGGTTTTGAATTGAGACTCAAAATAGACCTTGCTTTTCATTTTGTTCTGTCCATTTCTATTATCTACATTCTACAAATTCTTCCTAATATGTCTACCTCCCTAGCATGGCTAGCTGGGTGGATCTGAATGCTGGTGATCATTCACAACAATCATGGAGTGATGAAAGAAGGCAGTAGATGCCCAATCCCAGAATACATGGAGACAGAAATCCATTTCATTACCTCATTACAGAAAAGCAAACGACAAGTCAGTGCAGAATTAAGTAGAGGCTGCTATATTCTTAAGGGAAAGCAAAGAGTTTCATGAGCCCAAGAGAGGCAGTATCACACCTGCTTCGCACCTCTCCTGTATTTCAATTTCTTCCCTGACCAGTGGGGATAATTTTGTAACATTACACCAGAACATCTTCCTTTCTATTTGACAAAATGAAACAGAGTCCTCAGGATTTTCCCACCCATTGCTCTCTTGGCTACTCTGCTGCAGTACTATTTCATTACTTATTGATTTTTCAACATGCTGTCTGCGTGGCTGTAATTTACACAGGTTCTGATGGCCCTTAGCAATTCTTAACACCTCAAGGTGAGGTCACGGAGTTCATCTAAGACAGTAAATGTAGACAACTAGAGTTTCAAGAAAGGATGACAAATTGGCAAACTTGGTAGCCAAATAGGAGTTGCTGCTAGCCCAAGGCAGGCCACATACTGAATTATCACTGGATTAAGACAAGAAATGAAGCAAGTTTGCACCTTGGTGTTACTATCCTGTGTAGCCAAGAATGATCGGGAAAGCAACTGAGGAAGTAAATACCGTATTTTTTGCTCTATAAGGCTCACTTTTTCCCTCCTAAAAAGTAAGGGGAAATGTGTGTGCGTCTTATGGAGCGAATGCAGGCTGCACAGCCATCACAGAAGCCAGAACAGCAAGAGGGATTGCTGCTTTCACTGCGCAGTGATCCCTCTTGCTGTTCTGGCTTCTGAGATTCAGATTTCCCCCCCCTTGTTTTCCTCCTCCAAAAACTAGGTGTGTCTTGTGGTCTGATGCGTCTTATAGAGTGAAAAATACAGTAAATAGGCAGAACAAGTTCTAAAGGGCTTCAATTACAGAAGTACAGATGATGTCCAAGCTTTAGGATAAAGGTCTTGATTGTAAGAACAGTTCAAAAATTGATCCAATTAGCAAGAGTGGCAGCAAGGGCGTGGGTGGACTCTTCCTAGCTGCATGTCTTTTATGCAGAGGCTGGGCTGGCATCTATCTGTTGGGTATTTCCTGCATCAACCAAGATGTCCTGCAATACCCTCTCAAGTACTTATGACTCTATAAAAACTATTTATTTGTGCATTGTTATTACATTTATATCCTAGGGTTGCCACACACCTGGAATTTTCCAATCATTACTGGGATTCGGCCATCGGAAACATTGTCTGGGCAGAAATTACGTAAATGTACATGAAAATCTGGACATTTGTGTCCAGATTTTCACTTTTTGAAATATCTCAACCCTATTATATCCTACCTTTCCTCAAGGTAACGTACATGGTTTCCACTTTCCATGTTTTCTTCACAACCATCCTGTCAGGTAGGTTAGGTGAGAGACAGTGACTGGCCCAAGGTTACCCAGTGCGTTTCATGGCTGAGAAGAGATTTGAACCCTGGTATCTCATGTCTGTGTCCAGCAGGCTAACCATTATAATAATAATAATTTATTATTTATACCCCACCCACCTGGCTGGGTTTCCCCAGCCATTACATCACACTGGCTCTCACAAGTTGTATACCTTGAATAAACAAAATAATATAACTTGTTCCTAGTATAGAAGAACTAGTTCAGAAGTACAAAGAATGAAGCTTTGTCACACTTTAAAAACTTACAAATGTATTGTGACAGAATGATTTCTTTGCTTTATTTGCTGCTACAGGCTAGCCTGGTTACCTTATTCCCTCCAGGATTGTCAAAATGTGTGGATCCAGAAAGTTGAGAAGAAGAAAGTATAAGCTGAGTCTGGCAGAATTCAGAAGAGCAGGCTGTGGGAGAGTGAGCACGTATGCATGCCTGACACCTTAAGGTCCAGTATGGCAACTGGAGCAAGTCACTAGACCCATAGCTATGACTGGGGAACACCCCTGCAGGAAGAGAGAAAGGTGTGTGATAATGTATTATCCCATCGCCTCCAGTCTGAAGCCAGAAATGCAGGACCAACCTGAGTGGGCATAGAATGCTGAGATGGGCGTCTACAAATAACAACCACTCCTAAGCTAGATATGCCTTGAAGATGTCTTGTATTTTTGCTCAATGACAATTCTTTCTTTCCCTTTAAGCATAGTTTTAAAAATTCCAAGCATCCAAAATTAATTGCAAAATATGCCACATTTGACCATGAAAATGACCTTATGGGTCAGAGCTCCATTTGAACATTTGTACACTCCTCACCACCAAGTATACAAACAGAGGCTCAAAGATGTCTGGGATAGCTCTGTTGGTAAAGCATGAGATTCTTAATCTCAGGGTCGTGGGTTTGAGTCTGTTAGGTAAAAGATTCCTGCATTGCTGCATTGTTGGACTAGTTTACTTTCATGGTCCCTTCCAACCTTACACTTCTATGATTCTATGAAAGTGACACACTGACACATGTGCAGCCCAATCCTATGCATATTTACATAGAAGAAAGTTTCATCATTTGCCTTGTTGGTTTACCATGAACAAGCCTTTCTTGTCTGTTTGTCTCCTCCCTTCTAGAATGTGGAAGAAACAGACCACTCTCACATCCAAACCAAGGGTTGTGGGTTTATCTTCCAGCAAGTTATGATCTGCAACCAAGGTTTAATTTTGGCATACTGATTATGATTTGTTAGAAGCAAAAAAACAACAACTATGGTGTTTGAACATAATGCTAAGTTAGAGGTCGTGGTGTGTTTCTTTCATGTGCTAGCAGGGAGGAAACAAAGAAACCAGAAATCAATCATGGTTTACCATGAAATGCACACTGGGCCACTTGGTGCAATGGGGCTTACTCCCAAATAACTGCATATGCCTTAAAATAACATGCTAGCAATAAAATTGTAATGGTACACACACATTCTAAGCCTAACAATAAGGTTCTAGTAGTCATTGCATGAAGAAAGTAAATGTTATGATTCTCACATTAAAAGGAAGTTAATTATATTCATACTCAATTACTGGTAGCATTTTGACATACGTGAATCCAAACTACGTTTTCAGTGCTGCACAATTTTGAGAGGGCAACACTAACATTTCTTGACATTTTAATTTTTGCTGAGCCACCAAGGTACAATGCTTTGACTGTTTGTTCATTTCATTTCACGTATATATTTATTTATACATTCATTATGACTTGTGATATTCAAGTTTGTGTGAATAATACCAGGAAAAGATACTATTCTAAAAATCAATATGCTGAAAGTGCTGTTTTAGGGCTGCTGTAGTTGTTTGTTGTTTTTCTGAGTTATTCCTATTGACCTGAGTTCAAAAACAAGGTATTGATTTATAAAGTACCTTCAGTAAATAAATGCACATTCTTTCAGCTAACCCTAGTAACTAGTCACATACTGAACAGGGCTTCAGCTCAGCTTACAGGCTGTGTTCAGAGTCCACTCTAAAAGCCACCAGACTCTGGGAAATAAAGGATAACCAAGAGAAAGTACCATAACAGTGAAGTAATAGTTTTGGGGCACCAATATTTTTGGTCTATAAGAGGCGTGTGGGGGATTGTAAAACACCATTAGTAACAGATAGTGACTGATATTAGCCATAGGTAATATAATGATGCCTTCAGACAACTAAACAGCCTGTATTTATTTCTCAGTTTAGCTGCTGGTCACTAGAAAGTATGGACACCCCCCCCCCCCCCGTCTAGGCACCTTCTTTCTCTTTGGTACCACACCATTTCTTCAAGTCTTCAGGTCAAATTCCTGTTAAGCCTAATGCTTCAGGACTGCAGCAGCCATGCTATTTATCAGTCATGGATTATATAGTCCACATCAGGCCTACAAGATGTCAAGCCTTCTCTGTCATTCTTCTGTGACCTAGGAGTAAAAATAGGTGATAGTACTTCATATGGGAACATGAATGGCTCTACTGGTAACATATTCTGCCCCCTACCTCATCTTTTGTACAATTTTATATTATTGCACATTAATTTTTGGTGTCCATTTGTGGATTATGATTAGATGCGCTCACACTGACCAGCAGGGTGTGCTCTCAGAGCAAAGCCAGCTATTCCTTGGCTCCAGATTAAATGAAGCAGACCCTCTGAAATTTCAGTGCCCTCCAAAGAGTAGGTGGAATGCTTTCAAATTCCCTCCTACAATAGCTCACTAAATGGCAATAATATAAAACAAGTAATTCCAACAAATTTATTTATTTACAGTATGAACAGGCTGCCCTAAAACAAGGTCTCACAACAAGAAATAATACCATTTAAAATTCAGTAACAATGGGGAAAAAACAGCAAAATTTTTGAAATGTGTTTTCCCCCCTCAAAGGTAAATTATTTGTCAGAGACTACAGACTTGTTTAGATGGTATGCCTCATTATATGTAGTATACTGTCCTCCCTAATCCTCAATGAGAAAATCTGAATTAATAAAATGCTACTCAGCTGAGTGGCTCAGCTTATTTCCACATATTCCCAAATCAAGATGTTTCAAAATCCAGTAACTGATATAGAGAAAGCTTCAAATATCCCCTAAAATGAATGTTATCTTTATTTTATCCACCTCAATTACTTTTTTGAAATCCATTTGCATTTGAACAATGTTCCAGAGTGCTTGGTGCTACTGCGGTGTCCAACCAAACATTTATTGATTTGGTGAGGTATACAAATAACAACAATTAAATAAATATATATGAACATTGGCTTGACAAGTTGTCTCAAATCTCCATTTCCAACTAGCTTTCAGATGCTCTCTCTTCTGCTTTGCTTTAAAAGTTTCAGTTTTGCATTATTATTAAGTAATTAATCACCTTAAACAGTGAGGTCCCAAGCAATATAAATACAACCATAACCTAAAGATAATCACACACTAAAACATTTTTAACTCCCCTGCACACCACTGTGCAAAATGAAGGAAGGAGCTATGAGGAAGCCTTCCCCAGGCTAATCTCCACTTCCAACACTACCAGGTTTCCTTGATGCTTTCTTTTTAGCTCCTTCTCTACATCCCCAGCAGATGCAAATATCCACTCTCACTGCATATTGTGCTGCTTCATAAATCCAAGCCTTCACAAGCAGTTGCCACTAGCCTTTTTGTTCAGTCAGGGAATTGTGCTTGTTCCAGCTCTGTGCTGAGCAGGACCTGACTTGCCAGCTACACTGGATGTGTCTATCAGGGTATTAGGGCAACCACTGTGAACCTATGGCCAGAAGGTGCTCTGCCAGATTCCACACACACCCTTGTTTAGATTGGGTGAATCTAATTAGATAAGCCATCCAAGAACAGAACTATCACACTTGTGTTCAAATGCCACATCCTACTTTGTGGTGCTCCAGGAACAGTTTGTCAGGGCACCTGGCCTCCTCATGCCGGGACTACATCAAATGTCCCTATATTATGCACTATCTCCCTCAAGCCCTCATGTGCACTGATGCTGGGGAAGGAAGAAAATAATGAAATGAGACTTTGCTTCGGTTTCATAGGTAATACTGTAGCCATCCACCTCTCTCCCCCGAGGTGTAAGTGGGTCCAGCAGCCCTTGGCTAGATGAGTCCTATCGATCTAAGAGGCTCTGTGTCATTTCCAGGGGATTTGCTAAAGAAGCTACTTATGTCCCTTTTTCATTTTCACCAACTCATTACCAGCTGCTTCTGCCTTGTGTATTTCAGCAACACCTGCAGGAATGAAGCCCGCTCCCAGTCCTTTTTATCCAATTTTGATTCAGATACCCTTAATTAAAAGCAAGACAACAGTTCGCTTGACAATTGGCTGGGAAAGCTGGAGTCAGCTCACACTGGCATATGAGACTGGGGAAGAGGAGTCTTTCTTTCTTTCTTTCTTTCTTTCTTTCTTTCTTTCTTTCCCCTGCTCCCAGGTTCCCAGTTCCAGATTAAGCAACTGATCCCTGGCTTAACTTTTAAATTAAGACTATTGTAAATTTTGGAACTTGAGAAGAGAGAGGACCCCCATGATCCTTGCAAATATCAAGTGCCTCTTGTTATTGGTTACTTTCCAAAGGTAGCTGCTAGGTTACAATGTGCTATGGGAATGAAAAGGGCCCACTATGTCCACCCTGTAGGATTTCAGTCAATACACATAATATTATCAAACTTTGACAGGATTAAAGATTGCTTCTTTTTCAGCCTGAAAATACAGCAGTTTCAGCCAGGCACAGAAGATGCCACCTTGTCTTCCTTAAGGAAGACAGGAAACCTAAGTACTGGATGGAAGACTGAAAAGCCCTTTTCAGTAGCTTCCCTGGCAGTGAGCATACCTTTCCATCAAGTACTTTCCAAATAGCTAGTTTTAAACAATTTACAAGAGCTGCTCAGATGTATGTTATTGGCATCTTTTCTTTTTCTGGTAACTTTTCCTGATGCAGCAAAGATTTCACCTGGATTTCTAGCTGCTTTACCTTGTCTAAAAGGTAGAAAATAAATGCCATTTTATACAGCTTACAGGTCAAAACTACTAACAGAGAACAATTGTCAAGATTTTCCACATTTCTAGGAAGTTCCCGAGAAAAGACAGGTTCTCTCTTTACACACATGCAACATAGCTGAACACAGCTGAGGAAATATGGGTGGCTCTGACAAGAAAAAAGTGTCTGATTCAGTTTAAGCAACACTTCAAAATACGCATAAATACTGAATTAATACACTGCTGGTGAGGTTTGATCCAAGACTGCAATTTGCATTGGACAGCCTGCCTGCGTGTAATGCCTTCATAAGAGTTTTATCTGAGAGAAGGGCACAAAAGCACCTTATCACCACTCCAAATGCAGGCTTTTGCCCTTCCTTGCTTGCTTGGTGTTTGTAGAGACATTTGAAGAAGTCTTAAAGTTCTGTTGGTTATAATGTGCTTTCCATTAATTAATTTTAATGAAAGATTATTCAATACCATTTTCATTTATTTATCATCTTCATTTATACTCTACAGAAATAGGTTCATTCAGGGTGTAGAGAAAGAGACTTATGTTTATTAACAGAGGCATGGCAGGCAGAAATTCAACAAATGAAGCATAGTGATGCACGGTAGAGGAATACACACTTCACCTCTAGAATGTCTGACTAACATGCAACTACGTATAGCGTCCTTGTCAGGAGGAGAGGTGACCATCCCAAAGGCTTTTGCAAGTTGAATTTTAAACTCATAATATAAAACTACAAATCCAAGTAGTCACATACACACCCACATCAAATTCTTGCAAGCAGCTGAATATATTTATTTACTTATGTATTTAAAATGTTTCCATTCTGCCCTTCAATCATATATTTGAAGGGCAAATTAAAATAGCTTGTAAATCACAATAAAACAGTAATAAAGTAACAAGTGACAACAGTAAAAGGTGGTACTAAAAATAACCAGACCAGAAATAAAAATATATCATAGGGTAAAAACCTGTGGAAATAAGAATGCCTTTGCCTAGTGCATTAAAGCACAGATGTCAAGTTAATCTGCATGAGGAGAGAATTTCACAAGCATGGTGCCACAACCCAAAAGGCCCTCTTGCCCATAGCCACCTTCCGCACTTCAGATGAGGCAAGTTTTAGTGTATGTAAAGCTGATAAAGAGGAAGATGTAACATTGACGTCCATGTCCGAGGCCATATACGGTTCTGAAGCTAGTCCGACAAGAAGCTAGCAAAGCTATCTGGCACAATGTGTTTCTAACACTTGGTCCCAGTTAGTAGCTGACAGTAGCTGTGTTTTGAACTAACCGCAGTTTCCAGACAGTCTTCAAAGGCACCCCATACTCACTGCAGTAGTCTTAACTGGAAGTTACCAGAACATGGGTATCTGTAGCCAAGCTCTTTCTCTCCAGGATCACAGCTCATGTATCAGCCTTGGCTGGTAAAAGGCCCTCTTGTGCCACTTGGATCTCTAGCAACAGAGCTGGAGCAATCCCTAACTGCAAATCTAATCCTTTAGCGGGAGCGATCTGGAACCTAATTCAGGACAGGTTGGATATAATACCACTTCCATGGACAGTACCCACCACCAGTACTTCCATCTCATAAAGAGTACGTTTCCTGGTCCATTGCTGCCTTGAGGCAATGAGTCAGCATTTCTATTGCTTCATCTGAATCTGATATAAAGGAGAGCTAGAGCTGAAGGTCATCTCTAGTTAAGACTGAGGGCTCGTCCACACCTCCACTTGTCTTGCTGCTTTCTCCCAGGAAAACCTGCTGTTTACTGATGAATCAGAACAAATGTCAATAGGTTTTTCTGTGGATTGACATTTGTTCTGATTCAGTGGTATACTGTGGGTTTTTCCAGGGAAAGCAGCAGGACAAATGAAAAACCGATTTTACTTGTGCCTAGAAAGCACAGGATAAGTGGAAAACATCTCAGACTCGGCAGCAAAACTGTGGAGATGCCTTGAGTGTCAAAACTGCAGATAATCTCACTCAAAAAATTCCTGTAGATGTTAAAACCCTCTGAATTCCCATGGAATAGACGTCATGGAGTTAAGCAGAACTCACTCAGCACTATGAAACAGAGTGAGCCCTCCAGATAAGAGTAGAACCACTGAAGCACCATGCCCCAACTCCCAAACCAGAAACCCTATGTGGAAGGAGACTTAGCTGAATCCACAGAGAGAGCCTGGAGTAGGGGTGACCAAGCAGCCATGGGTGCCATGGCACTTGTAAATATCTTCATTGGTGCTCCCAGGCAGGGACCCTGTACTCTGGGCTTTCATTTTTTAGCAAATAAGTCTCTAGCCCTCCTAGAGAGAGAGAAAGTTATGAAGCACAATGTGCAGGTACTCTTCTAAGCAGTTCCTGTGAAATGAACTTGGCTGACTGCTTCAGTGATTTTAGTTTATGCATGAAGTCAGAGGTGTGATTCATAAACAAGTTGTTTGGACACTAGGTAACAGGAATCCCTGGGGTCCTAAAGAACTACTGCTTTCCCCTCCACTTTAGTACTTCTGTCTTTTCTACTCCTTGCATTCACCCATTTGCTGCTCTATTTGTTTTGATTTGCTGTTTGCCAGTCACATTATCTCCTCATACACCCCTAAAATTGAGGAGCTAGTAGATGACATTCAGCCTCAGGCTTCCCACTAACCTGGGCCCGTATTGTTCAACTACTACTATGGTGAGGTTTTAAATGTATTTTGTGTGTAATTTCCATGTATTTTTATTCTTTTTCATTCCTTAAAAACTCAGACTTGCCAACCAGCATTAAGTATGTATTTTTATTTGTGACTATATATGAAATATGGCTGGCTATAGTAATTCAAAATTATTCCTCAATTCAGCTATCTTTTAATTTCCAGCTCTACAACAATACCCCAGCAAGAAACAAAGTTACAACCAGTGCCTGTAAAAGAAGGTTTCCCACCAAAAATACTCAGATAACAAAAAATAAATAAATAGTTTTTTATGTGTTTAAACCATTTAATGTTATCATCTCTTTTCTTTTTCTCCTGTTTTGGAGTTGGCAGCCATTTTGTGTAACACTTCTGGCAGGAGCCATTTTCTTACTGGTGCTATTTTCTGAGTGGTGCCTTCTCAAAACTCCAAATGTGCCCCTAGACCCCAAAATGTTGGTGATCATTGGCCTGAAGAATAAGTAGGGTCACATTCCCCCGTCCTTCTCCCGTTACAGGCTATCTGTCCAAGCAACAAGATAATTTCTGTGCCAAAATGAAGCCTGAAACAATACCAAAATTTAGCACTAAATGGGGAGCCATTTCCAAAAAAAGAGAATGACAATTTCAGGAGGTGGAGTGTCAAACCAGTTTGTGGGAGGGAGCTGCTTATTTTACTAGTAGCAACAGCAGTCTCTGCAGTGATGACTCTTTTTTCCCTTCTAAGTGTCACTGCCTGCCACCACAGGTTTTTAATGAAAGTGGCTGCAGCTAGAGCTCTTGGTCCAGCCACTATCATGTTTTCCCACTCTCTACATATTAGCCATTTGAAACCCTGGTTTGGCTCTGAGTGGGAGAAAGGGAAGAAGAAGCTTGCCTCTGCTGCTCCCCTTGTGGGCACAACATTTAAAAGCAAAAAATAGCCATCACCATGGGCACCACTGCCACCAGGATAAGCAGCTCCCAACCACTTAAATGGCAAACTGATTAATGCTCCCCTCAGGTTCCCACTTGTAAAAAGGTAAAGGACCCCTGGATGGTTAAGTCCAGTCAAAGGCAACTATGGCGTGTGGTGCTCATCTTGCTTTTCAGGCTGAGGGAGCTGGCGTTTGTCCACAGACAGCTTTCTGAGTCATGCGGCCAACATGGCTGAACCACTACTGGCACACGGAGGACCGTGACAAGTGCCAGAGCACACAGAAACACCATTTCCCTTCCCGCTGCAGCAGTACCTATTTACCTACTTGCACTGGTATGCTTTCAAACTGCTAGGTTGGCAGGAGCCAAGACAGAGCAATGGGAGCTCACTCCATCACACAGATTCAAACTGCTAACCTTCCAATCAGCAAGCCCAAGAGGCTCAGTGGTTTAGACCACAGTGCCACCCGTGTCCCTGGATCCAAAAGACACTATGGTGGCAAAGTACTATTATTTGCTGCCATTATCACTACTGAGAGTGAACTCAATAATGAACTTTTTCTGAGTTTAGTTGGATCCACATCTAGACATTTGCCACTTGTGTTTTTGCAATCTCCCAGTCTGCTTCTTTGCCTCTAGCTCTGAGAACAGGCTACTCAAACAGGTCCACCACCCTAGTAGAGGGCAATGGCTGAAGAAGTCATCAAGCATCTCATACTGGGGAATCTAATATGACAGTTGACCATCAGAGTATGAAACCAAGTGTTCACTCACTTCCCAAAGGAAAGACTTCTACTGCTGGGTAAATACATCTGCACATAGGATGGGATTAGGGGAGTGACTGACAGCAAGCTATCCCACCACACCATGCTGCTCCAATGGCATCAGAGGTGGTAGAAGCCAAATCACTACCAGGTGGTGCCCCAGGCTGGCTGGTGCTGCCCCTCATTACACACTATTCGGAAACACTCAACATCCAACTATAAGCATGGGGGTCCAACTGGACAAGAAATCAGAGATCTGTGAGACATCTCTTTAAATTTCTTTAAGAACAAGCCATGGGGAGTGCCTAAAGCACTCTCCTTCCACACCTATAGCATTTTCCTGGTGTAAATGGCCACCTCAAGCTGCAACTTGTTTCATTACAGAAAAACATTTGAGCCTAGAAATTAATTTCCAAAGAACTTTGAGCATATTAGCAGTGATGAGAATTATAAGAAATCTTTATTTAAATTTAAGATAAGCCCAGAAATGAGACAACACACATAGTGAAATGCTCTGATACCTGAGCTGATATTGGTCTGGCAAAACTGAGCTATAAATAAAGTACAGTTTCTTCATGTTGGCAGTTGTGCTCCCAAACTTCAAAGCTACTCGAGTCAGCCCAGCCATTTTCTGCATCTAACATGATCAGGTGGGTGACACCTCCTCTGCCAAGTTCTTGGGCAGGAGCACAGGTTCCTAGAAGGGAAAAGCTGAAGCACAGGGTGGGATACTGTAATGTTAAGAGTGAACTGCACATTCACTTTCCTAAAGCCTTTGGGCTGCACTTGTGCAGACAGAATATTCCAGCAATTCAAATGATTTCTTCAGCACTATGAGCAGCACAAAAATGTTGCTTCCACAGGACTCTCATGAGGGTTTTATAAACTTAATTAATAGATGATAGATATTTACAGCTTTAATTCCAGTTCAACTAAAGCCTTTTTTCTGGGAAATTCCAAGTCTCAGCCAACATCAATGAAGTTAGAGCTTTTCTGGGCAGCCTGAGGGCAGCCAGGTACTAGCAGGTGTCTGCTGCTTGAAAATCAATTAACACTGACCCTGCATTCTGGCCACTAAAACTGCTTTGCTGCTGCATGTGACTAAATGCTGTTTTAGATTCTGAAAATGGAAATATTCCCACAAACAGAATTTCTTCAAAAAATGATGTTGGTTGCGCCAAAGGGGAGGGAGGGGTAAGAGGGTTCCTGGATCACTATAGCATGGGCTTGCCAGGAAAAGAATTCCTGTTGCAAAGTCCACAGAACTTCTCAGGACAGAAATGTCATTTATCACCTATATTTAAAGTTGAATTTGCTGATATTTTATGGTATTCGATATTATTTCTATTAACATTTTATGCTGAAATTACAGAATGATTCGTGAGTACTGAATTTTTGATTGCTTTTACACTTGCTGGGACACTATTAAAGTTGATTTACGTTAATAGCACTGTAAGAAGATATTAACAATGAAATTTCCAAAAGCACTTAGCATCCCATAATTGGAGTTAAATGACAAAAAGAGAGAGGATAATAAAGCAAGGGGAGAGAAAAGAAGAGAGGGAGATTTTTGACAATATTCCCTCTGCTACCCTCTGTTTGCCATTACACCATACAAGCTTGTTCCATGAAAGAATAAAACTACCAGTCAAGAAAGGGAATCCTGCTTAGCTGACTGAGAAATGTGGTGCAAAGGTGAAGGACTCAACAATAAAGTAGAACTTAAGAGGCAGAACTTTCTGACTGTTTCTTTTTCTGACAAGTAAACACTCCTTTCAGTGTTTACTGTTTATGGCAATCAGAGATTCTGGTGAAGGAGATACAGTGATATGTGACAATAAAAATTCGTATCGACAGAAGCCCAATTACAAGAAAAGGCTTTGCCAAAATGAACTAGTCTGCATTGCAAAAAGTGTCAAACCAAAGATAGCCATGATTGCTTCTCTGGTTTTATTCCTATGAGCTGATCTGCACATCACATAACACTGGAAACTTGGGTGGGAGTCATCCCAATCTCTGCATCAAGTACAAGAACCACTACATGCTAGCAGAGGCAGGGGGCATGATTACTGACCCTTTGACCCTAAAGGAAGGAGCGGTGAAGGGTCCCCATGCAGATCCGGCACAGTTGGTCTTTTAGGTGAGGGTCAGTCCTTCTCTGCAGTCATAATTGTTCCTTGTTCAGACTTTCATGCAAGGAAAACCTATCATATTTCCCCTCATCTTTAATTGTGGTATTACTGCCCATTAGGGGTGTATGGGGTGTTAGGGGAGGGATAGTGCATCTGGTGAGGGACACATCATGCTCCTTCCGGGGAGGTCTGTCCACCTTTGGTCTCCACCCCTGCACTCTTACCTGTGGCTACTGAAGCTGTCAACATGCAACAGTGGCCACACTCCAGGAACAGTTTCGACTGGCTGGCTAAACCAGGTGAGGGTAACTGATGGGTCTCAAACCCTTGATGAGTTAGGGACTTCCGCTGCATGAGAATACAGACTGGTGGATTGAGACCAATAGTGGGTCCAATGGTCAAGGAAGCAGTTTCTGCACATGATGGAGAGGGAAGTGAGGGGCAAATGGGGCTTGTCAACTTGGGAAGGTAGCCCATTTAGGAGAAGGAAAACCCTGATCCTAAACCTTCACTGCCCTGGGGGGGGGGATGTTTGGGAGAAGAAAGGCTAAGGAATTAACCCTAAGAGTGAAGCCACTAAGATGGCTGGAGGGTGCCTTGTACACCTCCTTCTGACAACTCCTGTAGTGAAGCTGGTGCCGAACATACTGCTCTGCTTTCCATTGGACCACATCAGTGAGGCCGAGAAGGGGGGGTGTTGTCATCAAGGCAGCCCAGGACCTCCATACTTGTGCCCCAGGGAGGTCACTTTGGTTTGACTTCACCCCCGAAGGTGCACTCCATTGTCTCTTGAGACAGACGGGTGCCAACAACTGCCCATTAGCTAAGTTCAAAGCATTTAGAGAAGTTTTTAATGTTTTATGTTTTATCGTGTTTTTATTATTCCGCTGGGAGTTGCCCAAAGTGGCTGGGAAAACCCAGTCAGATGGGCGGAGTATAAATAATAAATTTATTTATTTATTTATTTATTGCTGGTTTTGGTGTATAAAGCGCTAAGCAGCTTGAGACCAGGCTAACAGAGAGATCGTCTCACCCCTTATATACCCAGCTGATCATGTGCTCTGCCAGTGAGGGCCTTTTGTAGATACCATCTTATCGGGAGGTCTGTTCCACATAATGTAGTGTTATGGCACCTCCCCTTTGAAATTCCCTCCCCTTGAATATTAGACAGGCACTGTCTCTGTAGTCTTTTCAGCACCTACTGAGAATACCTTCCTCTTTCAACAAACCCTTTAAGCAGAAATCTTTCCCATTTGGCAACTGCAGTGTAATTGTTTTTAATATATTGTTACTGTCTTATTTTTTGTTGTTTGTAACCCTGGGTTCCTCTGGGAGGAACAGTGGAATAGAAATTTAATAAATAAATAAAATATTCATAAGCACCTTCTTTGGCAACCCTGCTTGGGAGGCCAAGAACTGGAATTAACACATGTCACAGGGCAGATGTGGTGGCAGCAGAATTAATAACTGGGTTTGAGCAGTTGTGATGAGCAGGGGCATCTCATCCCCCTGTGATATCAATGTCTCTGCTAGTTGGATTGTGTGAGCTTAGCAGAAGCCAGAGAGAAGTTTGCTTTTTTTAAAAAACAACAACAAACCAGCCTTTCTCCTACTGGTGACAGCTGATGCTTTAGGGGTAGGCTATGTACAAACAGTAGATTTCACAGATGCAAGAGTATTGGAAAATTAGCACAGCCACAACTCAGCTTGGTGGGATACACACATTCAAGTTCTGTGTCCCACCACTGCCTCTGGGAAAACCAGGTTTTCATTGATGAGGATGCCTATAATTATTGAGTTCTCCTGAGCAGTTAAGTCCAGTCAAAGGCGACTATGGGGTTGCAGCGCCCATCTCACTTTCAGGCTGAGGGATCCGGCATTTGTCCACAGACAGCTTTCAGGGTCCTGTGGCAAGCATGACTTAACTGCTACTGGTGCAACAGAACATGGTGACAGAAACCAAAGTGCACTGAAACGCCATTTACCTTCCGGCCACAACGGTACCTCTTTATCTACTTGTACTGGTGTGCTTTCAAATTGCTAGGTTGGCAGGAGCTGGGACAGAACAACAGGAGCTCACCCTGCTGTGGGGATTTGAACCGCCAACCTTCTGATCGGCAAGCCCAAAACAAGTGCGCTCCCTGTGGCATATACCGTAAGAATTGTCCCTAGGTAACCAGACAGACGGGTTTGAAAAGCAGAAGGAACTCACTTGTTTTTCCATGAACCTGTAGAATGATGTGTGGCTGCCCAAGAGCATATTACACAGAGCTGGACCATTTCCTAGAAGGGAAGGAAGAAGGGTTGTATCCAAGTTTAGTCATGCTCAAGCAGAACTATTGAAATTAATGGACATTACTAACCTAGGCTCATTAATTTCAATGAGTCAACTCTAAATAGAACTTAGCTGGATACAAACCATACTGTGCAGGTAAGGTAGTAGCAGATAGCTGTTTACATTGACCTTCTGCCCCCAGATTCTGGGCCATGGAAATGCTCTAGGCAGTGTGGGACAGACATGTTACCTCTGCTATCCATTTTGCACACTTTTGCCAGCTTCCTGGTTAGCATGTTCAGGCACATTTCAGCTGAAGAATGGGTGGGGGAGAAGCAGATGTGGCTTGGGACCCCAGAATGCTTCTCCTATTACTGGAAGCCGCTGCTGCAAACTGACTGTCGTCCCCCACAAACCTCCCTGTCCCCCGTTCCTGATTTTCTTTCCAGGAATTTACAAACATTTTCCACAGATCAATATTGGTATTGATTATTCATTGTGAGTGAATCATGTGTCTTTGGTGATCCAGCCTGGCAGAGTAAGCAGCCAAAGGCTGCTGCAGTAAAAAAGAAAGAAGGAAAGAAAGAACAACAACATACATACATACATACATACCAAAAAAACCCCAACAACCCAGAAGGCAAGAGGGACCCAGCTCTTGCTGGGCTTGCTGCTGACAGCAATGCACTGACAGAAGGGGAGGAAGAAAGGAAGGAAAATGCAAAGGCAAGTAAAAGCATGGAGAGGAGGGGGCAGCAGAAAGAAAGATGACAAAGTCTCAACTGGCAAGTGCGTTCCTTTCGGGGCACCTTGAGAGACATGCAGTCCAGCCATCGCCATTCCATGCACAGATGCAGTGGACCTTTTGATCAGGGAATAAGAAGTGACTCATGTTTCTGGTATCTGCTACGTAACAACATTGGGGGAATTCCTTGGCTCACTGACAGCAAAGGAGGAAAGCCGAATCAATGAGGTAACAGTAGATTGCTTTCTACTGCCTTCCTAGGAATACACAGTCATCCTGGATGTCTTTAGCATCTCACCACTTCTGAACATTTAAATGGATCAACATCATTTACAAAGTGAGTAAATACAAAGCCTTTCATAATTTGCTTGCCAGCTAATGCAAAACTGTATTTTTTATACTTGGAGAAAATCAGATCTTTGTGGCATTTGGTGTACATATACATGTGGAGAACAGCCGAGGGGGGTGGGGAGCAGCTAATTGCTGGTTATGTTTTAAAAGGGATTATGAAAAAAGACAGAGAAACGATCACAGGAAAACAGTCTGGATCACAGCCAAAATCAAAGATGAGCAAGGCTGGAGTGCCTGAGACGGCACCAGCTGTTTCTGACAGCTCTTGGATGGGGTTTCTTGGTATTTCCTATGGATGGCAAAGCCCCTGGAACCAGGGAGATTTCTAGAAAGGAGCATGGTGTCAAGAACTGGAGCTGGGAGAAGATGGCTAAGTAATGATTAACTGGAGGTTGCCGAAAACCCTTTTTGGAGCCTCAAGCAAATTCAGAGAACAAGAGAGCACAAAAGATAAGAGTCTTAAAAATTAACCATTCAACAACAGAAGTAGACATTTTTCCATCTCCTGAAGACACCATGACTTTTCAATACAGAAAGGCTGGATTAGTTAACTTCACTTTTGAGAAAGGATCTAGGAAGCCTAGACATACTTTCTGTACCAGCTGGACTGAAATGTATAAATTCTTTCTGGAATCAAAAGGGGGGGAAATATTCCAAATGCCTCCCCAAGCAGGGAACTGCAATACTGTTGTTCTGCATACACACAGAAAAAATAAGCTTTCTGATGGAATGTGAACTGGCTATCTTCATTCCAGTCTCTGTTCAACATGGCCATTTCAGAGCAGGACAAAGTAAGTCTTGGTCTCTCTTCATCATGGCTGTATTTTATCCCATCAAACTCTGTGGTGGCTCAGAAGAAGAAACAGTGTTGTCTATGCAAGCAGGAATCTTTGGGGGCATGGGTGAGGGTTAAGGCGGCAGCAGCATCAACTAATACAATAGACCTTTGAACATTTCATTCTTGAACCATCTTCCAAAAGCTGTATATGTGGCATTGTGTATGAAAAGAAAGAGAGCACAAGATAAGCAAAAAGCAGGCAAGTAAAATGCTTGGGCATTTCCGTAGTCATTATCAGCATAACTAGTCTGGTTGTAAGCTCCATGCTGTGGAGTGCCTGCACAGACCTGATTGGCATGTTAAACTGAGAGTGCTTCAGTAGCATACTAACCAAGTTATGATAAACCCTGGCAATCAGCAAGTGGTAATCTTCCCTGCTCTAATGTGTCAGAGGCAGACTCACAGCTACCAGTACTTTGTTCCTTTGTTAGCCTCTTCTGCATTGAGATTTTTGCTTTCCTGATTTTTAAAAAAGACTGGAAGAGAAGGTTGTACAGTGGTACCTCAGGTTACAAACACTTTGGGTTACAAACTCTGCTAAACTGGAAGTAGTTACCTTGGGTTACGAACTTTGCCCCAGTATGAGAACGGAAATCACACAGCGATGGCGCAGTGGCAGCAGGAGGCCCCCATTAGCAAGAGCGCACCTCATGTTAAGAACAGTTTCAGGTTAAGAACGGACCTCCAGAACAAATTAAGTTTGTAACCCGAGGTACCACTGTATGTACTTCCAATAGCTATAATGAAAACAAACAAGCTCTCAGAACTGGTGGAGCAGACAAAGCATGGCAACAATATCCAAAAGAGACCTTTGCAGTGTTGGAAGTCAAGCCAAAGTTTGTTCATTTGTTTTATGTCCCACCTTCCCCCTAGTACAGGACCCAAGGTGGTTCACAACATGAATTTGAACAAATACAACGAAAACCACACTAATCAATATATATATATATATTTTACAAAGTTAGTCTATTAAAACAGCAGTGAATCCAAACACTTAAAAACATTTTAAAATGTAACAGCAAAAAACAAATAAACAAAACCATACAACACCCTGCCACAACAGCCAGTTAGTAGAAAAAGTCCTCTCTAAACAAAAAAGTCTTTACCCGCTGGCAACAGGAAAGCAGAGAGGTGGCCAGCCTAATTTCCCATGGAAGTGAGTTCCACAGTTTAGGAGCAGCCATTGAAAAGGTCCTCTCTTGTATCCTCACCAAATGTGCCCATGAAGGTGGCGGGACCAAGAAAAACCTCAGAAAATCTTAAAGCTTAGGCGAGCTCATATAGGGAGAAACAGTCCTTCAGATAACATGGACCCAAGCTGTAAAGGGGTTTGTAGGTCATAACCAGCACTTCTAATTGTGCCAGAAACAGACCGTTAGCCAGTGGAGCTGTTGTAACAAGGAGTTTTTGTTCTCCTTGTAACTGGCTCGAATCCGCAATGAAGTCATAGCATCTTGGTCCCACTAAAGTTTCTGAACCCTTTCCAAAGGCAGCCCCACATACAGCACACTATAGCATAGCTGTCAACTTCTCCCTTTTCTTGCGAGGAATCCTATTTGGAATAAGGGAATTTCCCTTAAAAATAGGGAAACGTTGACAGCTATGCACTATAGTGATATATATGGTGTGTAACTAAAACAGATACCACTGTCCCCAGATCAGACATCTCCAGGAACGGACACAGCCAACACACTAATTATAAATGTGCAAAAGTTAAGCACTTTTCTGTTCATTTCAATGTGAGAACTTATATCTCTCATTAAAGTCAATTAAACTTAGAAGTGCTTGACTTCAGCTGAATTGTAATACCATTTTTTCACAGAATAAGATCAAACATATTTACTTATTTATTTGTTAAATTGGTATCCTGTATTTCCACCAATTGCCGCTTAAGGTGACCTGCATAGTCCATCATCAATGGCCAGAAGTCAGCTGGTATAGGAATATATGACTTGACAGAAACAGAGAGTATGCACTGTTAAATAAATCTACTTTCCACAATTGGTCAACACAAAATTTATAAATGATCCCTCTAAAATGATCTCTTTATAGCATAGTTGTGAAAAGAATGACATCAAATATGCACCAAAGCCGAGACTGCATCTCATTTATCTCAACTGCAGTATGGACACTGGTATGGATTCACTGAGTGTTGTTGGATGTGCATTTATCACACCAAAAGCCACATCTTTTTATTTGCTTTTTCTTCTGTCTTTCATTACCTTGACGTATCACGCAGTTGAATTTGGTTTCATGAAAATCTGAATATTTATGACTGGGTGAGACAATTATTTGCATTGGTTAGGAGAGTTTGAAATGTTTGCCCATCTGGTTTTCAACATTCTTCTGCCATTAGTAATCACAGTTAATGATCTTCATTTTGAAATCTGAAAGGGCAATTGCATCCTGTTGATCCTGTTAGATCACGATGTGTTTGTAATTTGTCTGGGGGAACTAGTATGAGTTGGAGGAGCTATTCTAGCACACTACCACACATTTCTGTCAGGAAAATCAAATAGGATTATGTTGAATAACTGTTCATATCCTCCCATTCCCATCCAAGTGTTTCTACCTGGTCCCCCCACCCTGTTCCATACAAGAAGAAGAAGAAGAGTTTTGGATTTGATATCCCGCTTTATCCACCTTAAAGCGGGATATCAAATCCAAAACTCTTCTTCTTCTTCTTGTATGGAACAGGGTGGGGGGACCAGGTAGAAACACTTGGATGGGAATGGGAGGATATGAACAGTTATTCAACATAATCCTAGCATAATCCTAGCATCTTCTATGTACCATTTCCCACAATTTCTGAACTAATCTAATCTAAATGGGATTTTTGTGATCTGCTATTCAGCTTTGAAGCAATCCCATTTTTGCTCCATTCACCCTGCACACCCAACATAGATGGCTTTAAGCCCTTCTGTTTCACAGCCTTGAATGCTTCTGAAACTGAATCTAGGAGTCCAGGATTCAACAGCTACCAGATGTTTGTTTCAGAAATTACTCTGTCTTCTAAGAAGGCTACACATTTTGCCTTTGCTTAGCACCATGAACATTCCAGAGGCCAAAGAAACCTGTGCTTGAAAACCACATAGATGTTCCTCCTGTGCAAGTCAATACATTTATGAAGGTAGCAATCCAAAATAGAATTTTTAGAATGCTTAGGCAGCAGTCTTTTGCACACTTACTTGTAAGGCCAAATGATCTCAGTGAGACTTACTTTCAAGTATATATGCACAGGATTACAGTTAGTGTACATAAATCTTACCTCAACAAGCCATTGAGACAAAGCTGGGGCAACAGCATGGCACTGCTCAGTTGAGGAGAGGAACTCTTCTTACCCCTTATTGAAGGTGGTGGAAGTTCTTCCCTTTCATCACCTGTGCAAATAAAAAGGAGATCAGTGACATTATTCTGAATAATTGGCATTTGCCATGAATTAGCATTACCCTGATATCCCTTGGTGCTAGTGTTGGTCATCTTCCACCCTGAATACTCCTTGACCTTCACTTGGGTGGTTTTCTTTAGTCTTTCTGTTTTTCTTTATTTGGTTTTTCCAGCATCTGCCTAAGAGGCAGTGCTTTTTTTCTTCCTAAAAAATTGTTTAGGGGTACTCTCATTTTCCTACTCATATTGAAATACTGCCCCTCAATGAGGCCAAACTTTGATTCACAAAATGTTTAGGGGTATGCGTACCCCTGCGTACCCCCAGAAAAAAAGCACTGCTGAGAGGTATTAATATTAACAAAAATAGCTTCCAGATGGGTAGATGTAGCCTGTAGCTTTAGCAGGAAAATCAACAAAAAGTATTGTGGCACCTCAAAATCAGACATATTTTATTATAGTATAATAATATAATTTGTTAGGTTTTTAAAGTTTATTTTTATTAGTTTTCAAGAATCACAATTTAATAATATATCCAACTAAAGGCAGGGCATAGAAAAACTAAGCATATTAAATAATAACACCCAATCTAAGATCATGATATTCATATTTCTCTAGATGGAGTAGGAAGAGATACCTTAGCCTGAAACCAAACTTGTTAGTTGTCAAGGTGTCACAAGATTCTTCATCAATATTACAAAAACAGCTTTTCTTTTTTTCTGATTTTGAACACATAACTACTTAATTTGTAATCCTTTCCAGTAGTTTCTTTTAAAATCTCCCTTCCTTTCATATTATGTGCACTGCAGCAAAGTTCTCCATGTATATAACAGGTATAATACATCTGGCTATATGGAAATTCAATTTTTTTTTTTCCAAAATTAAGCAGATCCTCCAAATGCAAATAACAGCTAGATTATCACAAGAGACAGAAGTGTGCATGCACTATAAACAGGTCAGGGTATGACATACGAAGTCCACAATGGGCCAAGGACAATATTTTAACATCAAAATGTTAAAGATGTTAACAGTGATTCAGGGGTTTAAGAAGACCCAAAGACTGTGTACTGGCATAGCAATTGGCAGTGGATTATTACTTCCAGTTGTCAGTTACTACAGTATTCCTCTGAATATCAGTTGCTGGGAATCACAGATGGGGAGACCGCTGATAACCTCAGGTTCTGCTTGCTGGCTTCCCACAGGTATCTGGTTGGCCAGTGTGAAGAAGGATGCTCGACTTGATAGCACTTTGGCCCAGTCTAGCAGGGTTCCTCCTATGTTCTTATGCCTTGGGGCTATAAAGCTGAAGAGAGGTGCACTCTAATGTCTGCCACCAGCCAGGAAACCAAGGACGGTTAGGGAGTTGCCTCTCAAGAAGAACATCATGGCAAGGGGTAGATCAGCAAGATCCTATTTATCAACCAGTGACAGAGCAGCTGATCCAGTAACTGCTTTCACCTTCTAATTATTTAATATTTTTACAGTGATTAGAAAATTGTAAATGTTTTATAAGTATTATTTGCATTTCCCCCCTTGTATCTCATTATGATCCTGTTACTTTTCTCTGTGCTGGCTACCTATCACCTGCTTCATCAGCTTAAAGCTATCAATCCCTTATAGTTTTCCAAATAAAACTACAAGGGGTGTGTGCAGCCAGGGGTGCCAACTTGAATAAAATATGTAGCGGGGGTAAGCCCTGCCCCACATAATCAATCACCTGATGAGGTGCACCCACACTATTTGAATGGAAATGCCCATCACCTTTTTTTTTTTTAAATAATTTTTATTAAAGTTTCAATCAAAAATTAAACAACAACAAAAACAAACAAAAAAACATAAAACCAGATACACAAATACACAATACAAATCCCAGAAAGAAAATAAAAAAACACAAAAAGCAAAAATCAACAATAAAAAACAACATAACAATTAAAAACAATATCTCTTTTCCATTTCCGTTTTTGAATTTACTTATTTTCTGGACTTCCTCATACCTCCCTCTTTTGTATTCCAATCCAATTTGTTTGTCCAGCAATTTCTTTTCCACTTTTTTAATCCCAATCTTTAATTTTAATATAATATATAACTTCAACTTCTTTAAACCTAATCTTTGATCTTAATGTAATATAACATTGAAATTTTACCTCTTAATTGTCAAGTTTCCATTTCCTTAAACATCTTTAAACCTAATCTTTAATCTTAGACTAATCTTAGTCTATCATTAACTTTAACCTGTACAGCTGGAAACCGCTTATATTCGGTCCAACATCACTCTAACATTCTTTAATTTTGCAATGTTTCTGAAGATAGTCTTTGAATTTCTTCCAGTCTTCCTCCACCGACTCTTCTCCTTGGTCACGGATTCTACCAGTCATTTCCGCCAGTTCCATATAGTCCATTAATTTCATCTGCCATTCCTCCAGCGTGGGAGTCGTGTCTTCAATACTTTGCGATGGTATTCTTGCGCTGTTGCTACATAAGAAAGTTCATCTTACACCATTTCATATGCCCAGGAAAGGCCTCTGGTTTCTAGGAGGTATTTTAAATACTTTTAATTCATTATATATCATTCAGCTGAGCGCAAGGGAAAATGTACTCAATTTCTTAATTTCAACATTTGCTATCGGCATGATATTGTTGATGGGGTTTGTCCCTGTATCATTTTCATATTGGCTCATGCAATTTGGTCCAACTGTTCCAGTCGCAACTAATGTTATGTCAACATCTTGTCCATTTAATCATGCGATTTTACCGTTATCTGATATCCATTTGATTAATTCTTGACAAATTAGTTTGGTTCTCGTTCGGTTTATTTGGACTCACCTAGCAATTTTCTTGTCAAATCTAAAATAGCCATTTGTTTTAAAACCTAACACTCTGTAAATTAATTCTTCTCACCTTTGAGGGGGAACCTGGCCCCTTCAAATATTTTATGGGGGAGGGGGACAAAGGGACATCAGCTCCTAGGAGTTGGCTCCTATGAGTGCAGCTAACCCTGGATTTTTGATGCAGTTATCAAGGCAAGGCAACAAAAAAGTGGTATAGGAAAGAGGCAGGAAGTAGCATGAAGACATGACTGAAAGACAAAGCTGAAGCAGGAAGGGACAGTAGCTTCACTAATGGGGAGCCTGATTGACCAGGGAAATCAGGTCCTTTCCCATTTCCCTAAAAGTCAGTGGAATGGCATTCTTTTCATTGACCTGCATGGAGGAAGGGAAAATTGCCACCTTGAGGAAGGAGAGAATAAATCTCAATGCACCTCAGACCCCTGCTAAAGACTAGTTTCTGGATCAGTCTCAGTCCTTCCAGTTATGAACCCACACCTTTCTGTCCCTTATCCTTTCCACTCAAAAGCTCCTCTGCTTTCAGTCTGTTAAACTTCCTCACCATGATGCTCTACTGTATATGGATGGAACAAGTTCCCCCTCTTTATATGCCAAGTCACTGTTCACTCTTCCTTCAGCAAAGTCACACATTTTCTGCTCTCTTTGCTACTAGGCTACCCACCTCTGCCTCTTCTATCTCTTTCTCCCTCATCCAGCCACTTGTCCTTCTTCCCCATGAAATGGGAAAGGCAGCCAAGAAGAGGAGCTCTGGAATCTTCATGTTGCAAAAATGCTGGCAAAGAGCAACTGCTATGGAAGCTTCTGTTGCCAATATTCCAATCTGCTTCTTCAAGGCTGCAACATGTCTCCCTGTTAAGTCAATCTGCACCCACAGGGAGTGGATTTTCCATTCACTCCTTTGCTCCCTTGATCTCTCCATTCAGACACATGATGATCCCACAAGAGGCCCATCTGCAGCCTTATAAAACAAAAAAATGTAGGTTGCAGAATGAGCAAAAATCTCTCCTCCAGGCTCCACCCCACAGCAGTTATGAGGCTTTCAGACCCAGCTGTCCCTGATGAGTTGGAAGCTATCTTCCCATGTTATGATGAACACACAAGAGGAGAAACAGGATTGCACCCACTGTCTTCCTCAATTCCACTCTTAAACATGCCCCTAATATCTGAAAGAGATGGTGCACATACAAACTGCATGTGTTATCAGGAACACTGACTTTTTCAAGGTTCATGACTGAACAGACATGGTGTCAAATGCATGTAGGGGTGAAGCAAGGGCAGCAGCCACATTCTTGCCCCTCTTTCTATTAATGTTTATTGTAACATACAGGGCCGTCTTAAGCATATCTGGCGCCATGGTGCAAAGCTCCTTCCCGCCCCCTGCCCCAGTTTCCCAGAGTTGTCCACCTTTTTTTAGGGAGGACGGTGCTGTCGGCAGGGCTGGAGGAGGTGGGCAGCGACTGGAGGGCGGCTCCTCTGGCGGGGAAGAGGCGGAGGCTGGACACAGTGCCTCCCAGCTCAGCTGGCAGCTTCGTGCCATGGTGGCCATGGCAGACGGAGGCTCCGGGCGCGGTGCTGCTTCGGCGCAGCATGGCAGAGGTGGGTGAGGGCAGCGAGCTGATGCCGGGAGGCACCGCGTCCAGCCTCTGCCTCTTCCCTGGCGCCTTCCGGAACTTGGCGCCCTGGCGCCCTGCACCACTAGCCTCTATGAGTAAGACGCCCCTGGTAACATATTAATAGGGTTCTGGTTGTGACATAGCCTTTCGTACTCTGTGCAAAACTGACATCGTATCATCACCTGACCAATGTTTAATTACAAATTATTGTATCCCATCGCATCAGTTTCCCAAGAGAACCTGGGAAATTATAAGCCTATGATTTGAGTCCATGTTGGCTATCACTTACACCAAACATGCAGGTTCACCCTGTGATAGGCTGTAAGGAGAGCTGGGATGTGTCTACCTGATGCTAGAAACAGAGCCTCCTTCAACCTGCTCCATATATTTGTATGCAGTACAGCAGCTACAAAGACATCCTTGTATGCTTCTGATCCTTATACCACAAGCATACTAGAGTTATGAGCCTGGCCTATAAAATCACATGGTGGTTTTAAGAAATTAAATTATTTCTTTATGTTATATTGAAAGTTACCATGGCCCCAGAGAGGCTAGAAAATGTGTTTATTTACAATTGGAAGCTAAGAGAAGCTGGGACTTTCCAAAAAGCACCAAGGAGGATTGAACAAGTCTTCAACAAAAACATAAGCAACAGAAGCTGCAGAGAAGCATCTGGGCTCTGTGCCAGCAAAAGGCATCTGCAACATACAACTGATGTACTCTATGGTGGGCTAGTCCAATAAAATATGCACAACTTTTAAGAGTCAAACATTTCCTTGTTTTAGCTTTGCATGCTGCAGTAAGGCGTGCGGAAGAAAATCTTGAAAAACTGGCAATAGCTTCGCTATCCATGTCCATTTCCCTTGCTTCACATTATAAGGCTTGAAGTAATCTATTTTTTGTGAATCCATTTTGCAATTTCAGCTCACATCTCTCCATAATGATAATTCCACCCCCAGGCACAAGAATCCAGAACTACCTTTACACTGAATGCACAATTCACACAATACAGTTGTTGTTTTTTATTTTATTTTTTGCTGTTCTCAGAGGATGGGACAACTTAAACAGCAAACCCTGACCACATCCTTAAACCCAATCCAGTTGCTTCAGGATAACTCAGCTGTGTGCAGGCCCAAGATGAGAGTCATGGAAATATTTAGCCATCTTAAAATATTCTAAACATTTGTACTCCACCTTGCGAAACAGAATCTTCACAAGGCAGCTTACAACCAGATTTTAAAACACAGCACAACAGTAATCTAACTAGAACTAAATGCAACCTACACAATGAGAACCAAGACTGCAGCAGAGGTAAGCAAAACCCTCAGCAGAGAAGACATAATGAATAGATAGATGCAGACCACAGAGTGTGTGGGTACCAGCAACATCCTATGAATGGCAAAAAAGGGATGGGACAGCATGGCCACAGAATAACCCCACTGGTACTCAACTCCTAGGATAACTCTCTGCAAACTGACAAGCAGCCAACCCCTCTTCATCCTTCCAGCTGTCCTGCATGTGAGACTGTCTAGGAGGCCACACTGAAAAGCCACGGCATCTGCCTTTGTCTTGCTGCATGCCCACATACTGAGGAGCCTGTTTGTGTCTAATCACAATTAGCACCATGCCCAATTCCATGCCCTGTGCTAATTCAAGAGGAAGAGCATGTCATTCCCTGCCAAGAATTACAGCTAATCGCCAAAGGCTCTGTTGTACGCCTGCTTTGCCTTTCATTAGGCTTTTGTTTCTAATGGCAAAGCCGGTGATCTCCTTTTTGCTAGAAATCACCGTGGCATCACTGAAAAATGCCAGCACCATCTCAGATTGCCTAAGGATAAATGTAGTGCCTGTGAGTGATAGCAAATTTCCCCACCACCGCTTAACACACAACAACAACAACAACAACACACACACAATATGCTCAACAGTCAACTCAGGGGTCTGCCAAAATGTTCATATTACAGCCCTGCAGCCCAAATGTAATGTGAAACTGGCAGCTGCATTAAAGTCTCAGGAAAGTGCAACACAAGAATCAACTCTGTCCCTATATTTGCCCCTTTGAATTTGTTCGTACAGTATAGTTAAAAGCAAAAATTCAGACTAAATACTTCTGACAAAATAGAACACATTATAAATATACAAAAGGAGGGCAATGCAAATGAAACAGCCCATGCTCTTTGAATGACCCTTGAGGCCAGACACACACATACACCCCGCCAAGCAGTACAAAGACTGTTCCACTCATGAATTCTCAGTGCAGAAGAGTGGCCACTGGAGGGAGGGAGAGTCCTCCAACTACTCACATCTCCCATTAGGCCTAGGTATGGTAAGGAAGGACCTCCTCCACGTTGTTCTGTAATTGGAGCAATCCAGCACTGAGAGACACATTTGTCTGCCATAACTCACTGGGTCAGCTAATCTACTTTTTAAAATACCGTAGCTTTTTGGATGCACATTATGAAATACAGAGCCTGTGGTCATAACTCGAATAATGCCAAATATTTCAGAATGAAGATTCTTAAAAGTGTGCAAAAAGACCATCATAGCACTGGCAAAGTGAGTGCCACAAGTGATAGGGTCCTTCTGAATTTGCTCTGCACTAAAGAAACCCAATCTTGCAATAACTCCAGGAAACGTTGTGGAAGAGCAAATTAGATTGCTAAGGACGTCACCCAAGTGTTATAAAAAGCTAGGATAAATGTGTTTGTTCATTTATTTACATAATAGCAGTTTACTGCTAATTTTTTATGATGATGATAATTCATAATGTATTAGTAAATGTACAATCATACAACTGTTTGTTTGTTTGTTTGTTTGTTTTAATAAGTGGCATCTGTACAACACTTAACTTGTTTCCTGCTCAACCTTGAAATCCTTTCAAAACAGTGACACCCCCTTTTGCGAAAGATACAAAAAGTTTGAAAAGTAGCAAGTTCATCTTGGCTAAAACTGCTCCCCCAACACACACTCCACAAAACCTGGGAATCTGGCTAACTGCTTCGCCTCCACCCCTTGCTCATTCTGTGATGTCTGAACTAAGTATGAAATAAGAATGCAGCAGATTCAAGCCAACTGCAAATCCGATGGGGGGGGGTAGTGGTGATGAAGAATGCACCACAGCCCCTTGGGATAACATGGTGATTTTAAACTCCTGGCTTTTCTTCCATTTGGCTGTATCATTTATATTCCCTGACCCAGCAAAAGCAGTTGGTTCTGCAGTCTGATTAAAGGAACTGGGCATTTGATCTGTAATTGTTTTTCAATGGCTGTATCTTCTTCTGTGTTATTGCTTTACACGGCTTGCCTTTGTACAATATTGAAAATCAATAAAAGTACAAAAATGTATTTTTTTCCCTCCTCTTAAAAGTGAAACAATCTTGTTAAGATTCTGCTGCAGACACTTTGCAATAGTAGTACCCCCTTTTTAAAATAGCACTTCAAGGAGCAAGCCTGGCAATCCCAGACAGTATGGAAACAGCCATGGCACAAATGCCCTTAGTCATGGCATTCAATCCAATCTGAGAACAGTCTTTGGACTGAAGCCTGTCATGGCTCAGGGCTCAACCACACTTCCACTTGCCTCAGGCCTAGAAAGCATGGGTCCGAAGGGTTTTCTACTTGACCTGCACCTTCTAGGCATGGGTCCAATCATTTTTGGTTGGCCCACTGCTTTCCCCAGGAAAGCCTGCTCTATACCACTGAATCGGTACAAGTGGAAGTGGAAGTGTGGCAGGACAAATGGAAGTGTGCATAGGATACATCAACTAGCTAAATCCAAGGTAGGTATCTGAGAGGCTCATCTCCCTACTATGTTCATGGCATTCCCAAAGTCATTGCCAGCCACTTGCTGGAAAGCCAAAATGTTTCAAGGTTTTACAGACCTGAGGCCAAGAACTGCTGCAGCTTAGTGCCACATCCCCCCAACTGTACTTATTTAAGAAGGGCCAGCACTTGTTTGCTCATAGGGTGTTTTGACTGCAAATATCTGCATACTGTTGGAAGCTAATATGACAACTGCTCCTATCTGAATGGCCAAATACTGTTTTGATAGAGAAGTTTCAGTACAACTTTCTAGAAACCATCAACATGCTTTGAGACCAAAACTAGTGCTTTTGCTCAAAATGCAGGAATTTCCAATGAATATTATTCTGAACATTTTAAATTTTCACTTCCTTTTTTGTAAAAGTAGAGAACTGAAGTGCAAAAGTCACCTCCCTCAGCTACATAATTTGCTCAGCTAAATTTGCTGCAAGCGTCACCAATGGCAGATTTATTTATATATATATGACAAGCAAACAAGAAGCCCAAACCCAAATTCAGTGGTTGGCTCCTCAGTTTCCTTGATAACTAGACCATCTACACTTCTCTCATCTGGCTTTAAGGGAACACGGGAAAGGGAATTTGGATTGTTTTCCTGTTCCCTCCCTATCCCCTTTTAATTGTCTATTATATTATAAACCTGAGAATATGGTCTAGGCTGTTTTCTTAATATCTGTACAGTGCCTTAATACCAGGGCAGGAAAGGGGGAGCAGTGCTGAAAGGAGTATCAATGGGGTGCCAATTTGATGGGGTCCTCAATTCCTATAAATGTGAAACCAAATGCTTCCTGGTGCTAAAAAGGCACCCCTTCCTCCTCCACTACTTACCACTTGTAGGCTTCAGCACCCACTTGCTCACCCAGCCTCCTGGAGGCCTGGCACATTGTGGGGCCTAGCTGGAAGCTGAGAGTGGCCAGCTGCCTCCTCATCCTGCTGCTATTGTTGCTGATGGAAGGTTCCAGAAGAGCCAAACAGCTGCCTATCCTTGCTTTGGTCCCTTGAGGCCCTACAGGGTGTCCTTCAGGGGGCAGAGTCCCTTCATGGAACAAGGCACCAAGAGTCATTAATCAGGAATAACAAACCCCACAAGTCCTGTTTCCTCAGAACTGAACAGAATAATTACCAAGTTGGTGTGGGGTGATGTGAGAGAGCGGCCATATTTCCCATCTGCTTAAGCAGCCTGAGGGAGGGACTCGAGGAGGAGGAAGGGTTAATGCGTACTATGGCGGGTGCCACTATTCTGTGTTAAGCCAAGCAGCCCAGAAGTTGGAGCCAGGCTGGAGCCAAGATGGCTGGCTCCCCAGCCTGCCCCACCAAGAGAATTGCCTCAGGAGGACAGAGAGCTTCTCCCTCCTCAGAGAGCAGCTCTTGGACCTTGAAGGGGGAGGGAGCCTCTATTGGCTCAGCTCCTTCAACCCTCCTTCCCATTGGCTCCCTGGGATGTCTGTTTCAGATATGAGGTGGCCCCCTTACCTGGGCCTTGTTAGTTTGATTTACCCCTCCCTTGCTTGAATTCCTCAAATCCCAGCAGCCTTTTACAACAGCCTGACACAGATAACATGGCTGCAGTTATTTTATTCCTTTGATAAAGGTAAAGAGCAGCGAATCTGTATCTTTAATAACAAGGAAAGAGAGAAATGGCTTCTGCCTTATTCCTACCACTTCTCCTTGCTTTGAGCCAAACAGTCTCTTCTATCCTTCCTCCATGGTTTCTGCAGTTGGTGTGTACTGAGTTGTGTCTGGCCAAAGGCATTGTGTGTGTGTGTGTGTGTGTGTGGTTTTCTGAAATATTTAGGGATTTTTTTAATTAAAAAAAGTGTGGTCATTTGCAGTACCTAAATAAGAGAGAGCCCAATGGACAGTAGAGAAATAAATGAATGCCTACTAATACCAGGCCCCATCTTTCAAAATTTGAGGAAAAAGAGATATGAAATTGCCCTTTTAGCTAGGAATTAATTTAGTGGGGGATGTGTAACCTTACAATAGCTTTAATCTGGGTATATCTCAGAGAGATTTTTAAAGCTTACTTTGTCTACTAGGCCTGCAGTCTGAGCCAATCTGTGTTTAGAGTACTTGGAATGAGTAATGAGAGCAATGAGACTTGCTCCCAAGTGTGCACTGGATTGCAACTTTACTGCGCAATTTGGGCCCTGAGTCTTCCTCCCACCCCACCTAACCATCCCAATTCACACTGTTATTTCCTAAGGATTTCTCACAAGATCCAGACATTCCCTCATAAAGTGAAACAACTGAGACTGTTGGTAAGCTTCAAATCTGTCACTCAGCCAGGAAGCTTGCTGAGTTGATCCTGAGTCACTCACCACATCTTAGCCTAACCTACTTCACCAGGTTGTTGTGAGGGCAATATTATGTGGTGGGAGCCAACTACCACCCTAAGCTCACTAAGTCTGTTAAATAATGTAATAAACAATAACTGGGTTTCTCCAAAGCTTCCTTACTATAGGAATAAACATATAGGCCTCCCTTACAAGCCTGTTGTAAGGATTATTGCGACACTTTGAGCACTTAAGAGGAAAGCCCTGTATAAAATCTGTCTGATTATATATTTTTATTTTAGTCAGGGAAAGATTTGTTGTTTATTCCTAAAACATTATTTTATTTATAATATGCTTTTAAATTATTATCTCGTTTACTTCATTGCTTAGAACTTCTTATAAATTTAATGCAGGACGGGCAGAAGTCCAATAAAGATAGATGAGTATTGCAGTTCCCCTTCTATCTTCCTCCTCATTTGTTTTACTTAGATAGCAAAGACTGAAGCTCTGTCCCTCCTACTGACAGAAAAACTGAGAGATAAAAGGGGATTTAAATGCCTAGCAAGTCAATTGATTTGGGTGTTCCCAGCCACTATCCAGCTGCTGGGAATATAAATAGAGCTAAAGGACTAGAAAATGATAAATTGCTACATTTCATTTGCTATATTTTTCTGGTAAGAATTTTTTTTAGGGCTGTTTTCCAATTTCTGAGCCAAATCTCTCCTTTGGGTGCTCTAAAAGTGAGCTAAGCTTTGCTACTTAGGAGAGGAGCCCCTCCCCGCATCTGCATCTGAAGGCTCCCATAATTTGGCTCAGTCATGGGCTCTCCATTGGGTGGGGGTAAGTGTGTAGGCACAAAGAAAGGTCCCAAGAACCAAGATTACACTTTAAGGGCTTATTGGGGGTGCATGTGTGTGTGTGTGTGTGTGTGTGTGTGTGTAGAGAGAGAGATTCTGAAAAGAACACTCGGTTTTCACATGGATTGTTTAGAATTTCTGATGAAACTGCAGAAATGTCAATGCAGAGTAGGAACAGCCAATCAGAAAGCAGCTCTTTGACCTTTGCCCTTCTCTTCCTCAGCAGGACTGCTATTATCTTCAAGGGGGGAGAGCCCTCCTTGCCTCTTGTTATACCTTTTTTATGATCTAGGATTGTGAAGATAATAATGACTCCATGTTACATAAAACAGATACATTAATGTCACCAAGTCCCAAAAGTATGGAATCAACCCAACTCCTTCAGAAAGACTGGGGGGAGGGGAGTGATAGAAATTCAGAGAGCAGAGCCTTAATAAGGCCGAAAGAAGAGAGGTGCTGCCTTAGACCGCTTTTTCCTTCCTATTTGAAATGGGATATTTAAAGGGCCCTTTGGCTAAAGGAGATCAGAGTCTTGGCAAGATAACTGAGTATGACTGAATGCGCTGCCATCAAAGTGAACAAATCAAATGTGTGATTTTGATTCGTGCTGTAGAGTGTTAGCCTATTACACTCACTTGCTACAGCCCCAGCTACTAATGGGGGAGAGGGGGAGGACATACCCAGGCACCCACCTTTCATCTGGGGGATGCTTCTCCCCAGGCTTGGCTCTTTGGTGACACGGCTTGTTTGGCCTCAGTAGAGTGTAGATTGTGATCCAGCCCTCCCCACACTAGAAACCCATTGGCTTCTCATTTGTTGGATGTCTGAATCCTGGTTTCTGGGGTCACAAGTAGAAGAGAATATATGTTGTGGCAGCAGCAAATTCCACTAATATTTTTATATGAGGAGCTAGTGCTGCCTCTTGATCCTGGCTGAGATAGAGTGCCTGATCGACCAGCAGTGTATTTTCCAATGTATCCTGCCATGCTACATCTTGAGAGGACAAAGGAAACGAGAAGCAGTCTTTGTGGTACTCCTGCATAAGGCCTGTTCCACAGCCTGGAGATGACTTGTTCCTCTTGCCTTGTTTTTATGTACAAGTGTCTAAGAAGGAGCCCCCACCCGAAAGGCTCTTTTCTAACATAAATTCTGCTTAAGGGTCCTCCCTTTTGCATCTTAATTCAGTTATACTAAGCAGGTGGGCGTGTTATGTTCCATTCCTGTCTGAATTCCAAACTAAATTCCAAACTAGCTTTGGTCATCTTGATAGATGTCTTGAACAGGGAACTGGATAGTGGGAATGCAACCACCTTGATTTTACTTACTGCATCTCTCAGTGGCATTTGACACCATTGATGACCATGGTATCTTTCTGTCTGAACTGTCAAGCCTGGGCTTAGGAGGCATAGTATTATTATGTCTCTAGTCCCTTCTTTAAATTCAGTACCAAAACATAGTTCAGTACCCCGCCCCGTTGCCTCTGGTTTGTGGAGTGCAACAGGATCCATCTTATTCCTCCTATTCTTCAACATCTATATGAAGCTCCTAGGAGAACTCATCCATCGGATTGGGTTTCAGTGTCATCAATAGGCAGATGGCACACATCTGTACCTTTCTTTTCCACCTAAGAATCCCAGGGGAGGCTGTGGAACTCTTGAAGAGCTGTCTGAATGCACTGCTGAGATAAATATGGAAGAAAACACTGAAACTTAATATGGAAAAGACGGCGGTTCTATGGGTTGAGAAGTCAGCCTGTCTGGATAGTGATGTGAAACTGGTTATGGATATAGTTACATGAAAATAGGGGGGGGCAACTTGAATAAAAGATGGGGGGAGGTAAGCCCTGCCCTTTTTAATCGATCACATGATGCAGTACATGCACACAATTTGAATGGCAATGCCCATCAACTTGGGGGGCCTCGCCCCCTCAATTTTTGGGGGGTGGAGCAAAGGCCTCTCGGCCCCCAGGAGTTGGCTCCTATTCATGAAAATTGCATTGATTACCAGTAAGTTTCTGTGCTCAATTGAAAGTCCTGACCAGGAATCCAGCTATCTAAAGTAGTACCATCATCCATATAATCCTGCCCATAAACTAATATCTGGGGTGTATGGGGTGTTTGTTAGCGGAGGGGTAGTACTCTGGTGAGGGACACATTGTGCTCCTTCTGTGGTAGTTTATACAGCTTTGGTCCCTAACCTGTACTCAGGTTTGACTTGTGACTGGCCTGCCAAACCAGGTGAGGATAGCCAGTATGTCTCAAACCCTTGATGAGTTAGGAATTTCTCCTGCATGTGAAGATCAGCTCTGGTGGATTGAGCATACTAGACCAATAGTGGGTCCAACAATCAAGAAGGCAGCAACTGTACATGCTGTAGAGGAAAAAATCTGTACCCACTGCCTTGTAGGACATCTTTGGGAAAAGAAAAGGCTAAGGCAGAGCTTTCCAAACTGTGTGTCGTGACATGTTAGCGTGCTGGCTGCAGTGTGTAGGTGTGCCACGTGAATGCTCCCCATGCTCCTCCCAGGGCTGGAAAGGTATTAGATTAACTTCTGGTTTGCTAGCAAAACTGAATTACTGTGTCATGAAATGATGCATGTCTAAAAAGTGTGTCACCAACATGAAAAGTTTGGAAAGCTCTGGGCTTAAGGAATAAACCCTACATAAATCTTGTATCCTCCTTCCGGCAACTCCTGCAGCCAAGCTGGTGCCAAATGTATTGCTCTGATTTTATTTGGATGACATCTGCAAGGCCAAGAGGGGGGTCTTTTCATCTGGGCACCCCAGGACCTCCATATACACTGCCCAGTCTTGCTTCCTGGAGAGGTCACTTCAGTGCTGCAAGGGGCAGGCCTTGGTAATATGGTGCCCTGTGTGAGGCAAAAAATTGACACCCCCCACAGCCCTCACACTACTTTCCCAAAAGCCGAGTAAGCAAGGTGCTGAACTTTGTGAGTGCTCTGGCAGGGTCCTAGAGCCCTCCTTCCTCCTTCCCAAAGCTGGGTGAGCAATAACTAGGCTTTGGGAAGGAGGCAGGAAAGTGTTCTCTTGGCTCAGCACTCTGTGTGGGGAAACTAGTTGTGCTGTCCAAAATCCACCTCTGACGCTGCTAACGCAGAAAAACAACAACATTGGAGGCAGCAGTTATGAGTTACCGGTCCCTGTAGCCACAGCGATTTGGCTTCGCCTTCAGAGGCACTCTCCGTTGTTTCTCAAGACAGATGGATGACAACCAAACTAATATCTGTTTCAGGGGTCTTTCTTGAGAGCTTGCCATTAAGTTGACATATACAAGAGGAAGGGCTTCTCACTGGCTGTCCCCCAAATTTAGAACTTCTAACTGATATACATCTTGCTCCTTCACTACAGGCCTTTGGCAGGCCTGAAATTCTCTTCACTGCTGCATTTACCTAAGACCCAAAGTAGTTGTGTATTTCAGAACAGCAAGTTCAGAATAATTTGTACCCTTCTCTAACGTGACCACTATATCTCCACCCATGTCTCCTTCTTTATATGTATCTCATTTTGTAAAGTGTGGCTGTAAAAATTGGCTTTAAAATATTTTAAATAAATAAAATGCTGCAACCTGGTGCCCAGTTCAACATGATACTGATCTGACAGGCAGCATGAAACCCTGCCTGCGGGCATTTGTAAAGCTAGAAGAGGAAGGGATCTATTATTAATGGCAGAAAGTGAGGTGAAATCAGGGCAGGGAAATAACATGAGCCATGATTAGTGCACATTATTGAAGAGGCCCAGGAGTTGTTACCTTTTGGATGCACAGAAGCCACAGGGAAAGTGTCAGGCTGCAAGATCCACCACAACTCTTTCCTATTTGCTGATTAATAACACTCATTAATTAGAAGAGCACATAATGGGATTGCTAATTGCAACTGATGGAAGTCCCATCTTTGCTAGAAACATTCTGGATTTGGCGCATCATATAATCTCCTTGTCTTTGATTTTATCTGTAGCAAAAGAAGAATGCAGAGAAAGGGAGGCAGAGGCGGGGAGTCAGAGGAAAACCCCAAGGATAAATGTAATGGATGGCAAAGTCTCTTTGAACTTATGTATACAAACCAGCCCAGCTACTATCCTCAACATCCTCCTGAAGGCCAGAAAGCCATAAAAATTTCCAGACTCTGAGCAATCATGAGAGGCATCAAGTGCAGGACAAACTCTTATTGTAATGCTTTGGGAAGAAAGAGAGAAAAATCCTTATCCTGAGCACACAGCCCCAATTGTAAAGCAGGCTCATGCTGGCCTTATAAAAATCTGTTTATTTATGTATATTATATAGGCTGAGCAAGTGATTACCAGCGTGACATTATGAGACTCTTGGGGACTCAAGATAACCTGAGTACTAGGAGCCAGCTCTGACTTTGGGTGGCACACAGATAGGTATCAGCAACATCAGGAAGATCACATCCCAAAATCCAAAATAGTCAAAGCTAAGTGGCTTCTGCTTAAGTGTCCAGCACATCCCAAGACCATATCCAACTAGATTCATTCACCACCACCACTTAGGTGGGACTTTTAAGACAAAAAGGTAGACAGTTGCCCTCTGCAACCACCCATCAACCTCTCCCAGTGGCATAATGGGTCAGTGCATCTGGCTGTTAAGCAGAAGTTTGGTGGTTCAAACCCACCCAGGGGCAGCTGTAAGCACTGCAGTGGGTTGGACTAGATGACCCTTGGGATCCCTTACCAACTCGACAATTATATGATTCTAACTCTAAGGTGATATCAAAGCCTATGGGTGTGGATGGGTGTGTCATTTTTCACAATGACGAGAAGCAGTAGCAACTGGATAATACAAATATAGACATGGTAAAAAAAAAAATCAACAGGGCATTGAGTTAGGTCAATTTTAAGTGCAAAATAAAATAAGGGAACGCAAATGCGAGCAATTGTTTCCTTTGCTAATACTATTTTATTATTACATTTGTATACCACCCTTTACCCATAGGTATCAGGGTAATTCACAATATTAAATCACAATATAAAACCACAAAATACATAATCAAAATATAAACAAAAACAACCCAATAACAGTTGTTTCCTTAACTGTGTATCTCCCTAGGGGCATCCACTGCTTCTTTTGTTCCAAGGCACACGGAATCATAGAATTGTAGAGTTCGAATCATCTATTGTAGTCCAACCCACTGTTACAGGTGGCCCATACAGGATCAAACCCACGACATTGGCATTATCAGCACCATGCTCTAACCAGCTCCCCCCTTGAGATCTCACAACTCACGATGCCAGAGGTTAACAAGCCTCTGTGCATGGTTCCTGATATGGAATGCAAAACTGGAGCAGCCCATAGTCAGTCTTTGCGCCACCACTGCCACCCCCCCTCCACACATGCATGTCCCAGTAAGTACCATTGTAGCTCCCAGACATCCTAGAACTCTGTGAACATGCCAGGAGTATCTGAGAAAAACCTTCGTGTCCTGGGTGATGGCAATGACATGTCCTTAAGCAGACCTTCAAATCCCCTGAGCCAGATAAATGAAGGTGCTCTTTTATTAATGGAAGGGGAATGAGACAACAGTGCCAGGATAGCCTAAACCCTTCAAGAGTTCTACTGAGGGCTGGGGCTTTTCTTCCCATTCTCTCTGTCTGTCTGTCTCTCCACTCTAATCCTTTCTATTGGCTCGCCCAGTAACCTTACAGAAACTTCTCCTCTCAAGTGCCGCCTATTGAGCTCTGCTCTCAAATTGCCCCCAGAGCCCACTGGATATTCCTTCAGATGTCTAACAAGCGTCGAACACAACTGAGGTTTAGAGAGACACAGAAATCAATACTGCGGCTTCCACCAGTCACGCTGAGGGATTAGTCGTCCCAAGGAAAAGCACAGACAGTTGAATAAGAGAATCATGACTCCGAATAACCTAAGAGGTTTATGAAGCTCGAAGGCAGCCTCTGGCCTCCTTGATAACCTCCAGTTGGCCCAGAAAAAAAGGAGGCTGTGAAAACATTCACTTAGCTTCCTCCCCTTCTCTGTCAATGAGGGCAAGCTCTAGAGCTCTGGGGTCAACAACAGTGCACTAAGGCACCACCACAGAATGTCCAGGACACGGTGACCATTTGCCGCACTGTTTGCGAGGAAGCTCATAGCTCTCCCGCCTCTCTCCAACTTGCTAACATTTAAGACGTCTGGTGGCAACTTCAGCTTGTGGTGCCAGCTTCAGGTCATTCTTTCATGACACAGTGTGTGCGCAGAAGGAAGATGACAAGATGCCTGGGTCAGGCACTTCAGCCACACCTGTCCCACTTTGCAAGGAGAAATGCTGGCAAGCTTTTGGCATTCAGTTGAGAGACCTGCTGATGCAAAAGATGACCACCGCCTCTATTGCAACATGACTTCTGCCTGTTGAGAGCTTCAGAACACAGGCTGTTGCCAGCCTTCGTGGCTGCTAACACCTCACTGGAGGATGGGGTGGAGGTAATGAGACACACCTGAATCAGACACAGTTGGCTGCAAAGACTAGTTGCAAGCCGGGCCGGGGGGGGGTCCTCTGCGCCAAGATGCTGCAGTTTTCAATTAGTTATGTGATGCATAACTGGTGTCAAGTCTGGTGTACAGCCACCCAAGATGGGCAAGAAATTAAATGCAATTCCCATTTAAAGGTGAACTTACCTAATTCACACTTTCCTAAGCAATATGTGAATAGAAACATAGCTAGCCTTTGAAATTCACACTACTCTGAATTTTGCCATGCAGTTCTCCAGCCAAGGAATGTGTACCCAAATGCATATACTATGCTAAAGTATGCATAAAAATGCATGTGGTGGTGAAAATAACGTACAAAATCCATTATACTATATTAGGGAAAGTGCAGAAAGTGTATACTAGGGGAAGTGAAAACAAAGATGTGTATGTGAGGAGAAATTTGCATTAAACTGCTGGAGAATTTTGTGAGGACTTAAAAAAAATAACAATCTAATGTGAAGAACAGAATTTAAGATTGGAAAACTGGAAAACTGAGATAAGTCAACACTGACAGATTCACCCATTATTAACAGTCACCTTTATCAACCTGGTACTCTCCAAATGACTACAACTCCCTATGGTGGCTGGAGTTGCAACTTCTGCAGGGCATCTGATTGGTGAAGGCTAGTGAAGTGGGTCGTGTTGGACTTAGACGATGGAGACTCAGGTTCAGTTTGCCACTAAGCCTAACCTTTACAGGTTTGTAGTGAGGATAAAATGGTGGGGGGTGGGAGGTTGAGGACAAACTGTGTGCCACTCTAAGCTCCTAGGAGTGGGGGAAACCCAACTGGAAAATCACTTTCTTAGCTATATTCTCAATGTTGTTGCTTTTGGGTTTTGTTTTGTTTACATTTATTGGCATAGTAATAGACTACAAAGAAAGAACTATTCAGCAAATGAAAGAGGGTTGCAAGGGCAATGAGGCATATTGGTCATGCTTTTAAGACCCCTGTACTCTAGCAAACCATCTGATAAATTTAAGAGGACAAATGTTCCTCAGCACATGCCAACCCAGTGTCACATGCTTCAAAACTACGCCCTTTGTGTCCAGTCTATTGTTCCAGCAAGCAAGAAGGAGTCTCTGTGGTAGACAGTTGGGCCCTGGGTGATGCCTTAGACCCAGACCACCTCCCAAGAAAGACTGGGAGGGTGCTAACATTTTTGAACTGATTTCCAATAGTTTGAAAGTGGACTTTGGGTGTGTAGCAGGGACAACAGACAGATCATGTGGGCAGTTTTGCACCTTTGCCTTGCCGCATATCAGGCAAATCATGTCCTAAGAGGCAGAAGAGGCTGCCTGCAGACCTTCTTCTCCTCCTCCTACCCCTCCATCATCCCCACCTGCTGCTCCTCCCTATCATAGGCAGCAATTTTATGGTCACCATTACTAGCTGAAACCCTCCTTTGAACCAATCAAGAGGGAGACTGGCTCTCTGAGAGCAGCTGCAGCACTGCCTGACCCCCTCCGCCAGCAGCCACCATAAATCTGCCTCACCTGATGGGAGATGGGCTTTTTAGGATGTCTCCGGGTGCTTTGAGGTAGCACTTCTATGAACTCCATGCCACAATAAATAACGCTACCTGCAATATGTCTTTGGGAACGTGTCAGCAGCCGCTGTCCTGCCATGAATTTTTATTCTTTTGCCGTCTGGAAGATAGATTCCAGATACAGCATTTTCCCGCACTTAGTGTCAGATCTCTTTACCCCTTTGCCCCAGCAGAATGACAGGGACCACAAATAAAATAAAATAATAAAAAAAGCAGTGTAGGAGAAATAGCTGGAGAGCAGAGGAAGAGCACGGCACAGCCTTCTCCTGCGGCTTCATGGATGACAACAGCACCCAAAAGGCAGCTACCATAGCTCCAGCAGAGAGGGAGGCATTTGGGGCCCTGAAGGGTGGAGCTGGCCTCCAAAGACTATAAGCAGAGGACAAGGCGCTGACCCAAAGGCCTTGCAGGTGTTACAGAAAGACAGAGAAACAAGGGCTCAAAGGTCCTGTCCAGCTCTGCGATTATTGCCCTCTGTAAAATGACCTCATTTGGCAATCAGACATTAGCCAATAGCTGAGGCAGGCAGGGACTACATGGAGTCCAGCTCATGGTGCATGCTTGAAAAAGTCTTGCTCATTCTGTTGAACTAACCTTTGTCTCATTGACACTGAACCATGGAAGGAACAGGAGGAGCTTGCCCAGGTGGAAGGAAAGTTGCAGCCCCAGCCCCTAAGTGATTAGAATAGCCTCCAATGCTGAACCTCCATCTTGGGCGAAGCCCTGCCAGAAAAGACGCAGCAAATCCACTTTAATTAGCTGCCAAGTTCACTGACAGAACAGGATCCTTCTTCACACCTCTTGCCTTTGTCCCACTACAGAACCCTGAAGTTGGGGGCAGACTATGAATGCATGGCAGGAAGCCTGTGGCCTGCCTGGTCCGAGCTGACTTGTTCCCTTCCCCGCCCTTCATGGGGGGGTGGGTTTGCAGTAGCTGCAACTGTGGAGCCTCAGTGGGGACCTGGCCTGCCTCCATCCCCACCACAAATGGTCCCTCCACCCCCGAGCCGCAGAATGAAAGTGGAGGTGATTTACAAGGTCGTTGACAAATGCCTGTATTGATCGGGTATTAAAGTGTCTTGTGATTAATACAGCCTTCGAAGTAATTAGTGCAGAAAATCTCTTATATCTCAACATGTTTAAATAATGTATCTGCGAACACCCAGGCCTCCTGTCAATCAGGCTGGCTCAGGCCAAACACCATATC